CCATCGCCAGCACGACCCTACACAAGATGCATGCAACAAACAAACAAAAACCCTTGATTTCTGGGTTTGGGGCCAAGCATGGTCTTTTTGTTGAAAGCGCCGCCCCTCCTCGCCCACCCAACTCGAGATATTCTTAGCAATGACTAAGATAGATCTCTGGTTCTCCAGTGACACAATGGGTGGTAGCGAAGAAAAAGTGTGAGTTCGGAACAAAAAAAAGAAAGATACAGTATTATTACTTGTACATGGAGTATCTGGTTTGTTTATCTTGTGGTTCGTCTTGACGAGTGAACCAATCTCACATACGGCTGATCTGTTCTCCGGGGACGGAAATAGAGTTATCCTTGTTCGGAAGTGATTATCGATGGTTCCAACTCGCCCGTGCCTCAGCATTCTCATGAGCTGCGAAGCTTTCGCTGGCGAGGCCAGCCGCTTGAACCCCACGTGGTCTCCTACCCTCTTGCAACAGCCCCAAAGCGGGCTGCGACCGAGAGCTCCAGAGCTGCTTGATGCTATTTGATTCAGTCACGAGGCCTCCCGTTGAGAGAGAGAGAAAGGACACCACTCGCGAGTCTTCTGCCTTCTCGAACACCGGGATACCTCACGATTGGGTGGTGGCGGTGGGCGGTCATGCATAGTCCTTTAGTCTTATAAACGCAAGGAAGAAGAAAAGGAAAAAGAAGAGGGAAGAAAAATTCCCGAGCGCCTCTCTGCCTCCGTTCAAACCAACCAAGCATTGTGGGAGTTTGGCAGTCCCCTCTGCAGCGCAGCGCGCCAGCAGCGGTGCAGCCGAACCCAAACCAAGAAATCCGAACCCACAAACCCACGGTTTGTCCGATTCCCACTCTAGCGTATATGATCTCGAAGCGTTGTGAGCTACTCTTTCTCAAGATCAATACGATCCTCGTGGCTTGGCCGAAGAGATGTGAGCTAGGGCTGTCACTCTTTGGACGTCTGGCGAACTGTTTAGCGCCACAGGGGGTGCGGAAATGCCTGGCCAGTTCGGGTTCAGGGCGCGGGGCTATTGAGCACCGAGTATTACGAGCAGTGATAATACTTGACCTCTCTGGTGCCGTGTTCGTTACGAACTCAGCATCCGTCAATGCCCTAGAATAGCTGAAGGCAAAAGAAAGGAGACAAGAGTTGCGACAGCAAACAGCTACCAGAAAGACCCTTGTCTAAGCCGGCAGTCGGTGCTCGCCTGATAGCTTGCTGTTTGTTAAATTAGGGGAGGGGGGTTTCTCTCGGCGCTCCATGAAGAGAAAGAAACGAGGCTCTATTCTTTTTAGGCAACGTCTTCAGGTTTATTGAGAACACCTCGTGTAAACGAGCCCTCCGGGTTGCAATGCATGCTGCTGAGATGGAAGGTAATTTGGGGTCTGTAACATATTTGGTGGTTAATTAGGGAAAAAAGGGACCGATTGTGGATACAAGCGCTGCTCTCGGCTCGCCCTTTAGAGTCAACAGAGGGCTGGCTTCTGGTGAACAATTGCTCTGCTCTGATGGCCGCGTCTTGATCATCTTGAGCGGTTTCTCTCTCTCTCTCTCTCTCTCTCTCTCTCCCTCTCTCTTTCACTTTTGTTCTTGTCCTCATTTTTAACAAGGCGCCAGGGTCAATAGAAGTCGAATTTGTGGGAGTGACAGGAAACGGAGCACGGACAGAGCAGAAAAAACAATGGAGGGTGGTATTTTGAGCCTAGGGAAGTGGAAGTGGAATCGCAGAGCGCTGAGGGCTTGGAAGAGGTGGAAGAGAAAGTTACAAAGCTACTTTCAGCTATTATTATCCCCCGCGGTACGCCAAATTTGCTTTCTCAGGCCATGATTGGCCGAATATTGGCGCTGAGGGTGCAGGCTCACTCTATTAATAGATTGGCGCATGTTTCGCGACACCACTCGCCAGTAAGAATGCTTGTGGAAGCGGCATTCGCTGCAATGGGATGGACAAGGACTATGCTAGTGTGCATGGGCACCAATAGAAACAGATGGTAAATCGCCACTGTATACTTTGGTACTTTTCTCTGGCGATACTGATACCCTTGCATCTTCACACTGTATGGTACCAGATCATTGCCTCATTGTCCATGTCTCACGGATTCGACCTCTCAAGCAAAAAAAAAAAAAACACGTTAGAATGTGTAAACCGTTTGCCCTAAAAGCTTAGTCTGCAGACCGATCTATTTCGCCCTCAAGACTACTGTTAAGCGAGCACAGTGGGTGAGAACCGTCGAGGCTTGGCCTTCGAATCCCCTTTCAGTGGAGAAGTCGTTGCTTGGAGCCAGGGACGTCCAGTATCAACCTGACAGGCGGGGCCCGTCTTGAAAGTGTGGATGTGTATGGTTGCTTGGACTTGGGGAAACCTAGAAATAGACGCAACACGACATCTGCACGTGAAAGAAAAGAAAAAAATAATGGAAGAGTGGGCTTCTCAAGCTCATGCCCTGGACATGTCCGGAGGGCTGTCGTTGTGGTGTCGGACCCACGTTCGGCCGATGACCCCGTTTGGCCCTTCTTGTTCTTCCCTCACTTCTTTCCTTCCCCCGTAATTTTTCTGCGACCCTATCCCGAATATCGTCAATAGCGTGGATTTTTGTGTGGGAAGAGGCTGCATCGAATAATCGAGCGGAGAGGCCGCATGGGCGGAGAGAAGCTGTGGATGGATCCAGCGACGTGGGGCGCTCCCCCCTCTTCAGGATAGCCGCTGTGGATTCAGCCATTGCAGCAGCTCTCGCTCCCCCAGGCCAGCACCGATTCGCCCTCTGTTCAAGAAGCGCCTAGTCGGGCGTCGCCTATCACGCGACTGCCGCCTCTGCGAGCAGAGAAGGGGGGCGAATGGGCCAGCCACGCTCCATACAAAATTCTTGCCGTCGTGCCCTCCGAGAACTGCGTCCCTCCCCTGCTGAACGCCGCTGCCTCGTTTAGAACCGAGCCCTTTGTGGCAGCCTCCCGTCAAAACCCCATGCCCCATTGTTTGAAACCCCCGATTCGAGCTGTTTCTTTTCGCTCTTTCGCTCTCTCGAATATTTCTCTCTCATGTATGCCGGATGTCGTGCGGCGCACTGTTGCGCGCACATATATTTTGGCAGGTTGAAGCGTCGGCGCATAAGCAATCTTTTGTCGACGTTGTTTCGTCGGCGTTTCTCCCACTGTGTCGGAGCCTGTCCTTGCTCCTGTATTACTACTGCGTTGCTACGGAGCCTGGAGGCTTTTGGTGGTGGTGAAGGTCGACCTTGGCAGGGATCGTGTTTCGAGCGCACCCCACCCCTGCCCCCTTCTACCACCGGGTGCTTCCCTGTCGGTTTCTTTTTTCTCTTTTGCTCTCTCCCCTCTGTGCGTATCCTTTGTTCCCGCCACTGGCCCTGGTCGGTTTTCCCTTTCGTCGCTGTCATTCCCTTGCTGGGCGCTTCCGTCCAGGTAACCTGTCCCGTGCCAGGCCCGGTCATAGGCCTTTCCCCCTCCCCTCCACCCCCGTCGTTCCTTCCACCGTCCCGGCCACGAATCCTGTCGCTCACACAATCCGTTCAAATTACACCCTTGCATGTACCTCGTCTCCATTCCTGCGCACGATTAGGCGCCCTTTATTGGCTGATTTCACAGCGCCCTTTCCTCTTCAAGAATATCCCTCTCCACAGTTCTAGTCACACGCCCCTAAATCTCCAAGGAAGCGAAGCGCGCACACGGTACGGTACAGTCAAGCACAGTCGAGCACAGTACGGCCAAGAGACCCCGTTCTAGACACGCCCCCTTCAGACGCACCCCCACAGCAGACACCCCCTCTGGCCTAACCTGCCTGTCCTCCTTCTGTTCTTTCGGCTGGAGGAAGCGCAGCAGCGTGTTGCATGGAGCATACCATCTTTCTCTCTCGATCTTTCCTTCCCGCTTCCACCTCCCCGTCCCCCATTCTCAACTCACTCTTGCCCTTCAACCAAAATCGGCGTGCCGCCCACACATTCTCCCCTTCCCTTCCTTTTCCAACACCCCCTTTCTGTCCTTTTTCTCTCCTTTCGCGATTCTGAATTCTCTTCTCTTTCTTCCTTCCCTACAACCCGACTGGAGAGGATGAAAGTATCGTCATAACCTTTTGTTCGCCAGCTGGTTTTTTTGCCTCTTTCGACGACAACAGCGCCATGTGCTAGGTGTGGATTTGTGGCATTGAACCCTCCCTTCTCCCTCGCCTCTCCCTCGCCTGTTTCCTTCTCCTTCATCTCCTCTTCGCCTCTCCTTCAACATCTTTGATTCTCCTCGCAGAATCGGAAGCCCGAATTTCCCGACCACCTTCGAATCCGACGAGAAGAATCGCACAGCGACGCAGCGCTTTTCCGAGCGACTTCGGCTAGAGGTTCCTATTGCCTTGTTTTGACCCAGAGACTCGTCCCTGATTCACGCGAATTGTGCCCCTCGACAAGGTCCTATTCGCGACTCCTTGGTCAATTTGAGCGGTTGTTATTGCGGGCTCCACGACCTGCCTCGAGGAATCACGCATCAAAGTTGTTGGGAACCGTCCAGGATTCAGCAGCGCTGTCCTCAAAAAGACGAAGACAAGGAAAGGGAAGCCAGTCCTTCTTTCCAAGTTGACACTAATCACTCGAATCATTTGATTTTCTTGCCTTTTGCACTGGTTTATTTGTCCGGTGTTCGCATAATACTTGTTGCATTTGTATAATTGGCCGATTTGCCATAATCTAATCGTTGGTCACTTGGGCGTGTTGCCGACTCGAAACACATCCCGCGATCGTCTAACCAGCCGCCTCGTCTGCTTGCGACACCAACCACCCCCGGCACCAAACAAGCCGTCAACAGCAAACGCGAAAAATAACAACTCATCGCGCGCAACCCTCCAAAGGAAACAAGCCACGACCTGCGATCTCGTGCACTCTTCGTTTTTTCCTTCCTTCTCTTCACCTTTTGATCCTTGATTTTTCTTTCTCACCTAGGAGTGGGAGCAAGAGACAATGCCGTCTGCTGCGGCCCGGAGATTTTACGAGGATCAAATACCCTCTTTCATGTCGGTTTTTGATTTGGACGCCGAGACCATGGCAGACCAGGAAACCGTTACCGTTGTGAACCCCAAGTTCATTGCTGTTGAATCTTCATGTGCGACCTTGTCCAAGGCGCCACTCTCGGAACAAGGCCCGACCCTGCGAACAGGAACAGTGCCATCAGACCCTCTCCATAAACACCACGATAGCACGTCGACACAAGCATCAGAGTCGGCCGACTCATCACCCACCACTACACTCTCCACAGCAGACTCGTCGCCCCTCTCCGACCCCTCACCGTCCTCATCACCGGATTCTCCCGTGAACCTCATCCCTCTTTCATCCTACCCAGGACCCAGCTTTGGCGGCCTTGGTCTCCCCCATGCTTACCACACTCACCGTCACCGATTTTGGCAACGCGTTAGAACGGCCCATGACCTCGCCGTCGCCAAGGCGCGCGCGCAACATGAAGGGCCTTTCTATCCAACCTCCCACCATCTCCTCGACGCTTCTGTCCGAGCCGGCATCACCCTCTACTACTTTTATAAAGCCCAAAATTCCTCCCATGAAGAAGCGTCCCAGTCAGCTTAGTCTTCGCACCAACACCTCGGACTTGGCCATGCGCAATACGACATTGGAAATCCCCCTTCTCCTGCGATGCCCCCATTCTCCAGAGGAGGGCCCTGAAGCATTCGGCCTCGACACCGCATATGCTCACGGGGCTCAAGTCCTCCACCTTTGGACCTTCTGGTGGCATGACCTTCCCCAAGGTTCTGGAGCGTAATGAGAACGGGTTATCCGAGGTCCTACGACCTACGAAATTAACCATCTGTGGGCCCTTGAACCCGCCGATCGCGGAAGAACACTCGCCCATCAGGACCCAGATGGCCAACCGCGGCGTTATTGATCTGGCGCACCTCAAGGACGAGAGCGAAAACAACGAGGATCAGAAGTCGCCTGGCTACCCTGAGGGCCCTATCGCCATCTACGAGGACAACGTGTTCCTCTACCTGGAGCCAACTGCCGAAGAAGCCTCCAAATTTGACCTTGTTATCAATGTCGCGCGGGAAGTGAATAACCCCTTCACGACACAGGCTGCGAAGGAAGATGATGACGTTAAAATGGTGATGGATCTTGCGCCTGCGCCGGTGGACAACAGCCCGTACCCTGACACGGCCTTGACGGAGGCTAGCTTTAGAACCGCCTTTGAGTTTCCCCTCGGCCGTGGATGAGACGATGGGCGAGACGACACCTACTACCCCCAAGGCCATGACCCTACCCCCAAGGAGCCCGAGTATGTCCACATGCTCTGGGACCACAACACTGATATTTCGCCCGACCTCATGCCTTTGTGCGAGCGCATCGAGAAGACGACCAAGGAGGGCAAGAGGGTACTTATTCACTGCCAACAGGGTGCCAGCCGCTCTGCCAGTCTCATCATTGCCTATGGTCTTTACCGAAACCCTGAGCTGAGTGTGAACGATGCTTACTACGCTGCCCAGGCCAGGAGCCGCTGGATAAGCCCCAATATGAGGTTGATGTATTGTCTTCAAGACTTTCACAAGGAGATGTCTAAGAAGAAGCTGAGCCCCAACTCGGCACTTCGCCAACGCTCAGGAAGGAGCCCAACCAAGCACAGGCTGACACTCTCGGCGGATGCCATCGACATGAGCGCAACCACCTCCCCAACTCCTTTAACGGCGCCCCTTCCCGGCGAGGATGTGGAACAAAACGCGCTCAGCCCCGGCAAATGCTCCATGCGCCAACGCGGCAACTCTACTCCGGGTAGCTCGCAGCCCATCTCGCCTGGTCCCTCATCAGCCCCATCAACCTTTTCTTGGGGTCAACCGGAAGACGAGAAGGATCCGGGCAAGCCGGGACGCTTCAACTTTGACGACGTTATGATGCCCGCGCCAACCCACCCCCTCCGCCCCCACCCCAAATCGAAGAGCCGCCAGTGCTGAAGATGGAGTTCAATCTTTTGCCGCTCGACATGTCCAAGCCTATGGATATCTCAAGCCGCCGCCAACGCCCGGGTTTGGAGGTTTCAACACTGGATTCGGTGGCGGCTTTGGCGACAGCTTCGCGCCGCGCAGCTTCGACTCTCACGGCGCGTTTGGCTTCTCGGGTCTGTCGTTCAACCGCCCTGTTGACGGACGCCCCGCACTATCCTTGTTCCCCGAGAATTCATCGGCACCGCGGGAGCGTGAGATTGCGATCCCAGCCCCTTTATTGACGACACCGCCCTCATGTCACCCCGCGTCGAGACGATGACGAATAATCCTTTGCACGAACCTGCTCGGTTCCCGCCCATCGCAGGAATGCAGTTTGTGGAATCGCCTCCTACACCGACCGAGGACGGTCTCTTTAGCCCGCGGCAAACGATGTTCCCACGCGATCCCTTTTCGCCGTTTGGCCGACCACCCCAGGTGGCGGACCCACGAAGCCCGCCTACTAAGGGCGAAACCCCGATAGTTCGGTCGATTGACGAGATTTTATAGTCTCTTGTCTTTTCCTCTCTCTTGGAATGGCATTTTACGATGTGCGCAGCTGCGTTCTACACCTCCCTCCCTATCTCTCTCTCTCTCTCTCTCGCTCTACCATCATCACCTCTTGCACCTCGAGGAAAGTGCTTATTTTTCCCCTATTATTACGGGCACCGCAAACTGGCATGGTTGCCCCGTGTATCTTATATATCTGTGAGCTAGCGACGCGAAACCCCACGGCGTTCCGAGTTTGCACAGCGCACGCGTGTTTTTCTATTGATTCTTTTGTCTTGTTTATTATCATGAAAGCCTACAAGGAAGGGGAACGGGAAGGGCGAGGCAAGGAGATATATAAAACTTTCTGGCTTGGCGGGGATGGCGGGGTGGAAACGTGTATGGCAAATGTTGGCAATAGGCATATATTCAGGCGTTGGCGACCTCGAAAGGGAACTATACCGCTTGTGTTTTTTTGTTTCTCACCGGGACTCCGCTAGCAAGGGAACAAGGCCCTTTTGTTGCGTGAGCAGTGTTTTCTTAGTTACTACCAAATCCTAAAAACTTACACAATTACAAGTCCCGTTCGTTGACACACGTGTATTCCATGTTGGACGAGAGTGCTCTGCAGTGCCCTCGCTCCCTCCGGCACTCGGTATTGGGAGGGATCGGAGGGGAGATTTGGCAAATTCTAGGTGAGATATGTCAGGCCAGCATGTGGCATATTGGACAGGTTGGCTCTGAGTATCTGTCTAGCGCCCTTGGTTTTTGCGCAGAGGTCCCGGGGATCCGGTTCATCTCCGTCATCACACACACACACACATAGATACACTTGCACTTTTCCCTGTCTTCTTGGCTGCGTGGCGCGAAGCTCTCGACCGCAACCCCAGAGCTTCGCGCCACGAGGGGGCAAGGGGGACCAAGGGTGGATTCCTTTCCCCGGCCGTAGCGTAGCAGTAGGTTTATCTTTTATCATCATCTCTTTTTAAGTCTTGGACGGATTATAGGACGGAAAGTGTTGCATCTTCACAGCTGTTTTGCGGGGATCTTGGGCGAAAATAGCCTTCTTCTAGATCATCTCCTTCCACTCTCTTTTTTAACACTTGTTTTTTTCCTTCTTTATTCTTCCCAGTGCTGTTTGTCACTAGCTATGTAGGCAGCTCTTTGGTTCTCGAGAGGAGTATAGCTCCCATTCATCCCGACCTAGTAGCTGGGTGTGAAGCCAGCTTTTTTCTTCCTCTAGTTGAAGATTGCAATGAAACCCCCGCTTTCCTTTTGCCCGCCAGATCTCTGATTTTCTCCGCCTCTTTGGCCCCCTTTCGTCACTGATCAAGGATCCATACATACAAACCTATATAAAATATATAAAAAAATAAGAGTACGCAACAAACCGCGACATGCCCTCCCCGGACTACGCCTTCTTCGCCTTCTTGGCGGCCTCCTTGGCCAGCTTTTCCCGCCGCGCAATCGTGGCCTCGGCGCCGATGCCGCCAAACACGAGGCCGACGCCGAGCCACTGCATCCCCGTGAGGCGGTGGCCAAAGGCGATGACGGAGAGGATCATGGTGAACATTTTGCGTGTGACGGTGACGGTGACGAGGAGGACCGAGGAGAAGGTTGCGAGGGTGTAGACTAGTGAAGCGCAAAAAAGGCTTAGTTGCGGTTCTTACACACGGATATAGGTGCGTGTGTGCATATACATTCAGGGTGAAAAAAGGATATAGACAGAGGGAAAGACAAAAGAAAAAAAAAAACTTACAGATAAAAACCTGGCCGATGGCGCCGCACGCAGCAAACCCCAAAACATCCTTCCACACGCTCGGATACCTCGCCATAAACGCCAGCGCAGACTTGAGCTCGCCCGCGTTGCCGGCAACCTCCATGCCGAGGTACTCGCCGATGCCGGTATGAACGAGCCAGGGGCTGAGGACGAGGTACGTCCCCGTCACGAGGGTGCTCATGACGTTGTTGGCCACCATCATCTGGGGGCCCGTGTAGGGCTGGAAGGCGGTGAAGATGTAGTCCTGGGTCGAGTTGGTCAGGCCGTCGAAGAGCAGGTTGATGCCCAGCAGGAGGAGGCCCCACGCGACGTTGCGATCCTCATCAACATAGCTCGACGCCTTCTTCTTCTTGCCCGAGTGCAGCGTGAAGACGGCGACGCCCGCCGTCACCGCCGCCACCACCAGATACTTGTACAGCGGGTACCGCTTCCGGAACACGGTGATGTGCAAAAACATGACGGGCAGCAGCTTGCAGCTCTTGGCCAGCAGAAACGTAATGTAGTCGATGTGCGAGAGCGACGCGTACCCAAACGGCGACGCCAGCGAGCTCGTGAGCGCCACCAGCGCCAGCGGGACCAGGATCCGCGCGTTGGGTATCGCCGGCGGTACCGCCTTGCCGCGCGGGGTGCTGCCAATCAGGTACACTAGGCCCGTCGTCGCGGCAAAGGCGGACTGGATCGTGTTGAGGAAGACGGGGAACTGGAAAACTTCGGGCTTGTCGTGCGCGCCGTACGGCGTCGTCGTGAGCTTTTCTTGGAGGTAGGCCCACGTCAAGCTAGGACCAAGCGAACAAGGCAGTGTCAGCCGATTGTGTCAGGGACGAGCAAGAGAGGAAGAAAGAAAGAAAGAAAGAGGGACGCCCCGGGGAGCAATGCGCGCCCCCTCCAAGAGCTCCCAAGGGGATTAGCAACACTCACAAGCTAGCATAGATGCCACCCACGGCAATGGCCAGCTCCAACACGCCAGCCTCACGCTTCTCCGGCTCCGCTTTGGTCTTCTCCACCGGTGTGGAGATGACCACGCCGCCGTTCGAGCTCTTCCTCACGGGGTCGATACGTCGCGTCGCGAAAAGTACTCGTCCGATGCCTCTCGGCGCAAGGGCGTGGCTTGCTTAGTTCGGGCCATTTTTGTTGTCTTTCTATCTGACAAGGGGAAGGAAAATGAGGGGAAAAGAAGAGAGAGAGTTCAAGAGTCAAGGAAGAAAAAAGTAGAAAAAAGTATGTGCAGAGAAGCGATGCAATGGGGTATCAATACGAGTGATTCAAGCTCAAAAGTGCTGCACAGCGTCCAGGTCAAGTAATCACCGCCTTGCTTGAAACGATATGGCAGGGTCAATGAGAACAATTGGTGCTAAAGGAGGGGAATCGAACTCAGGTTCGACTTGCGAAAAGTGAGCGAGTATGAATCAAAAGAACTTGAAAGGCAAGCAGGCGTGTGTGGCTTCATGTCTGGGGGTATCAAGAAAAGCTTGGGGTTGCTTTGAGGGCCAATTGAGGGCCAAAGGGTGTCTCACTTCGTTGGAGTCCCCTGTTCAATGATGACAGATTGGCTTCTCCGGCGGGAAACGGAACCGCCACGTACATGTACTCAACGGCAAAATGGCTGGGTCAGTCTGCGCCAGTCTGCGCTAGCCCCCAGGAACCAAGCCCAGCTATTTCCTCCACTAAAAATCACTCCTGGCCAGTGTATCAATCAAATTGCCCCTCGTCCCTCACTCACACCTCATACAATGGATCGGATGGATCCTTTCCCGCCCGCCGACGCTGCTTCCGTGGGGGTGGGTCTGCTACAAGCCGGCGGCTTCACTCGACGAATTAATGGATGTTATCATGGAAATTCTTGCGAACTTTTGCTGTCTTCACACCGAGGTACAGCCATCATACAAAACAAGAGGGACGGTGACGGACCATGAGCCAGACTAATTCGCCAATTCAGTTATATTGAAGTTTCAGTAGCTTCCGTTCTACTTCATTAGCTTGATAGCCCTTGATTTCTAAAGCTATCATTCCAGCTGCCGTAAAGGGGCTGGAAACTACAACCTGGGGGAAAATGGGTGGCGAAAACCGCGTGGATAGCATAATTGTAAGGGACAGGAGATGCGGTTTTGTAGGGTAGAATGTGGAAGCCTTGGCGGCAAAGCAAGCGGAATGCGTGGTAAGTGATGTTCATTGTTGTTTTTGCGGGGTTTTTGAGGATTTGGGTATTCTGCCATCCACGCCCGTGGAGCGTCGTCGTGCGGTAAGAGGAGGAGAAAGGCGTGGGCTGGGGGATTGCGAAAATTGAGAAGGTCGAGAGAAGAGCATGAATAGCGGAGAGTAAAAGGAGGGACGGATTTCATCATGAATTCTGAGAGAATATGGTCGGAAGATACGGACACTTCGCCGTCGGCCTTTGCGGCGTGTCGAATGGTAATAAGGGGAGGCCGTCGACGCCAGGGTAGACAAGCTGCTCGAGGCTGAAGATGCAACCATGGCGTGCATCACACCCATTCAACCATTCTACAAGGTGAGCCACACCGGCAGGCCGGCGCGGCTCCCCATGCTAGCCTTCGCCAACGGGTTATCATCCTTCCACGCGATGCTAAGAGAGGCAGTAAAGGCACTCTCGGCCGAGAGGTGAAGAGAATAAGAAGGGGAGGGCGATGGTGGATCGGTTATTGAGATGCCGTCTCGGGTGCGTGTCCGTAATAGGTCAGGAAGAAGAAAAAAAAAAGGAAACTGGAGAATAAGGAAGAGAAGAGATAGATTTGGGAAGAAAGGGAGAGAAAAAAGAGGGGAAAGGGCAGCGTCAATAAGGAAAAAAAGAAGGAGTAAGCGAGGAGAAAAAGAAAGAAAAAAAGAATAAAGCCGTATGTCATCGCGTCATTGGTATCCCGCTTCCCAATCTCCTTGATATCGGATGTGAAAGCCTTGCGGCAAGTCAGATCTGGGAAGGCCCCATAAACCGGAGTCTTGGCGAACTTGACCCTAAAATTCAAAGCCCCGTGGAATAAGCAAGAATAAGAAAGGAATACAATTCAAACGCAGCGCCCCGTGAGCAAGAGCAACCTCGACAGCTTTGCCAAAGTCACAAAAGGGTCCGGATTGGGTCCCTCTTCTACTCGTTGGGCTGGGGCTGGCTTCGTCGCATCTTCTCAGCCTCGAGGTTCTCATAAAGGAGGAAGAGGGCAGATTCATTGGCCTTGGCTGTGCCCATGATCGTGAACATTCGCTCGCCAGTCTCATCGTGAGGAGCCTATCGCGGAGAAATTCATGTTAGGGGATACACAACTCGGCCGGGCGCCGGGAGGGGCAGGAGGGAACAAACGTACCTTGGCAATCGAGATGCGGGCGCCCGAGGCCTTGCGGATCTCACTAATCTTGCTTCCAGCGCGACCAATGATGCAACCAACCATATCAGCCGGGATGCTAATGTTCTGAGTCTGGATCTCTTCCCATTCTCATCATGTGTGGGAGGACCACGGTTGGCCGCATCGGAATCCGTGGAACGGCGGTTGTAGGAGCGCGAGCCACCATTGCTAAAGTCGGTTCCATTGCCCGTGCGCGTCAGTCGCGAGCTTCCATACTCGTTCCTGCTGCTGCCAACCCCGCTAGTGCCGTAGTTGGAGCTGCTGCTGCCACCACCATTGCCACCGGTGAAGCTGCCGCCGCTGGTCGGGCTTCCGCCCTGGGTACGGACGGCCGGGTTATAGAGGACGGTGCCGGTGCCGCGCTGCCAGTCGTCAACCAAGCACTTTGCAATCTCCCAAATTGCCTGCTTGATGCCCTCCGGGGTTCCTTGGACCTCGACAATGCGTTCTGTAGACTGAGGGAGCATATCCTTTTGGGCGACCATGCGCACACCCGAGACATCTTGGATGTGCTTGATCTTGAGGCCCTGACGGCCAATGATGGTGCCCATCTGGTTATGCGAGATGAGCAGCTTGATGGCTATTATCATGTGAGTTAGCGCTCGTTTCAAGTAGTGGGATGCGGCTAGAACGTACGGTGAGTGCCGTTGCTCTGGATAACCCCGCCCATGCCGACAGAGGGCGCGCCCTCAACTAGGGCACGGGCAACGATAGCGTAGGCTCGTGCGATGGCATCGCAGCCACCAGTAATGGTAAGAACACGGTCATGAACGCCCTGGACAACCTTGCTGACGCCAGCCTTCACGCCAGTTTCGTCGCGGAGGTCGGCAACGTTCTTTCCGCCCTTGCCGATGATGACACCGGCTTCCTTGGAAGAGACAATGGCTCGCAAAGTCAGCTGGGCCTCGGCATATTCTTCGTCAGTCTTGGGAGCGGGTTCGCCATCGGGGCCTAGAAGAGGCTCGTCGTGCATCTTGGAGTCAATGTCCATGTCGAGACCGTTGGAGATATCAGAGGCAGCCATGGTGTGGGATGGAGGATTGAGTGATGAGACAAGATTGGAGTGTTGGATTGTTGAAGAGAAAAGGGTTGAAGGAATAGGAATCCTTTGGGGTCGAAGGACGAGAGAAGAGGGAGAAGGGTGAGGAAGCCGAAGGTGGCGGGGGCGAGGAAAGGGGAGGGGTGGGAGTCGGTGAGGGGATCACGGAACCTAAGAAACGTAGGAAGGGAGTTAGCAATCACGACTCATAATAAAGTTCAGGGCGCATGCTTTCTGAAGAATGATTTTCAACAAGAAAACCGCATGCGGTAGCCTTTGATGCGGGCATTCCACTTGGAATCAACTAGAAGCGATGCGACGACAGACACCATCATTCCCAAAGAGAAAAAAATGGATAGGCCGTCAAAGTCTCGCCGGGGTCACACGACTCCAAAATTGAAGAGGCAGAAAAAGTGAATTCAATCCGACGGGGCTTTGGGGAGGTTATCGAATTGATTGGGGTCGCATACCTGAGGGGAGGGCAAGAGAAGCGGATGAAAGCTCGTGATGTCGTGGAGAGCTTTTGCGAAACAAGGTGGAGGAGGTGGGGTGGAGGGTTATTCTTTTTTTCTCGCAAATCTTTGTTAGATTTTCCTTTATTTTGCCCAGAATTTGGTCCAGGGTGTGTGTGCAGGGACGAGCAAGATGGCGGGGTCGATGGCAGGCAGAAGGTGGAGAGCCAGCACTGCGAGCAGGGGACAATGGAGAGAGTTACTTACGGTTAACTTGGCGCTTTCCGTTGGTGGAGTTGGGGAAATCAAGCACGTAGCACGCGAAATGATCGACTGGGTATTTTAGATTCCGATTGCTCAATGAGGGCCGATGAGCTAGAAGCCAGCGGGTTGACAGTCGACTCAGGCAATTCGATTGGGGGATACAATGCTAGAGCTCGACTCGAGACGGCGATGGTCGGGGAATATCACCCTATGGCAAGCCTGACAGATGGGGGTGGGGTGGGATAGTGAGAAGGAGGGAGGGTTCAAAAGTAGGCGGGGAGCAAGAGTAGTAGCAGTAGTAGTCGTAGTACACCTAGAGGGTATCCGGGCGCGAAGAGAAGAGCTTGAAGAGGGTGCGGGTGGGGAGCTCGAGAAAGCGAAATAGCTTTGGCGGGCTAGGGGACAGAAAATGATGCGGGATCGTGAAGGGAGACTTGGGGTAGAGAGGAGGGTAGAGGTGGATGGAAGAGGTCGAGAAAGGGTGAAGAGAAAGGGTAGAGTGAGAGGGTGAAGAGAGGGTGAAGAGAGGGGAGGAGAGAGGAGAGAGGGGGAAGAGGTTATAGGAAGGCGAGAAAAGGGAGTTGGCGAGGGAAGCAGCGATGAGACTACAAGATCATCGGAATACTTCTTTCCATGTCAAGGTGTAGAAGAGAGCAGGTACGGGGACAGGGTGAGCAAGGTAGGGAAGGAATATTTAAGAAGGTAGGAAGGCTTGAGGAAGGGGGTCGCAGATATACCTTTGGTGGGGAAGGACCTCGAGCCTGGAAGCTGCCCTGCGGATGCCCATTTCAACAATTGTACTGCACTACCTCACCCATGCAGCTTCCAAAAGCCAAGCAGCACGAGCTGTGACACCGTGAACGCAAGGGTGGTTATCTGAAGCACTTGGTGCTGCATTCCGCATTGAAACTACCTGGACCCGCCACTGTATCCATCCTCAATCAACCATCCACTGTCTGAGCCAACCAGGGAGCTACTGGCCGACCTGGGGCGGGGAGGGAACTTAGCACCACAACCCATCAATGATCACCACGACCCCCATCACCACAATCCGTCGGCAGTGAGAGGGGAACACCCAAACAGCGGCAGGAGGGGGCCAGGAGCAAAAAACGACACAGGACAAGAACAGCAGAGGAAGCCGGGCGGTAATGTAATGGGAGGATGAGCCCTGGGATTGGGCACGAGTGGACCGGGTTCGAATGACCTCTGTGAACTTGCAGGTGGCATTGAGGCGGGCACTGACGGAGCTAGCAGGTTCTGGGCATATTAGTGGACCGGGCTCTCAAGGCCTACTGGCCAGGACTTGATCAATCCTGCTGCAGGCACCTCAAGTACCGGGTACTAGAGAGAAAGCTCGTCACCCAGTCCGGCATCAACGGAGCATTGATCAATTTCTTCACCTGCTTGGATGTGAAGCGACCAGTGCCCGAATGAACGAACCAGCGCAAGTTTCGCCGGCCGATGAATGAAAAACGGACGAGTGTGCCGGGAACCCCTTCAGGTTGAGAGTTCAATTGGCCTTGTCTGGACAAATCCACCAAATGAATAGATTCCTATATCTAAAGGATTTGTTCAATTACTGTTGAAGAAGCTCAGTAAACACCTCTCTTTTTCAACCTCGAGACGTGAACCCTTGTCATATCCACGCGCGGCCTAACCCTTTCCCCGCCAGGAGAAGGGGACCCGTTGTTTTTTGTACTTTTCCGAGTACCGCGGGGGTGCCCAAGCTTCTCCCCTCCTGCATCGTGGACATCCACAGATGGAAGCATAAGAGGCCAGAGCATGATGGCGACAATCCCTCCATGATTTGGGGTGGATGGGCCACGAGTCGAAGAGTGCAGGAACTGCACGAAAACCCTCCCCGGTCCTCTAACTGGGCCGGCATGCGCACAGGAACCCCCAAAGACACGGATTTTTGAAGCGCGAATCTCATTGGCAATCGGTCGGCATCATTATCTGGTTAGGGGGCGAAGACTCGGCGCCACGATTAAGCTCTATATTAGCCACTTATCACATGGAGAGAGGGAAGAAGTAGAGAAAGAACCAAGACCGAGTGGCAAATCAGGCGATGTGAACAGCAGGGGAAGAGGCTCCCTCCGTCTGCGATAGATTTGGAGGGAGGGTGGGGGTACGACTGGTTGGACCGAGCTGGCGCAAATATGTTTGCTAGGCTGGATTGACGGCTGATTGAGCGCCATTCCGAGCACCTCCGTGGATCTGTGCAAGCGTGTGCTGGCACAGCACCTAGGTGAGACGCGTGTGCTGGGCGGATCGGCTTCAAACCCCCCAAAGCCCAGAAGCCCCCATCACAATCAACGGGGTTTGGATGCGAGTTTTTTCTGTTTCTCGTTTTTTTAATCTTCAACTTTGGGGGAAATACGGGGAAGTACCCGCGACATGGACAAATGCCATTGCAGTAACGGATGACGTTTATGTATCGGTTTCGCGGCAGGTTTTTCTTTGGGGCCCAAACAGGATGCACGGCTGCACAGACGGAGACAATGAATCGAAGATCAGGCAGGGAGATGGATGCTTGACGTATTTACAGAATTCTCTTTTTGTTGAATTACCGCGGATTGGGGATCAGTACCAGATACATATACTCGACAGCTACCGCTGGCGTAGGGCCTTTCGTGCCTTTTCCAGAAATTACGGCAAGACCGGTGTCCCCAGTGCTCTATCCACCACTCGCCAAAACTATCCTCCACATCAAAGTCCACCTTAGCGACCCTCTCGTCTCTTTTAAGCCCGCACACGACGCACTGCCGGGGCGCCGTGGGAACGACCTTGGCCGTCGAAACGGACATGGTCTCGCTCACCTCCGGTACCCTCAGCTGCTGCCCGGAGCCCCGGTCCCGCCGCCGGTCGTGGCTGCGTTGGCGGCTGCCACGGCGGATCGCACGCGTCCGACTTGGGTCTTCCACGCGGCCACCACGTCGGCCGCTTCACGGTCCTCGCGCGCCGTTTCCGCTTTGTCGACGCCGGCCAGCTTCATGCCCTTTGCGCCGGCAGCCGAGATGGCCATGCCCTGGGCGAGGAACTTGTCGCGGTGCCATCGTAGCTTCCGGCCGGCGAGGATGCGTGCCGCCACCGTCGCGATCAAGAGGTAGCTGCGGAGGAACGCTAGGGTGGCTGGATCGGACATGATCTTCTTCTTGGCCTCTGCCGACTGGCCAGCCGTGGGTTGGAAGAGGGACGTGGTCGCCAAGTTGAAAAGACCGGGAAGGATGGTCATGAGGACGGAGGGAGGTGGTATATTCGTAGGCGGCGGTTCCTTATCGTCGTAGCCCTCCTCCCCTTCTTCTAGGAGACCCCCTTGGGCGGAGCGGAGGGCGTCTCCTTGGCATCGCGGACCTCGTCAACGGGGTCCCAGTCCCAGTTGCTGTCATCGGCATCCGGTACTGCCTTTTTATCGTACTGGGCTGTTGTTTCTGCTCAGGCTTCTCCTCGGGAAAGTCTTCCCAGGGTGCCCACTCGTCCCTCTGACTCGCAGGCGGCGCGCCTCCATCCAAGTCAGGCCAAGCGGTTACCGGGGATGGCGAGTTTGGATCGTCTGTCTTTTTCAGGTCTTCTTGCTTGGGCGCGGCTATCGCGAGACCCTTGTAAGGGTTGCGTTCCTGGAAGGGTGGCGATTTGAGGGGAGGCGGATAAGGCGAGGGGACGCTCGTGGTGATATTGCCAAGGATGAGCCCGGGCTTCTTGGCAGCCTTATTCGGCTCCGGTTGGGGCGCAAAGAAGTCGGCGCCGGAGAATAGGTCTTCGGACGCAGCTGGTGGCGGTGTAGGCTTGGAAGCGCGTGGCGGGCTGGCGAATGCCGGGGCCGCCGCAGAGCCGGCCGTGTTATTAGTGTACGAGCCGGCGCCGCTGGTCTCGAAGTCGCCAAACTCGTCGTCGTCGAACTCCTCCGTCTCGTCAATGTCTTCCACATCGAAGAGCACATTAGGGTCCTTCTTCTTGGGGGTTCCGCCGGCGGCTGCGGAGGGTGCCAGGAAGCCTTGGGGACCGGAGAGGTGTTTGACGAGAATCCCAAGTCTACAAGATTGTTGGTCATCAGGTCGATAGTCGATGCGCGCACTATTCTCGTGCGTACTGGAAGGGGGTTGCTCTTGCCTCTGGTGGGCTATCGTAGGAAAGGGCTGTGTAGCGGGGGCGGGGGCGGGCACAGGAGCAGGAGCAGGAGCAGAGGTAGCACTTGAGAAGAAATCACCAAAGGGGTCGAAGGGGGCCTGAGTAGTTGCGGCGGGTCCGGCAGGCGCGACGGGCACGACAGGCGCATACGAGGATGAGGTTATCGGGGCCTGCGGCGCTGGGGTCTCTGCGGTCTCAAAACCGCCCCAGTCATCGTCATCGTCCTGGGTGGGTGCGGTTTGCGCCTGCGGCTGAGACTGCGAGGTGGGTGTGAAAGATGAGAACGGAAAGGACTGAGAGACGGGGTTGCTGGGAGGATGAGCGCCGTTGCCCGGCGCCGCTACCTCGGGGCCTCTATAAAAGTCATCGAGGTCAATGAGTAGGTCGTTCGACATGAGGCGACAAGTTTGCGAACCAGGAGTAGGGTGATCTTCTTTTTCCTGCTTCTGAAAGGGATGGAAATTTGGCGATCGGATCGACAGACAGAAGGACTGTTCAGGCCACACAAACTAGAGGGCACTAGAACAAATCTGGGACTTGGAAGGGGCCGTGAAAATGTGGGGTAAGGCTGGGAAGGGAAGAGAGTGAAAGTGATTGAGATATCCGCAAGACTATGTCAGTGTGCGTCTCTTGCGATGTGGCATCAGGACAGAGCAAGTTGTAAGCAAGGCAGCAGTAGGAGGTGGGAAGGGAGTGTCGAGGCAGAGGTTGCGCGCGTTTAAGGCTGGGAAAACAGGTCCCCGAGGTCGAGAGGCAGCGGCAGGTGGAAACCGCGACAGCCTCTCACATCTCGGGGTTTTGTGGCTCCCCCTTCCCCTTGGACGCTTTATACTCGTGCATGGATAGCGTTACCGTCATGCCGAATCGAGAAACAATTGGAACTTCAGCCTCAGCCGCCCCTGCTGACGGGCGAATTCAGGGGTTCTCGAGGCCCGCGAGGACATGCCCCGGGCGAAAATGATGTTTTTTTTTAATGGTGAAGGAGAACATCCGTGAACGGTTAGGTTCCTGGTCCCATATTGCGAGGCGGTCGTTGGTGTTCACATGTACATGTAGTTGACTCTGAATCTACTTGTACATGCTGTGAGTGAAGATGCTGCTTGCTGGCTCAGAGTCCCCGCCGCCCCCGCAAAAAAAAAAAAAAAAAAAAAAATTAATTGGAGGGGAGAAAAAGAGCAGTGAAAGAAAGCATAAGGAAAAGTACCAAGAATTGGGGTGCTTGGGAGGGTGCATGTAAAAGGTCCGAGTTGAATGACGACCTTGGTTGATCAACTTGGAGAGCTCGAGACCAGGTCGTGCAAGAGAATTACGACACTCAAGTTGAGTTGAGCGTGTGACACTGGCAGACTAGCAGTGACTTTGCCTTGAGTTGGGATCAATTGCTCCAACTCCAATTGCTCCAATTGATCAATTGATCCAATTCAGTGCAGCTCTGCAGGCCCCACTTCGCTTCCCCGACCTCCACTGGGAAGAAGGAGCCATCAATTGATCACAAATGAATTGCCCCGACCTCCCGCCAATTCGCCCATCGCCATCGCCGAACCCCGGGTCCCTCCGAACGACATCTCTGGCCCCCTTCTACCGAATTTCTTCTCCCTTTCTCATGGCGGATTCATGACTTGGACGGCCTTTTCCTCTTTCCCCTCTTCCTTCCTCCATAGCTAGAGCTTGTCCTCGCTATGCCGCCCGCCGCCGAGGCACTGTGAGTCCTTTGCCTCCACCCCTCCCTTCTCTCACACACTCTCTCTCTTGCTCGTATGAGCCAAAAGTGACGTAGATTAATTCGCCTTGGTCCCTTTCTAGCCCGAGATGGCAGGCAACACTCAACAGCTGCTCCTCTCTCGCCGCACTACGTCGGGCTGTGAGATATGACGGAGCAGAAAGTCCCGCCATCGTCGGGTGCCGCTCGCTATGTTGGAAGGTTAGCAAAAACCTGTATCACGGACATGAGTCCACCCTCTGGCCCGGAAGGGGAAGAGTCCTTGACGACTTTTTGTTTTTCTCTCAAGTCCTCTTGAGGCCATCTTCCCTTGGACCCCGCGCCAGACTACGCCTCACGGTTGACTAACATTGGCCGAGCAGACATTTCTGCTATTCAAGGACATCTCGCCGTCGGCTTGGATTCACTCCCTCGCCGAGGCGCGAGAATCCTATGCCTCGACGAGAGACCATCTGCTAAAGTACATTAAACATCCCGAGGACCTCGCCAACCTCTCCATAGACCCTCTTGCCGATGACCCAAACGTGAGTCCGTAGCGCACACTACCCCCCTCCCAATTCCACGTCTACCGCAAGAGGCCCGCTACTCACTCCACTTCCTCGCAGTCGCCCTGGACCACTGTGCGCCAAGATGATGCCATCCGGGAAGAGATTGCCCAGGATGTTCGCCGTCTTCCCGACGAGCCCCTCTACCAAGAGGAGCGTATCCAGACCATGATTATCGACATCCTGTTCATCTATTGCAAGCTGAACCCGTCCGTCGGGGGTATCGTCAAGGCATGCACGAGCTTTTGGCGCCCATTGTTTATGTGGTGAGCCGAGATGCTGTCGACAGGTCCGAGGAGGATACCTCGCTCTCCGACTCGGACAGGCTAATGTTTTCCGTGTTGGACTCGGCGTTTGTCGAGCATGACTCGTTTGCTTTATTCTCTAGCATCATGGACCGTGCCGCGTCCTTTTACGAAGTCAACGACAGCCCCGTTGGCGTGGTCCCGCCAGGTCTCGCTGTGGCGGAGAACGCGGGAACGTCCGTGATCGTCGAGAAGAGCAAGTTCATCCACGAGGTTTGCCTTAAAAGGTCGACCCTCAGCTCGCGCACCATCTTACGAGCATCGAAATCCTACCCCAAATCTTTCTCATGTAAGTGCAGTTCCTCCCATGACGAGTTTCCGCCAGCCATGCCAAAAACGCTAACTTGGGATGGGAAGACGTTGGATCCGGCTATTGTTTGGGCGCGAATTTCCATTCGATCAGGTCTTGGTTCTTTGGGATACCATCTTTGCCGTTGATCCTCGGCTGGAACTGATAGATCTCATCTGTGTATCCATGCTTTTGAGAATCCGGTGGGAGTGTAAGTCTGAGTGGACCTCTTCGTTATATATATTGGTATCATTCCGCTTACTGACAAAAATCTCTTTTCAGTGTTGGAAGCGGATTATTCGGTTTGCCTCCAGCTTCTCCTCAAGTACCCAACGCCCTCGCCTCCTCACGGCCCCCACACCTTTGTCGAAGATGCCCTGTACCTCAAAGGCCACCTCACCTCCTCCGGCGCAACGTCCCTCCTGATGAAGTACACCGGCCGAGTACCGCAGCTGTCCCGCACCCCGTCCTCCACCACCTCCCGCCCCAACACCCCAAGTTTCCCCAGCCTCGGCAGCCTCCGATCCCGCGGCCTCAGCCCCCGCTTACCGCTCGATTCGGCATCCAAGCTCCTCCAGCAGCCCGGCGGCGTCGAGGCCCTCTTCCAGGGCGCCGCGAAAAACGTGCTGGAGCGGAGCGAGAAGCTCGGCATCAACCAGGCCGTCAGGGACGCCATGGGGGAGATTCGGCGAAACATGCAAACCCTGCAAGACAACCGTCCGCACCCGCCGCGGTCGGGGAGAGATTCGGCGTTTAGCTCCGGCGTCGGCTCGCCGGCCGCGGCCGACGCGGCGGTCAAGGCGCTGGAGAGGCGGAATCAGCAGCTGGCCAACCTTCTCGACGAGAGCCTCTCGGGGTTGAGGGCCATCACGGCGGACGTGCTCGAAGACAAGGTGAAGAGCTTGGAAATGATTGAGATTGCCGCTTCGAAAGCGCAGGTCGTCAAGCTTTGCCTCGAGGACTCGTCTCTCCAGGTCCCCGGTCCTCACCTCGCCGAGGCAGAGGCAGAGGCAGCGGCCGCGGCCGTGGCCGACGATCAAAGCCCCGCGCTGCCTCACGACGAGGATGCAGACATGGTCATGGACGCCGCCGCCACGGAACCTGGCGCCGGCAAGCCAGCCGCCGAATCACCACCTAAACCAGCCCCGGCCGGCGACCCCCTGCCCACAATCTCCTCGCTCTCCCTCGCCGACAACTCCGCCGACGCCACGCCCTCCCTGCCACCTTCCCGCGATCCGCTCTCGGACGCTCCCGCACAAGTCACGTCGCCCAAGAGCCCCGAGCGGCCCAAGACCCTCCTCCCGAACCGCTCCTCCATCGCCCAGTCCTCCTTTGCGTGGATGCTCGAGCCCGACACCTCGGTCCCCGCGCCCCTCCCCTCCACCACCGCCACGGCTCCCGCCGGCGGAGGTCACGGACACTCGTCGGGTTCACCCTCTCGGGGCGCGTCCCAGTTTGCCGGTAGCGGTGGCGGCGGCGCCTCGGGCTCGGGCTCGGGCGCGCGGCTGCACAAGAAGCGGCCGAGCGGGTCCTCGTCCACGCGGGAGAGGAACGCCTTCTTGTTCGGGGAGGTCGTGCCTACGGATGCGGAGGTGGGTGTCGCGGCTGGGGTGGAGGCGAGGGCGATTCGGAGGGAGGATATTTTTGGGCTTGAACCTATCAAGAGGGATAAGGAGTGAGGCTGAGAGGGGGTGTTTTTCTGAGTGGTTTTATTTCTTAGCAGTGGCGTTTTTTTGTTTGGTTATTTTCACGGGGTTTAGATGTGCGTGTGAAGAGGGAAGGGAGAGAGGGGAGCAGGACTGTCGCCGTGGTATGGACAATGATCTATGAGGGTGTTTTATTTATCGCGTAGTGTAGCGTGCTTTCGTTGAAGCTGAACATTTTGGATAAGCAACACTGAACAAACGTTTTCGGCCGATTGCACTTTTTCTCTCTCGCATACTCGGAAACCTCTGTTGTGTTCATTTTGATTCTCCTGGTTCTCGTGGTTCTCTCCTACTTTCGAGGTTTTTGTTACCTATCGAGATGAAGAGGGTACATGTATTGCCAAGGGGCTGTTTTACTACTACACTAACTTTTATTATTATTTGATTCTCCTATTTTCATCTGACCTAGGTAAATTCCTCCATTTTTTGTGATCCACAAACCAAGTTCCTAGATATCCTAAGAGATACATCGAGTATCTCCCACATCCTCGCCAAGAAAGTCTACTAGACCCTACTTCCTCATGCTCTTTTCCCGAATGAAAAAGGTAGCCACCACAGCAAAGGCCAGGACAATGATGGTAGGCCCCATAGCAGCGCCAACAGCCAACCTATAGCTCTCTCTCACGTCGGCGGCAACGGCCGCGGGCAGATCAGCAATGGCGCGGAGATCCTTGCGCACGCTCTCCTCGATCTGGCGAGCGGCGTCGCCGTCGCCAAGGCGGGTGCGGAGCTCGGTGCGGAGGACGTTTTGCAGGACGGCGGAGGAGACGCTGATGCCGATGCTGGAGCCGAGGGAACGGAAGAGGTAGGAGCAGGCGACGACGACGGCGGTGTCCTCGGGAAGAGCGTTGGAGAGGAGGGCGACGAGGGTGGTGGTGATGCCGCAGCCGGCGCCGAGGGCGGTCATGGCGAGGCCGAGGACAACGCCCGGGGTGGAGCGGGCGTAGATGGCGGCCATGAGCGGGGCGCAGAGAGAAAGAGGATGGTGTAGCCGGCGACGGTGACCCAGTAGTACCGGCCGGTGTGGCGGATGATGTAGCCGCCGCCGAGGGACGCGGCGACGCCGAAAATCATGCAGGGGACGAGGAGGGTACCGGAGTCGGTGGTGGAGAGGCCCTGGACGGCCTGGAAGAAGAGCGGGGCGAAGAAGATGCAGGCGATTTGGCCGGTGGTGCCGAAGAAGTTGGAGAGGTAGCAGGCGAAGAGGGAGCGGTCAAAGATGATGTGGCCCGGGGCAAAAGGGTGGGAGGCGACGCGCATCTCGACGAGGACGAAGACGGCGAAGAGGCAGGGGGCGGAGGCGAGGCCGGCGACGGTCCAGGGGTCGGACCAGCCGCGGTTGGAGCCGGCGTCGAGGCCGGCGAGCAGGGCGGTGACGGCGGAGACGAGGAGGGCGGCGCCGAGGAAGTCGACGCGGGCGACTTTTCGCGCCAGTGGGCGTGGTCCTTGCGGGGCAGGTGGAGAAAAAGGGAGACGGAGGCGAAGGCGAGGACGCAGAGGGGCACCTGGCCGAGGAAGGACCAGCGCCAGCCGATGGAGTCGGCGAGGAAGCCGCCGAGGGGCGCGCCGGTGGAGGTGCCGGCGGCGAAGATGATGTTGAGGTAGCCCTGCCACACGCCGCGGTCGCGCAGGGGCACGATGTCGGAGATGAGGATGGACACGACGCTGTTCATGCCGCCGCCGCCGATGCCGGCGACGGCGCGGGATACGCAGAGCTGCGTCATGTCGCGGGCGAGGCCGCACCCGAGGCAGCCGAGGGCGAAGACGGTGTAGGAGAAGAGGAGGCACTCTTTGCGGCCAAAGATGTCGCTGAGCTTGCCGTAGAGGGGCTGGAAGCTCGTGAGGGTGAGGAAGTAGCTAGAGAGATGAATGAGCGTGAGGATTTGGGAGGGGGGACACGGGACGAGGGGCGTCCGTTGGAGTGAAGGAGGGCACTTACGCTGTGGCCACCCAGCTGGTGCTATTCAGGGCGTTGAGGTCGCTTCCGATCTTGGCGTAGCTGGCTACCGTCAACATCTGGTCCATGGCGCAAAGGAAGATCTAAAAGGCAGGGTCCCCGAAAAAGTTAGTCGCGTTGCACCAACCATCATCAGAGTCCTCACGATGTTCTCGTTTCGGTATTCCGCCCCCAAGGCTGGTCCTCTTTTCGTTTTTTATAACCCGCCAAGACTCGGAGATAAACTTACACCAATGCCGATAGCGGGTAAGAGAAGATGCATCCGCGCAGCTACGTCGGGTATGCCCTCTGGCTCAGCAGCCGCCTCGCCATCTCCGGCACCTTCAACGTCGCCGGCGGAGGAAGGGCCGGCTTCCGAGATACCGTTGACCCCGGGCGCGTCCCTCAAGAGCGGCGTCGACTCGTCGGCAGCATTGGCCGCGACTGCGCTGCTGGTCGCTGGCATCGCAATCTTTCGAGCTTGCCTTCTTTCTGTTTCTCGCCTTGTCGTTTCTCTGGAGAGTTAACCCTTCGTTTCCAAAAAGTGCACTTCTTTCCCTTTTTTTTTTTTCCTTTGGTCTTCTTCTCCTGAATTGGGGTTACAGGCACGGCTACTCGTCACCGGGAGCTGATCTCGTGCGTCGCGGTTGTGTTGATAAGAATGCCCAGCGCGCGCGGATGGGGAAGCTTGTACTACGGCCCTACCGAGGCTCCAGAAATGGTCTGGAGCATGTAGGGTCGAGTGTGGGGGCGACACTCCTCTTACTGTGTGGGGGTCTGAGAGCAAAGGTCGTGGAAGCGCATGCGCGCTAGCATCAACGACGAGTGGCTGGTGATCTTTTCACCGACATCGATCAACTGACGAATCAATCGATCGAATTTGATCCAACATAAGTGGCTGGTAGTCTCTTCATCTGCATGAATTGATGTGATGTCGCCAACTGAGCTCTCGCTCGTGCCAACTCATCTGGTAGTCTCTTCATCTGCATGAATTGATGTGATGTCGCCAACTGAGCTCTCGCTCGTGCCAACTCATTCAAGTGTGGCGGCGCCCACCGCCTTTGTGTGCCGATCGCTATAGTCTACCATATAGGGCACCCTCTGACCCTCTATCTCAAAAACGCCACGCGCTCGACGCGCCAGGCGTGCTAGTGAGTAGCAGGCCCGGCTTCTTCGGATGAGGGGTGATTTACGCATTCCGCCTCGGTGAACTAGCTATTAGCTCCGGGAGCCTCGGTTTTCTTGAGGAGGGTGCATAAGCAGGTGCGAGACTAGGCCAATAGACGAATGGTTACAAGGGCACAAGAGCATCCTCTGCAATGCTGAAAAGACCCTTTGGAACAAGGGATCGTTGTTCTCCAAGGTAAACGAGCCTTGACGCAGTCGGCAAGATGGTGTCAGAAAATCACAGACAAGAGCCCGTCACGTGATGCACTGCTTCCGACCTGACGGTCTAGAGCATGAGCACTGATGAGACAAGGATCTGGTCGTCAATGTCAATGCGAAAGGCCGACAAGAGACAGGCCAGATTTATTAAACCCCCTTAATCCCTGGCATCGCCGCATGGAACAGCCAGGTCTTTAAAGGGAGCTGGGGAAGGATATGCCGGGGAGGAATCTTGTAACATATCAATCAGTGTCGTCCAAGGAAGATCAGAAGAGAACATTTTTCTATCAGGGTCAATGGCCTGGGTCCGCGAGTCCCAGCTGAAGGGCACGAACCCCCGGGGTTCGTGACTGACGCAGTCTGAGGGGCGTTTCCTATCCCCCAGCACGCACCTGAAGCGGTCAACGGGGGACCTAGCCCAAGCGGGAAGGGGAAGAAGGGACGCGCGGACGTCGTCCCAGACCTGAACTCCCACCCATGCCCTAGCCGCGAGTGTTGCATCCCTTTGAGGATGGTGGCGGCCCGTGAGGCTGAAAAGGGAAGTTCAAGGTTCAAGAGACCAAGGGGACAACGTCTGTCGTTGTCTGTTGAACGAAGAAACGAGAATGGTGAGAGGGCTGAGAGCCTCAACATGAAAATTGAGCTATTCACGCAGGTTTCGTATTCCACGGCAGCCAAGTCAACTAGGGCTATTTTCCCGCTCCGAAAAAAGGAAGAATGAATGAAAGAAAGAGAAGGCGTTGAAACACGGCAGATACCTTGCTATGTCGTCTCGTGTTTATGTTTGGCGCCGCGCACAGCAAACCATTTCCTACCCTTTAACCCTGCATGTAACGGTGCGCGCGCGGTGGGCAGCCGTTCAACAAGCTCGCGGGTAAGCATACCGAGGTGTAGACCCCGAATTTGAACCATGGAGCAACCCCGAGGAGACAACGAAGAGGGAAACTCAAACAAGTCCACACATGTGCTAAGAGCGAAATGACTGAAGCCTCGAGTGACCTAAGTAGAGCGAACGACACTCTTCGAGCTTCCTACATCTAAGGGTTGCGTGGTCCCTGGGTTAAATACTTCGTACTTACAAGGCTGACGAGAGACAAGAAAAGGAGGTTTCTCGTGTAAAGCAGGGGTTAGGATTCTCAGACTCTTTCATTTCTCGATGGGCTTTTCGATGGTTCAAATTCGCGTGACAACAATATCATGGGCCTTCAGCCTTCAATGAGGACGAGCTGAGGAATTGCAAACATCGTCCCCCAACGCGTTCACGAACTATCTTCAGATTGAGACTCGACACTAACTACGAACCTTTTCAGGAAGTGTGTGTTTACCATCTGCCAATTTTCGCAGATTTCCTCCTCAGGTCATCCACTATCAATTTCAGCCCCTTTGCCCAATGCCCAAGCGATGATTGATCAATCACCGTAAGCGAGGGGCGGAATATCACGTCAAGAGGCTCTCGGAGTGGCCTCAGCCCGACAGTCCTTCCGAGGGTCACAACGATGCAGAGAGGAACTTGCGGAGATTTCAATCAATCCTACATCTATATTGTTATTATTATTGCTCTTCTCCGTTTCTCCGTTTGCCTAAACGTCGACTTGCGCCACAAACGTCCGACCCTCGGTAAATATGCAGGCAGATAGATGGGAGGCATCCATTACCGCGCCTTTACATCACAAACAGCGAATGGTTGTGTCGATATCAACAAAAACATTTGCACGCCAATCTAAACGCTATTGACATTCCACCAAACGGGCACGTTAGCCATCCCGAAGCGGATGGTGTGCGCAGCGAGGGTTGTATTTTGGCAAACATGAAGAGAGCAGCGAAAGGCTGCGGGCGAGTGGGGGCAGCAGCAGAGAGCAACCTTTATGTTGCATCAAGGTGCATTGCCGGCATATCGCCACTTGACCAGAATAATAGGCCCAGTCAGATGATGATTACCCCTCCAAAATAACGGCGTGAAGAGAGACGTCTCTTTCTCTCCTTGTCTAGGATGGGGATAAAGAGACGGAGAGCAGTGAGGCAAAAGGAGAAATAACAAAGGGGGAAAAAAGGGTAAAAGAAACGCCGACCTCGATGCTGAGAGACGACACGATACAGAAGTAAGTCAGGAGTGCAGATATACCGCAAGACTGGTAGAGAGAAAGCCGAAACAACAGGCAAAAAAAAGAAAGCAAGTAAAGAAGAAGAAAAAAACCTTTACGAAAAGGCTGAACACGAGGACCGTACTACGGACTCCCTACTCCCCTCAGACTTGGGACCTCGGAGTTGACGAGGTCTTGGTGAGAGCGAAAGGGAGAGTCACGACGCGGCGGAGGAGGGGAGAGACAGTGATGCAGCCCGTGTTCTTGTTTAACAAAAACCCGGAGGCCGGTTTCGATGCCTGGAGGCCGAGACACCACTCGACCAAGTGCAAAACTTGAGACTGGGGAAGATGGTGAGACAGCAAAAATGGCGTCTGGGTGATAAGCTTTCACTCCAGACATCTTTTTCTTTCTTTTCTTTTGGCCTATTAGTTGGGCTGAAGGCTCCCGAGCGCCCTAGCCTAGAGAATATTGAGTGCTTCACCGATCCCCATCAAGCTCTTGTCAAACAAGGAGAGCTAGACTGGTGAGGGACATGATCGACCACCATCTCTTGACCCCCTGGTTCAACCAGACTGGCTGGCTCGGAAGAGAGGGAGATGACGATCCCCCTCGTTCCTCTTCATGACAACCTGCAAGTCGCCCCCTGTCCGAAGATAGGCCCTTTGCCGGCGTACCGAGAAAGCGAGCATCGAATAGTGATTACATTTCCACCGCTCCATCAAGTATACATCAATGCATGCATCTAGACGTTAAGAAACGATGATACACGTGGTGATAAAGCAGTCCCCGAAGGACCAATCTAATAATCCCCCACCAAAGTCGATCACTGTGCACGATAAGCGGCCAAAGAAAGGAGTATTACCAAATTCTACTCTGGCAGACTGGACCTCTTGAAGTGTCATATGGCTCTTGAGAGGGGGCAGCCTGCAACGTGGGTTTAATTGGCATGAGGACTGGTGATGTAACACTGCTACTTCTATTCTTGGGTCTCAGAACAGGGCTCACCCGATTCCCGAGGCGAGGCGGAGACGAACGAGAAAAGAAATTCCTGGCGGAGATTGGGTTTCCATCCGACGTCCGCCCATGGGTACGTTTGGATCAATTTGAGGAGGGAGGAAACAGAAAACCTGGGCTTGGCTGGAGTGATCCTCCACCCCTTCTTCATCAATGCCTCTCTCCCAAGTCTCATCTGACACTTTTGTGCTACCCTTCCCATGTGGAGATGACCAGGGACGCCATCGATCCGCAATCCAATCTCTAGAAGGGTTAATAGATTCCTCGTGATGTTTCGATCCATGGAGCGCGCCTTCTCTCAATCCATTCATATCGATTCTCGACAAGGAAATCAAAATATAAACAAATTGGTAGGCGAGGTGGGCACAGAGAGAGAAAACGCGCTATTTCTTGGGCACGTCCAATTTGTCTGCACCTTGGACGTCAACCGTGCTCACCTTGGGTGAAAGAAGACAGCTGAACTTTTTGTTTTTCGCACTAGCCCATCAAGGCATTTCAGGACGCAGCATTGACCATCGATAGCTTCTGGAAGAAGCGACTCCGAAACGAAGGAGTCCTTCCTACCCGCGCGCGCCAAGGGTTTCCCCATCGTTGTCTTTGCCAACTTCAAGATGGAAGATAAAGGGCACTGACCACGCCGACCAAAAGTGGCGGGCGGGACATGACGAGCCGTCTGATCGAGTGGATGTGGGGAGGACGCTATCCTGGGTTAGCAAGGAGATACAAATACGTCGCTCGTGGACTGATCCATGAGCATGAGTTTCTGGTTGTTGGTTGGCCGGGCCGGCTGGGATTCCTTTGGGGGAACAATATTACTTGAATTACTTGTAGTTGGCGTTGGTTGGTTCACTCTGACTGGCTTTACCGATGATGCGGGCCTTGAAGCATATCCGTTGGGCCTTTTTTATCTATAACCCGCTCATAGCAAGAGAAACCGGTCCGATCTGAAGAGGGAATCCAAGATCAATAGTGACAGGGTTGGAAGTGGATTCACTCTCGGTTGGTTCGCAGTGTCCCCAAACCCATTCTCTCTCCCCTCTATCTCTCCCAACATCAAGGAGATGGTGTATATGAGAGATGATTCGATGTTACGTGGATCGAGGGGAAACATTGCTCAGGATTCTTCGCGTCCTTGGAACCAACTTGCAGAGGAAACAAAGCAGAAGAAAAAAAGAAAAACATGGAAATTGTCTCCACTGCACCGCCCCAACTGTGGGATTGTTAAATGAAGATTCAAACTCCGAAGCTTCCTTCCAAGGGCCAAGGGCGGAGGAGGGAGACGCGCGAAATATACCAAGTGACGAAGGTCGCATTGGATCTCACGCAAAAGATTAGCTTGGTTCTCGATGCAGGTACAGCGCCCTCTCGATACTGAGTGGGGCAGACCTATGTCGCAACCAATCTATTGGACCCAGAGTCCCATCTCGATCCGTCTTTCCACTGTTCGCTTCCGTGGGGCAAAGAGAGAGGCAAAGGGGCGCAGAGGAACAAGAAGCCAAGAGCTATTATGGGTTGAAGGAGCATGCGGCTGCAGATTATCGCTCACCTATGAGATTGGTGGTTTTTCTTTTTCTTTTTCTTTCTCGATCTCGTCTCTTTCGTGCATGGCTAGCATGAGATGGCGTCGACGTGAAGAGGGGCCAAAATGGGGACCTGGACCAGCCCTTGGATAATGCTCGTTTCAATTCCGCCCCTCTTCCCTCCTCCGGTGCTTGGCCCATGCATATCTCGTGGCTTTCCTCGGGGAGCAGTCGATTTGAGATGGCCGCACCTCCTGGCTCATTGCTTTTTAACCAGTGGCTGTTTCAGATGTTCCCGACTCGGGACAGGGGTGGGCCCACGGATGACATGGGAAAGATACCTTGCAAGTTCACTTTAAATAGCCTCCGCGCGATGTACCGTCAGGTACCTTTCCCGTTGCAGATCATTCAATCTTCTCCCTCTGCCCTTCGCCTTTGCTGTTGGGGGTGGAATTGATTGGGGGCGGATGGGGGATGAAAAACGGCCCAGTTCTGCAAGTACTTGAAGTACGAAGTAGTTGGCGACCTCCCGACAACAAAGGACACCACTCGTCAAGGCCCTGTCAAGCTGAGAGAACGCTTCGGAAGCCTTCTTGGCCCCGTCCAGATTCTTACGGGCCCTACACCCAAAGGGGAGATGGCCTCTTCCTCTAGCGTCATGCTTGGGCTTCGCCCAGCCATTGAGAGTGGTGGGGGAGGGGGACGCGCACTTCTTCGCCACCGGATTTCAACATACGAAGTACGTGTTCCAGTGTCATTGACGATTTGGCACTGATTCTTTTTGATCTCCTTGCGTTCTTGTTCTCGGCATCGGTCTGCAGGAGCTGAAGACGGTGTCTGGGGATCGCTTCGAGTGGATCCATTTTGGGCGAGTTACCTCGGGCGCATTAGTGACGAAGTGGTTTTTTTCTTTCTTTATTTCTTTTTCCTTCTCCGAGAGGCTGCAGTCATGCACCTTTGCTTGTGAGCGGAGCCAAGAAATACCTAAGCAAGATTCCGCGAGTTCCGGATAAGGACTATTAACGACTCGCGAGGGGAAAACGGAGGGAAGGAAATCAAGAAACAACGAGAAAAAAAGACATAGACTGGGAAGAGGCAAAGTAAGCAATTGAACTTTCAAGGTCATCCCATCTATAACGCGGGAGAAGATATCGAAGGGCAATATACGGGTGAGGCTTGTGTGGCACGTCTTCAGGGTCTTTGAGCCTCTCTTCGAAAGACTGGATAATACTTCGTACATTGATTGACCCGTGAACACAATGGATGTTCTTGCACGCCCCGGGTCCCCGCTCTGGGATTCTCCCGTGAGGTGTGGGAGCATTTGAGGACTGTTTATTCATCTTGCCATAAGGTTCTTGATTGAGAGATCATATTTACCGATCACTAACCTTCTCGTATTCATGACGGATGCGCTGAGAAGAAGATCAATGCAAGGAGAGGCGGTGGCGGTATCTAATTGATCTGGCCGGACAAACCCAACCGAGATACTGTTCAAACAAGCCACTGCTACTTTGCGGTCTCGACTTGCACGCACACCCGGCCTCGGAATGTCGAGCTTCCAGTGGTGCATCCGTGGCGAGACAGTAGAGAAGGCCGCACGCTACTACGGACTTGTTGATATTGATGAAGGGAGAGAAAAGAAAGAATAGTTAATGATAGCAGTGAAACTGTCAAAGAGAGTTTATCACCCACCACCACCAAACCACCAAAAAAAGAAGAAAAAAAGAAGAAAAAAAGGAAAAGAAAAGAAAAGGAACGGGAAGGAGAGGACGCGAGCATTTGCAGGACGCCAAGGCAACTTTCAGGGATGAACAAAGTGCGCCACGAGTTCCCAAGACGTGAATGGTACCTGGATACATTGATCCAGCGTGGCACCATTGACATCATTCCAGGTACCGACACATCCCCCAGTAGTGATGTAGTGACAAGACAAGAAGGAACCGCCTGATTCCTTCCCTAGTCTCAGTGTGGTCAAGGACGGACTGATTGGGTCGACGACTTGCGCCAGCACCGCACCTTCTCCAGTCCAGCCTCCAGTGAAGAGCGAAGGTCGCCCAAACCTCCACGCACGACGTTTCTCTCTCGAACTCGTCACTCCGTTGATTTCTTTTCTTCTTCTTCTTTTCCCCTCCTCCCTCTCCTCTCTCATATCGCTTTTGTTTTCAGTCCCCTGTTCGATCTCTTTGATCTTGCGTGGTTCCGCAAAATCCATCAAGTCAAACGCGCGCTCCCAGTAATGCCCCAGTCCTTTAATACTTCTCTTACACCAACAAGTCTCCACCTCCATTTGCCCTCCTTGGTCAGACACAAAGACACACACACTCATACACACTGGATCCCGACCTAATTTTTGACTCCGCCCCTCTCAAACCCTCCGCTCGCTTCGAAACCACCCGCAACCCTCCCCCTCCCACACTCAAAATCTCCCCTGATGCTGGCCCATCGCACCGTACGGATCCATTAAAACGGAACAAAGGGAAAAAGTGAGGTAGGAGACCACCTGAGAAAGTAAAAGAAAGAACATTGAAGAGCAGCAGAGAAGAGGAAACGAGAACGGGTACAGATCCCGTCCGAATCCTTTGCGCCCCGGGGGTTGTTGTAACCGATTTCGTCCCACCTCCTTCCCCTTGGATATCTCCCGGCCGCTCCTCGATTTTTGCGAGAAAAGATTTCTGTACGCGCGACGCAACCCGCGCATACCAAACACCGTTATCGCTCTCGCCTCGCATACGCGCATACTCGCACCCAAAGGACGACCTGCCCTGCTCCAGGCACCAAACTCGCCTTGACCGTTGCGGTGGGGACCGTCCGGCCTCCCGACCCTATCGCTTGCTCCCTCCTTCTTTGTCCGCTGTCTGCGGGAAAGGGAAGTCACCCTCCCTTCATTATAGCCGGGTGAGACGGGGTGGGAAAAAAGATAAATCTCGCTACGGTTCAATATATTAAGGCACCAGACCGAGAAAAGTACCTGCGGTACCCTTATTCTTACCGGCACACCCCGTTTGGATCCTTCCCCCCCTTCTCCTCCTCCATTCCTTCTCTTCCTCCTCACCAGTCGCGGCCCATCATGTTCCACCCGCAGTCGTCGTCGTCGTCTCTCCAGACCCCTAAAACCGGGCGGTCGCGCTTCTCCAAGGCCCTCCCTGCTCTTCCCCCTGTCCAAGTTGAGTCCTTTGACCTCTTGAGCAACTCGACGAGTGATACGCCACCGGTGCCCACTCCGCCAGTCCCGAAACCCACAATTATCACGACCACAGCCACGACTACATCCTCGCCGCATTACTCTCCTTTCCCCCGCAGCCATGGGTTGGCCTAGAAAAACCGTCGCGCCTCCACCTGTGTTGGAAAAGGCCAAGCTCTTCACGCCTCTTCCACCCATCCCGCTGTCCACCAGTCCCTTGGTAGCCGACTTTTCACAGGTCCAACCTAGCCCACAGCAATCCGTCATGTCCATCCCCAGGAGACCGGTAGCAAAGACCGAGGCGCCGCCGCTTCCCGCAGAACCCCCTTCACCTTCCGGCTCAGTCCTCAGCTTTCTCTCGGCATATTCCAGGAGTTCCGGAGAGTCCCTCGTCCGGACATCAGACAACGACGGAGACGGCAGCATGAACAGCTCCTCGGAGCCCACGTTATCCCCCACGCGAGAGAAGTCGCCCGAACCTGTCAACAACGACTTTTCGCTACCCCCTAGGTCGACGTCGTTGGCGCCCAAGAGCCCCGGTGGTTTGGGCAACATGACTATGTCTTCGAGGTTAAACAGCAACGGCAACGGCAACGTGGCCAAGGCCTTGCCCACGCCTAGGGAGCTGCCTACGCCCAAGGAATTGCCCACACCCAGGGAGCTACTTACGCCGAGAGAATTGCCCACGCCAGGCAGTTGCCCACGCCGAAAGAGTTGCCTACGCGAAAGGAGTTGCCCATGCCTCGGGACTTGACCAAGGAACAGCCCATGCCTAGCCCGTTACACTTAGGTCCCCTCCCACCAATTCCTGTTAAGAACGGGCGAAGGCTACCTGCCTCGCCCAGGGACGGACTGCCGAGCTCGCCTGCACCTCTGCTTGGTAGCACACCAACCACGCCTGCAACTGCCACCGTGCCCACGCCGACACCCGCGCCTGCATCAGCAAGCACAACCGCCACCGCAGCTGCGACCACGACCACAACCACGACCACAACTGCAGCTATCCCGCCTAGCACGACCACGAAGCCCAGGTCGCCGCCACGCCGCCCCGCCTCCCCTCAGCCCACATCTTCCGAGCTCTTGACCAGGCGTTCGCTCAAATCCAACCAGAACCTTGGTGTGCCCGAATTAAAGCTCGTTACTAACAACAACACCACCGTTGTCAGCAAGCCCAACTCGGCAAACACGACCGTGCCCGAAAGTCTCGTCAAGCCATCATTTGCTTCCAACCCTCCCCTGTCGTCGGCTCACCAGAACTCGCCGGCACGGCCCACCCAGCCCGCCTTTTCCTCGCCCCGCTCGCAGATCCAAAATGGGCTTGCGAGCGTAAAGGCCCTTCCCGCCGAACCACCCGCCCCCGCCCCCAGTCCGAGCAGCAAACCCTTCGAGGAGTTGGCGACAACATGGGTAAGGCGCCGTCCAAGGTCAAGGAAAGGCTCCAAGCGCTGCGGACGGATCATGACACACTCGCCCCCGGTCCTGGACGCCACCAAGGCAAGTCGCTACCTTCGCCGTCGGGCCAGCTAGAGACTCCTATCAGTCCCCTCAACCTTGCTACGAACGTCATCTCGCCTCTGACGCCAGATATGCCGGCGGACGTGCCTCGAGAGCAGGTGCCTTTGCAGTTTCCCCAGCAGCAGCAGCAGCAGCAGCAGCAGCAGTTTCCCTTAACATGGCCCAGAAACCCGTTGCTCCTGCTGTCTCTTCCCTCCCTCCGGCTCCCGCGCCGGCCTCGGATTTGCACGCTGCTCGAAGCCTGCCCGAGATTTCTCCATATCAACGCCCGCAGACCAGCAACGAAAGGCCGCCAGCCCCAGCTTCCGAGCTCGTGGGAAATGGTGCGACTTCGCCAGCCTCGGCCCAAGAAACGCCTCAGCAACAAAAGTTCCCGCCTCGAACCTCGTCAACACGTAATCACCCCATGCCCGGCCAGAAATTACAACAACAACAGCAGCAGCAGCAGCAGCAGCAACAGCAGCAACAGCAGCAACATGTACCCCAATCTCGAGGACGGCCCGAAGCACCCGGACTTAGCAACGATGTGCGCGCGCCATCGGTGGACGGGCGCCTAGATCGTGTGGCGAGCCACCCCAATTTTGCCACGGATTATGGTACTTCTACCGTTCCCACACCACCCTCGAGCAACGGTCGCCGGTCCGATGGGACGGTGTACCGCGAGCTTATCCAGGACGAGCTTCCGGCGCCGGATCCCCGCGCCATGTACTTCCCGGTGACGCAGACGACGCAGCCGCAGCCGACGGGGCCTAACGCGGTGTTCAAGCCGACGCCGCTCACCAACTCACATCACGGGTGCTTCCAGAAGCACACGAAGATGATTATGTCGCGAAACAAGCACTACTCGCTTGCGTGCCAGACGTGCGAGCTCGAGGACAATGAGCTGAGATGGCAGTGCGCTTGGTGCAGGCTTCGAGTGTGTGGAACGTGCATGCGTCTTCTGCAGACGCACCAGCGAGATCTCACCAAGGTGTTGGAGCACATTCAAAACCCGCCGCCGTCTGTAGACGCGACTTCGTCTCAGGGTTCGAGGCCGGTGAGCGCCGAGGCGCTGGCGGCGGTAGTGGAAGAATCTCAGGAAGTGGCGGTGCCCATGCATGAACAGGATCGGGCCCGGGGTCACGCCCAGCAGCACCCTCGGGAGGAGGACCACCGGGTCTCTCAAGAACAGCCCCAGATGCAGGCTCAGGCAGCGCAGCGACAGCAAATGCAGAACCAGGCGTCGTATCAGGAATTCCCGCAGCAGCAGCAGCAACAGTATCAACAGCCGCAGCAACAGCCGCAGCAACAGCAGCAGCAACAGCAGCAGCAGTATCGCGCTTACAACCCTGGCAGCTACGATGACCGTGGATACGGATATAGCCAACCTCAGCAAGGCTACAATCAAGGCTACAGTCAGAGCCAAAGCCAAGGGTATAACCAAGGTTACGGCGGGCAAAATTATGGCCAGGACATGTATTATGGACAGCAACCCCCGCAGCAGCAGCAGAACAGGGGCCAGCACCCCATGGTGCGGCAGCAGCACTCTATGCAGGAGATGAGGCAGTATTAAGGTATCAATACCACATCACACGATACCCTAGCGCACATACACGCATGCGATCACAACATCCGTACGATGAATCCTCCGAGGCGGTTTTGACGAACCTCTTACTATTTTCCTATGTCATATTTAACACTCCCCCATCGGGCTTCTTGCCTGTATGAAATAAGGAAGGGGGTGGTGGTTTGGGCAAATCTTTTACGAATGAAAAGGCGGTCTTATGTCTTATCTCATGGGAAGAACGGAACACCACGGGAATGGGAAAGGGGTAAAAGCAACTTGAAAGCTCCCCTCGGGCCTCAGATTGGTCTGGTGGCCTTGGACAAGGCCGGGTTTGGTTTGGGTATCATTGAATATGGGCGGGAGGGTGCTCTTTTTTGCCCTTGTTTTACTTTTCTGATATGGATCAAGGGGAGGCTGTGGAACATTAAGCTTCATCATCTACACTGATTCCTTTTTTCTTTTCTCTTCTTATCCTCCTATTTGTTACACTTCTACATTGTTTTCATATAGACGGATACCTGGGTTGTTGATACCATTTACATAACTTTTTGCCCCCTTTCCCGCCATAATATAGATGCCCTTTTATATCCTCTGCGCTCTGTGTTGACATACTATACTAGAATGCAATAGTTCTATGTGATAAATGAAGAAGAAAACGAGCATTAGGTGAAGACGTCGTTAGATCTCGACGGGAGCCTCGCCCAATGTTTTGTCCTTTGTACAGGCGTGATTCTTTGACGGGGCTGCCCCGGGAGCACTGGGATCTGGCGTGTGCTGCGGCGGACAGCGGTGGGCGACGTGTATAAGGACAACTGGTCAATGGGGATAAAAGAGCCCGCGCCTGCATCACTGATGTGTAAGTGCGCGGAACATGGGTGTGTGCGCGTGTTTGTACTGGTGTGTGTCCTTGTGTCTGTCTGTGTGTGGGGAAAGGTAACGCAGGAACAACTCAGAAATGCATTGTCGGTGCAGAAGCGGTCAGGCCTCGAAGGGAGGCAGTTGATCAGTCATGAGTTGTCGGTGGATCGAATAGAAAATGGATACGTTGATGGACGGCGTCTTTATTTTTATTTTTATCTTCAATTACTCGAGTTTAAAGGAATAGGGCCCAGGGGAAGGATCGATACTGGAGCTCTGGGAAAAGCTAGTAGACGTCTGGTGTGTGCTGGCTACATGTACGATTTGGTGTTGATGATTTGTTCAGCGGGTTTACAATTTTTAGCAACTGGATTTCGTTTTCCTTTTTCTGCGGTTCGCCGAATGTACCCTTTTCCAACCCCGAGATCGAGTACGGCCCGGTTGATTAGGTAGCGAGGATCAAGTCTCTTGCTTCATCATCTTGGGAGGTTTTGATATTTTTTATTCTTCTAGTCCTCTTTTCACTCTATCGGTTCTTTGTCGGCCGCTGTCCACTGAGAAAGGCCCGTTTCCATGATAATCCGCCGCTTGGCCAAAGTCGATGGGCGGACTCCGTATCACCGTTATCTCGAAAGTGATAGCAAGTGGCACGAATTTTGGCGTTGTGCACGACGCGTCACTTGCGAGACTGGGTGGTGGCCGACTATTATTTAGCCTTTGCCAAAAACCCGGGGCGCGCACACAGACACACACACCGCCCGAATCGTTTCCCCGCCAAAACGACAACACCCCACACGAGGCTGAGGGTGAGTGGGACAGACGCGCGCGGCTTTCCATCGAAGAGCACTGTAGCCACGAGAAACAACGGAAGGAGGGTCACGATCTATTGTAGAGTGGGAAGGGAAGCCAAAGAGCCCGAAACCAAAAAACCCTTGCCCCCAAAATCAATTCCTCAAGGGGAACCGACGGAGAAGAAAAACAGCACCGTCCCATACAACAGAAACGACCGGCAAAAAGGTTCACAATACCGAAATGAACCGCTCCAGGTCTCTCCGCAAGCCCGCCGGCGACGTTGGCGGCGCGAACCACCACTCCCACCGGCAGGAACTAGCGGGCACGGCTGACCCGCGGACCATTTCCCCAGCCGGTTACCCGTCAAGCCGCCGTCGGGATCGGGCGGTCTGCAGCGCTCGGCCACCGTCACGGGGCACGACCGCCGTCGTCCTCGTCGTCCTCGACGGGGCTACCCGTGCGAGGATCCGCTGCCGCGCGAGGAGGCGTCGGGGGCGGTAACGTAGTAGGTGGTGGTGGTGGTGGTGGTGGTGGGGAGAAGCGCGGTATCCGCCTTCGTCGTCGCGGGTGGTTTCTGCTGCGGGGACGACGTCGGCGACGGCGACGATGATGACGCGCGCGAGGGCGAGGACCGCCGGCGCAGGTGCGGCTGCCGCGGGTAGCGGAGCCGGTACTGCAGCCACGACGACGACAACCACAGGGACGACGATGACGAGGACGAGGACGGGGCCGTCCCACACCAGGACGAGGTCCGGCATCGCGTCCACCGGCAGCCGGGACGCGTCCGCGCCACCCTCTCATCCCACACGAGAGCCAAATCCAGCGCCACCGCCCTCACCGGCGCAACCACCCTCCGGCCCCCTCCCAATCCTCTTCCGCCTCCTCCTCCACCACCGTCACCGCCGCCGCCGCCGCCCCCGACCGCGCACCACGTCATCCGCCCGCCCCGCGGGGACGCACCACACCCGCACAGGCTCCGCCAGCATCACCAACTCCTCCTCCGCCGTCGCCCGCCCACCCAGCGCGACAGCCACCACTACTACTACCAGCACCGGCCCTGGCCCAACCGCCCTCCCCTCCCGCCTCAAACCCGCCTTCACCACCCTCCAGCAGCACTACTCCCCGCCAAGAACCCCGGTCCCAAGCCCCTCACATCCACCTACCTCGCGCCCCCGTCCCCTTCCAAACTCCCCTCCAACCTCGCTCTCTCCGCCGACACCCTCCGCCTGCAAAACGAGCTCCTCCGCCTCCACCTGCTCCACCGCGCCGCCGCCCCCACCCTCGCCGCCTGGCACGCCTCCGCCCGCGCCAGCCTCTCGGCCCGCTTCGCCGCCCTCGCCCACGCCTCCGCCGACGTCGGCGCCCAAGAAGCCGCCCGCCTCGAGCTCGTCAACGCCTCCGCCCTCCTCCGCTGGGCCGGCGCTGACCCTCACCTATCCGCCCCGTCCACCACGACCCAGGGGCAGCACCAGCAGCAGCAGCAGCCCTCGCCGTCCTCGAGGCCAAGATCCTCCTCCTCGACCCCCTCCTCTCCGCCCTCTGGTCCCTCTCCGAACCCTCCGGCAAATACGCCCGCCTCATGCGCAAATTCGACCGCTGGGTCGACCGCGTCTCCGAACTCCGCGCCGCCCGCTCGTCCTTTGCCCCAAACACCTCTTCTTCTTCTTCTTCCTCTTCTCCTCCCCTCACCCTTCTTCTCCCGTCTTCCCCTCCCTCCTCGACGACGACGACGAACCCCTCCTCATCCCAGACCTCGACCGCGCCTGGCACGACGAGGCCGCCCTCCTCTCCCGCAAACTCGACGCCTGGGACGCCCAGCTCGCCCAGCTCGGCGACGTGCCTCCTCCCGCCCCGCCCAACGCCGGCCACGACCTCGACCACGATCGCGCCTTGCGTCGAAAGCGCGGCCTCGTCGGTGTCCAGGTGCCCCCGCCCGCCCCGCCCCCGTCCCTAGCTCCCTCGAGCGCATCCTCTCCGCTTGTCGTGCTCTCGTCAACGGCATGCGCGAGGAGCTCAGGGTCGCTGCCGACGTCGAGAGCGCCGTCATCGCCGCTGAGCGGGAGTGGATCACTAGCGTCATTGCGAGCGTGGGAGACAAAAGGATGGGGGTAGCGGTGCAGGAGCAATTTGGAGGGCCCTGTGAAGATGAGGAAAACGCGATGCCGGCTCGGCATCCATGATGATGATCTTTGTATACCAGACTCTTAAGCGGAAGGCGCCGGGCGAGAGACTGAGGTCTCTGCCCGGTAAAAGCCTGCAAGCGCACTTGCACAAAAGCAAGGCGCCCGAACCTCTTCTACAATCATAAACACATTGTTTCACTTCGATCTAAGGCGAGCACGAAATCTACATGTACGTGATAAAAACACTCTCAGTGGTGAGGGAACCGGACATATCAAATATCGAAAATTCTCTTAACTAGCCTCTCTCGCTAAAGACTTGTTCGCGCGCGCACATTGACTCTGTCGTGGACCCGCTGATGAGACAAGGCGTTTCATCCTTTCTTCCGTCCATGCCTGGGCCTGCTATTTCCAGAGGCTACTACACTTCCCTAAGGCAGAGGCGAGGTATCCACCGCATAAGATGCGAATAAAGACCTTCCACCAAGGAACCGCGCTTCTTCGTCCTCCGTTTCGCCCAGCCACTCCACCTGATATGGCTCGCAATCAACCATAACCTCACAGTATAGGTTCAGGATAGGCTCAGTCAAAAACACGCAAGGTCAATCCTTTGCTTCATATTCATGCCGTGAAATCATACCATTTTTGGTTGTCTTTTTTTCAAAAAGAAGGCTTCCTTAGCTTCCTCTTTCGCTTTTGTTTTCCTTCTTTTTCTTCTTTTCTTGATCATTTCGCTTTCCGGTCCGTTCCCCGTCCCTCGTCCTGTTTTCCCGCATTTTCAACAATTACAAGAAACCCTTCCTCGGGTACGAGACTCCTTCCACGGCGGGGTTATCGACAAACCAGGTACACCTCTCACCAGTAGCCGAGTTGACGAGAGCGCAGGGGAGATCGTCGCCTCGCTCAAAGATAGCCTTCATAATATCCTTCTTGCCGCCGCCGGTAGCCACAAAGGCGACCCTGACGGAGTGTGTGACGACGGGCAAAGACAGAGTGATTCTCTTGGGGGAGGCTTGGGAGAGTCTTCGATGGGGGCGACCCAGGCCGTCGTCTCCCTCAAGAGGGCGTGCCCGGGGAAGAGGGAGCAGGTGTGGCCGTCGGGTCCGCAGCCAAGCAACACGAGGTCAAAGATGGGGAGTTTGACCGAATCCCTGCTAGCGAAGCTCTTGACCAGAACTTGCTCGTACTGGTCGGCGAGCTCTTGCACGTCATCAAGGTGCTGGACGTCGATAGGATGAACGATGGGCTGTCCCTGATCGGCCGGGATCTTATCGAGGAACTCCTTCTTCAGTAGGCCATAGTTGGAGTCGGCGTGGTCAAGGGGCACGGCGCGCTCATCAGCAAAGAAGATTTCCCACTTGTCAAAGTGTAATTCGTCGGCAGGACCGGTCGCGGGCGCTAGTAGAGCACGGGCAAGGGTATTGGGGAGAGAGCCACCCGATACGGCGATCTTGAATACGTCGTGTCGCAAAAGACCAGCTTGCTCACATTGGGCAATGTAGGTCCTGAGCGCCGGAGCGAGGATATCGACGTCGGGGAACGCGCAGAGATTCGCCTGGCCCGTCATTGTGAAGTTGTGCTGGAATACAGTGGCCTGTAAAAGGTGCTAGAAAAGAAAGCTCTATCCGTGGGTGAGAGGGGAGGCGGATGGCGTGAAATGTGAGCGCTTCAAGCCCGGAGTTGAGGAGATATTCGAGCCTTTTTTTCTGTTTGAAACTTGAGAAATTTAGACCAAGTCGAAGTGGGGGTGGTATTTGTCAAGACGTGATTGACGAGTGCCAAAGTGCAATTGATCAATGCCCGTCGAGGAGGGAGGGAGGGTATGTATGTATTGGACTATCGATAACGATAATGAGTTTGGTGGGGGAGGAGGGGTAGATTTGAAAGAGGACGTGGGAGCTGAGGGGTAAAAATATCCGTCGGCACGAGATTGGGAAAAAGATGATCGAGGCAACTACAAGTAATGTAGTCAGACGCTTGGCGGTGCGCCGTGTGCAACAGGTCTAGGCCAAGGCCTGGATCTGGGTTTCCCGTTGCCCGGGACTCAAGCAAGAGGAGCTGATGGCTTCCAAGCTCGCGTTGGTCTGATTGACGGTTCTATGGTCTTCTCGAATGTGCCGCAAGGCCGATTGCCAAGAAGGTGCTTCCCTGCGTGAAACTGGGGATGTGGTCCTTTCGGTTTCTAGAAATGAGTGGAATCTCGGGCTGGTAACAAACAGCCCGGCCGTTTTCTTCAGAGTGTAAACAATTAATTTCGTTGGTGAATCAAGGATCGTCCGTGTTCAAACACCAAGCAAAGCTCTAGAGCTGCAAGCTCCCTAGGTTAGGGTGGGGGAAGGCACGACTAATAAACGAATGCTCTTGCCCTAGAGTAGAGGAGGGGAGGCAACGGGTACCGTGAGTGTCTGCTGTCAAAACGAAAAAAGACGCCACAGTGGGCTTCCGCCCTTGCGGAGTTGCCTAGCTTCGACCCTCCCAGACCAGCCTTTGTACCGCTCCGGCGTGCAAGAGGAAGCAGAGTAATTGCTTCCCTCTTGCCTCGCTCGGCCGACCAAACCGGTGTGTGTGCCTTGAGGCAGGTGCTAGTGGGCCCTGTGAGATTGGAAGGATACAACCCAAACAATCGAGAAGATCGGTCCAAAACCGGAAAGCGCAACGGGCTCGTACATTGGGAAGGAAGGGGCCCGAACCTTGAACCAGCTTGACGCTAAGCTACTGCTTTTGTCCTTCACTGCCACACGCCGCGCCGAAGTGTCCTAGAAGGAAATAAGATGACGAGGCCATTGGATCCAGTCCATCACAACTCACCAAGTTCCGTCAAGACATCTATGTTTTGACCACACATTTCTAGTTAGGAGCGCACCCTAGTACCTCTTGGAGAGCATGAGCCGGTTTCCAGTTTGTGTATCAATGGCGGTAGCCATCCCTGCATCCCGCTCTAGCGGTAGGCAATCAAAAGGTTTTCCAGGGTATCACGACGAAAAGCTAGTTATAGAGTGTCCTGTTTCTTCGGCCTTCGATCAGTGTCGGACTCCCCTCAGCGTTTTGGCCCACCAAGTTTCGGCGGTCCAGTCCTAGACGGCAGCTGCAGCGGGGCACCAGCGAGTCACAGAAACTTTGAACACCGATTCTAGAGCCCTATACTAGCGTTAGCCTGTGAGCCATGACGACTTCGCCATGTGGCTTCGGTGAAGTTGGTCCAAGTACCGGGACTCACCACACCTCCACTCCGCCACTCGGGACCCGAGTTGTTCCCGTTGGCCACACCGAAATGGGGTGCTCCTATCTTTTCTCCAAAATGGCTTTGCTCAAAGAGAGAAAGATAAAGGTAGGGAGAGGGGGTAACCACCCACCACTATAACACGCCCAAAGTGTGCGAGTGCGGGATGACGTATTTGGTTACTTTTTCCAGACATCTAGTTTAGATAAGGAAAGCGAGAGGCCAAAATACCAGACCAAAAAGAGGCTAGGATGGCGGCCGAGTCGAGCGTACTTCGAGCCTGTGATAACGACCATCCGGCAAGGGGAGGATTTGGGGGCCAGAACAAGCCGGTCACCAGAGTGAGGAACGAGATCATCGGATGACGTTGCGCTAGGAAACCGATACCCTGGAACCCACGCTAAGTCTGAGAGAGGACACAAGTGGGGTGGTTGCGGCGCAAGGTTCACTAGAGCGTCATCGCCATGTTGTTTCCCATTTTCAATGATTTGAAAGGATTGATCTAGATGAAACACAATATTATTATGATGGAGCCATTGGGAGACATGAGAAACACGCCCGAGGCTACACTAGATTAAGTTGGAGCGGTTAGATGAGAAGTCGGGTGCAGCTGGCGCGGTGCGCAGGTGGCAAGAAACCTAGCTCTAAGCCAGAGCCGGTGCCGGTGCTTCCGCTTGTTAGTTGGAATATTCGACGCCTAGTATTCAGGTATCTACCATCTGCGACTGAATTTGTAAAAACTCCCACACAAACCGGAGTGCGAATGTCGTAAATAACCATCTACATATGTAGATCCAGATCTTCTGGCACTGCGGCTGCAAAGTACATTTCGCGGCGCTCCGCGGTCGAGAACCCACAGTTGGCCTTGTAACTGTTTCGACTAATAGCCATAGCCCAGTCCGCATTACGACTGCCCCACCTTCCTTCCCTCTTGGGAATCTTTTCCCTTCTCCTTGGAGGGGTAATTTCAGTTCCCGATTTTTGGCAAGCGCACCCCACCTCGCTCGGAAGAGCGCTTGTTTGCAGGGTTTTTGAACGCTTTTATGATTTTCTAAACAGTCTCGCACGTAGAAGACATTGCTATTAGGTCGGGCGCAGGCGCAGAACCGGACAAGGTGACGAGTTTGGCTGTACCACACATACACATGCACACGGTGATCCTAGTATTAATCACCAATCCGAGCCAGTAAACAAAAGGGAAAGGGAGAATAAAGGGAAGAATGGAGGTCCCATGGAAAGGTGACGAGGATGCCCTAGTATATCCTGATCTGCTCGCAAGGCGCAAGGATGTGACTGCGAAACTGGAGGAGGAGCCATACGACATTCTTCTCTACCTTGAGCGCGCCAGCGTCCATCGCAACCTCGATTACCCCGATTTGGCCGCAGGGGACGCTTATCGGGCCCTGCTCCTCTCCGACGACATCAAGGACGATGCCGCCGAGTATCACGAAGCAGCTACCGAATCCTTTAGGAACCATGTGGCCAAGTTCTTTCCTAGTGCCTCGGATGCCGGGGCCGACGAAGAGGCAACGCTATGCAAGATGGCCGACGCTTGCTCTCTGAGAGCGTACAACCTTCTCTCCGCGAGCCTCTATGAGGCGGGGTGCCTGAAGAGCGCCTACGAGTTTTGCGAGCGCGCGCTTGAGCTAGACCCTCAGCAGGAAACCAAGAAGCTCCAGGAGCGCATCCTCGCTGCCGGTCGGCGGAGGTTAAAGCGAGAAGACGTCGCGGGGAGGATCTGCCGGATTGGGGCCTCGCGCGGAGAGAAGTGTATCCTTGGAACGACCACGAAGCCGACCGGTACTCGCAGGAGACGCAGGACTTTCTTAACTCCAAGCTGCGCGAAATGGCGCCCAAGTGCTCTGTCAGGGCTACGGAACTACCCGTTCTGGCGGAAGAGGAAGTAAAAGCAGAGGTCGAAGCGGCGGGAGCAGCAGCCACCGTGGTAGGGACAGAGAGAAGCACGCAAGGGAGTCTAAAACGTGCCTCCAGCTAGGTTTGTTCGCCGACGAGGACATTACGGCTGGAGAGGCGGTTCTAAAGGAGTACAGCCTCTTGACGGCGAACAACCGGTTCAAGGACCTACTGTGCGACGCTTGCGGCGAGGAGCTGCCCCGGCTGGGCGATAGCAGCGGCGAGTCGGTCAGCTGCCCCGAATGCTACGATACCGTCTTTTGCAGCCCGTTTTGCTTTGAGCAAGCCCAGGAAAAGTACCACCCGGCCGTATGCGAGAAGGAGGTCGACTCCATCGGCAAGGACCCTAAACATAGGGAGGCGGATCAGAGGCTACACATGCTGCTGCTCGCGCGCGTCCTCGCCATGTCGGCCTGCCAGGAGGTCCACCCGCTCGACATCCTCGAGGTCAAGTACATCTGGGGCGACTTTGTGCCCACGGCGGAGAGCGTGCGGCAGACGAAGGGCGAGGGCGATGACGATGACGATGACGCGCACCTCCCACCCTCCACCTGGACTCTGCCGTTCAGCTTCGAGTACAACATCAAGATGCCCCTGCACATACTGGAAAAGATGGACTACGACGTCTACAGCCACCTCGCCGACTTTGACGTGTGGGTGTTCAACACCCTCTACGCCAAGTTCCGCGGAACCGCATCGGCGCGCAAGAACCCGCGTGACGGCCGGCCCGAGGTCGCCGCCGTCCATCCCTTTTGGTGCCTCGCCAACCACGACTGCGATCCCAACGTGACGTGGGAGTGGGGGCCGCATGACGCTGTGGGCGAGAGAGCGGCGCGTCGTGGACGGGGCGCCGGGCGGGATACGCGCGGGCGAGGAGATACTGAATCACTACTGCGATCTTGACTTGCCTGTCACGGACCGGAGGGAGTGGATGCTAGGGAGCTTGGGGGTTGTGCATGTGCGCGCGGTGTAGGAGGGAGGCGCTGGCTACGTAGGATGGGAGTGGGTAAAAGTACAAAAAGCCAAACGGGACGAAGGGAACGCGGAGACTACGGTCGAGATGTGAGATTTTGCTTGTCGTGGGGAGGCAGTGTGTTGGCGCGTTTGAACTAGCATAAAAGTTTTCTTTTGGAGGTTTTACCATCTCTTCTCGCGTCGAAAACTCATTTCTTTTAGAGGGCTTTTCCCTAGCCCTCTTCCCTCCTTCACCCCAGGGTATCTAATCTTGACAGTCTCTTTCCGATTTGGCATTGGGAATAAGTGCGAGTTCGAAGGTTTTGAGTCCGTCACTTCCCCTCCGTGGCGTCCCATCGCAATAGATTGCGGCTTGATTGAATGCCTCATCCTGCCATAACCCCTCTCACTACCAACGGTCTGAGCCCAGCCACCACCCCCTGTTCCCAAGCAACATCCCCTACGGGCTCTTCTCCCCGCCCTGCGGAGCACACGGCCGCGGTTCCGAGACCCGACACTGCAGCCCCTGCCTCCTCGAGCAGTCCGAGCAGGTAAAGGCCCCGCGTCCCTGCAACCGCCGCAGACGTATTCGAACCGGGGCCCCTCCTCGGACGTGCGATAGATGAACGTGGCGTCGGGCGCCGCGTGCGCGCTGACCCAGGCGTGGAGGTCGGCACAAGCCACGGAGAAAGGGTCGGAGCAAGGAGGAGCTTGGCTACCGCCGCCGTCGGCCGCGGGGCACGTCACGCAGGCGCAGGTGCCGTCCGGCGGGGCGGAGGAACGGTCGGGTCCGCAGGTGGTGATGGGACCGGCGAGGACGGGGACGACGAGTTGGCGGGGTTCGCGCGGGCGGTGCCCGGGCGAGGGTGATCATGGTGGTGGGATCGAGCGCCGAGGGGCGGATGATGGGCTGGCGGGGAGGGCGGTGGGGTGGGTGGCGGGGATGGTGGTTGTTGCGGAGGCGGCGAGGAGGCTGAGCGCGGGGAAGGTGGCCTTCATGGTTGGGGAATGGAGGAGAGTGGTTTTCTTTGGAGTTTTGTCGTGTTGGTGGGTTAGAGGTAGGGGGTGGTGAATGGAGAGTAAAAGGAGTTCTCTTTCCCCTGTTCTCTCCTTGCGTTTCTCTTGAGAAGTGGAGGGGAGGGAGATGATGTCAAGGCGTGGAAAGAGGCGAAGGGGGCGAGACATACATGTAGGACTCTTTGTCGAGGTCCTTGTTCTCGTCTGGACTCCAAGTGTCGTATAAGCCGAGGGAATAAGTTGTCGGTTGACGTTTTCTTTTCTCACGTCGTCTACTCATCCATCGATCTTTCACGTGCTACAAACAGCCCACGAGAATCACGAGATGTTTTTTTTTTTTTTTTTTTTTGGTTATACAACTCTTTTTTTTTTGCCGCCGGCCTCATTTCCCTCACCTCGTTGGTGTCGTCTGTACTCCCCTCCTCAACTCGTCGTTTACCCCTTTTGACTTTAGTCCTTAAACTTCTACAAGTCGCGGAGCATGGTGAGCTCCCCCTTCTTCTTTTGAGCTCAATTAGATAAAGGAGAACAATGTGAGGAAGCGACGGAGAATCTCGGTCATTTGCAAAGGTTGGAGAGATTGGGGGAAACACAAAGGAGGGCTCACTCGTTGGTCGACGACGCGGCTAAAAGGGCAGGTAATGTCGGGGCATGTGAAGGAGGACCGTCGCTGTCCGTCTTGACTGGTCGGATGAGAGATGTAGTCCTTCATTCGCAAGGAGTTAGGTAGCCGTAGTGACACGACATACGATGGAAGAGAGATTGGAAAATGGGCTAAATGTACTACGTGGAAGAGCCATGATAGCTATTTCTGTTCCTTCTCTTTTCAATATTTCTTTGAAGGCGTGAGGAAATTTTTCTAAATAAACAACTACTGCTGGTCTTCTCTAAAGCATTCGCAACGATACACATGGTTTCGTGTTCTTCATCTTTGCACCAGCGGCGCGTGTTGGCCCGAACCGGGTTTCGCGGCCCCGACCCCGGCCGGGGCTTGGGCCTCGTCGTCGTTGCCGCATCGCCGGCCAGACGGAGAGCCGGTATACCGGTAGACACCGCGCCCGTGATATCGGTGTAGATGACTGCAGGACACGAGACAGGAAAATTTCCCCTGTTTCCCTCCCCCAGGAATTAGAGCACGTTCTCTTTCTCTTACACGAGGAGATTTCTTTATCGTAGAGTTTAACTCCTCAATGATGCGTGAGAAAAGGGTAACGAGTCATGCATAGTCTCACGCTTACTGAATGTTTGCCCCCATCGAGTTAAGCTGTCGGCCGAGGAGCAATCGATTCCGAACTAAAGCCAAACTCTTGATCCCCGACTATTCGACTTGGCTTTCTTATTTCCCACATTCCTTTCCTTTAAGCCTTTCGCTCTCTTCTGCGGCTGGCACGACTCAGAAATTGCCCAAGAAAATGCCGCGCCAAGTTAGCATCTTAGTGGTGTAATGGAGCTTCTTATCTCGCCCATGACGGAATATAAACGTTGGTTCCACTTCTCCAACTTGGCATGCCCGTCTGCCTTGGCCCCGCCCCTTGCCCCTTGTTGATGAGAATTCAGTAATACGTGAGGCTCAAGAGCCACACCTGCCTTGGCGTCTTGGTGAGTTTCTCTTCGAAGTCTGAGCCCAGCTCGCAGGGCCGTGGACGTAAGTATCAGGGGCTCGCGCCCTGCCAAGGGCAGCAAGGGGGGCTGTGACAGCTCAGGGAACGGCGGAAGGCCACAACTCCGCCTTCACTTTAGGGATTGCACCATGCATTGGCGCCGCCCCTCTTTCCAAAAGACTTTCCTGTCTCGGCTCTCCACCGGATGACATGTGCCTAGACTCTCTGGCTCAGCATGTAGGAGTTTGCGCCAGTGGACTTGGCAGAGGATCTGGCCTCCAAAAAAGAAGCGGTCCCTCAAGGGTGCTTCTCCTACTTGTACACTACGCTACTTCTTCTTGGCTAGCGTGAGGTAGTTTTATTTTATGGTCGCAGCCAGCAGGGCCTACTTCTCTATGCAGAGAGGCCTAGGGTCAATACGGGGCCTTCTAAGGAAGGTGGAGCAGAAGCCTTGGGGCCGGGTCCTATTCCTTCACCAGCTCAATTTCTGTTTTCTAAGAGCCCATATGAACCCCACCCGCACCCAAGGGCCCAAAGAAGGATGAAAGAAAAGGGGGAGAGGAAAGAAGATGAAAGCAGATATTCAAAGGGGAGAATAGTTCGCGTATTTTTCGGAACGGCGAGGTTCGGTGGGCAGACGAGCTCTGCGCTGAAGAAGGATCCGCGGGGTCCGAAGAGTCCGCCTCCCGTCAGCTGCCGAGGACTAGCTAGTGCTCCGCACTGGTGGAGTCGACGATTTTGTGGGGTCAAATAGCGCCAGGCGCATCCCTTTTGAGCAGCCCAAAAACGGTGACGGAAAAATAATGGGTATTTGACGAGGGGAGGAGAAGGAAAAAGAATATGAGAAAAAGAGAGGGCCGGCCATATGCTACAAGGTGCACCTAGGAGTAGGAGGGGGAGAACATCGTTCCAGGCTGTGAAGCAAAATGACAAAACTCCTGTTTTCATCTGATAAGCGGCCAGGGAAGAGACGGGGCAAGACGAGATGAGACGAGACGAGACGGGATGCACAGAAGAAGGAGAGAAAAAAACATGCTCATTCATAAAGAGATAATCATTGGAAGAAGAGCCAAGAAACGGCAGGAACATTGCTTTCTCCCCAAAAGAAGTATCAGAAGAAGATACAAGGGAAAAACATGCATTTGGGGGAATAAGAGAGAAAGAAAAAGTAAATAGCCTGTACAAGTTGGCGGGGGCCGAGAACCAGGGATCGACAAGTGTCGAATGGAGGTTATTTTCTAGTGTAGATGCGACTTGGTGTGTGCTAGTCGAGTCAGAGCTCGAAGCGGACGGAAACAGACTTGACAGCTTGGGAATGAGCAAACGGCAGTGCTAACCCAGCCAGTAATACAACATCTAGGACACGGTTCAAATCTGCACGCGCGGGCCATGTTTCCTTCACCTTTTTCCAACACTTCGTATCTCCTACTTCCCTGCCCCGAGCCAAGTCGCCCACCAGTGACCAGTGACCCCCGCGAATTCGAAGTGCGGTAAGTCTAACCTTAAAAGGGCTCGCCTCAACCCTCCCATGCCCCAACCTAGGATCTCATCCCAGACGGGCGGAATTTTAATAGATTTCTTGGCAAAGAACGTGCCCTGCCCTGCGACTTGACTGGGGGAGGGGAAGAAAAAAAAAAAAAGGAAAAAGAAAAAGGAAAAAAAAGAAGAAAGCGTAAGCGGGGTTGAAGGGCATTATGTTGAGGAATAGGCCCAAACGTGACTGTTTTTCTTTTTCTTTTGCCCCCTCTGCCCTCTTAATTTTTGTTTTCATCTGGAGCGATCGCTGGTGAGAGTGAGATGCCAGAGGTTGCCTCATCAGGGTTATTCCCGTACTCATCTGATCAACTCCCAGTTTCTCTTTTCGCTATTCTTCCCGTTTTCACCGTCCTCCTATCTTGCTAGTACCTGTCCGTTCTCTCGTCCCTTTCTCCATCATTCCACCATGACGCGTATATCGGTCTCCACATAGGCGCCTTGGCGAATGTCTTGTAATTATTAGTGGTCTTGGTCTGGGCGACAGGTACGAGGAAGAAGTTAAGAAGAGGGGGAGCAGGGGGAGAGGAAGACCCAAGAAAACCCAAGCTTCGGCTATGGCCACTCAATTTCTGGACGTGCGTGCTGTTCTTCTTGGCGCTGAAAAGACAAGAGCACAAAGGGGGCAGGGGGCATGGGACTCCGCAATGGCAATCAAATAGACATGACGATAATAGGCCAAGATGTTGCCATGGGCGGGAGAAGGACTTGGCTTGCGGAGAAAAGCTGGCCTCATGGTGGCGGACAGGCTTGGCTGCTTGGAATCATCTTTCGCTTCCCACTGGCTCTCGTTCACTCTCTTTCTTCCCCTTCTTCTCCCCTTCTCCCCTTTTCAACCCTTCCTCCCCTTCTCGCCCATCTAATAATATTGAGTATTAGTTGAGTTGGAGGGCGGGCGCGTGCGTGCGTGAGAGGGAGAGATGGAGGGGTACCAGCAATGAGTGCGGTTGCAGATGGCTGTGCACACCACTCTGAACACCTTTCATTCAAGGAGAGTCTTGGCACGCTCTAACAAATGAAGCCCGGGGACCTCCCTTTTCGTCCAAGAAGTGGAAAGAGACAAGATATACACAAGTATAGCACCACAATGTCTGTGGAGTGACATGGTGAAAGAAGATACAATGAGGAGGAGGGGTTGATCGCATTTGGCGGAATCTCCGCGTCGTCGTCAACAGAAGGTTAAGCGTAAACTAAATCTTTCGGGATCTCGTCTCGGCGATCACAACGGCATGAAATCTCGATCTGCGGGTGAAAGCCCCAAACAGGGAGGAGGTCTGATAGGAGTCGGAGGGGTCTGTCCTACACTACACCATGGAAGCTTGAGTTTTGGAATACGGTCTTGTTTCTTGTTTACAAAATACTAATGATGATACAAGTGCAGCTTTTTCTGCTTCTTGTTCTTGCACGCCCGGGTCAGGTGGGTACCAGCATTACTAGGGCGCTTGGCCGTCTCATTGGGAACCGAGATCAGCAAACGGATTGGGTTCCATCTCTGCTCGGCGCGTCGGGAACGCGCGGCGGAGAACCTCTGCCCTCGGTGGGTTCGAGGACGGACGGCCGGGGACAAGGGGAAAGGGGGAGGGGGTTGATTGAGGCCAAGATCCGGAAGAACCATGTTGCCATGATGCCATTATGCTTGTCAAGTAGCCAGCCCCTTCCTAATCTGCTTGACGTGTTATCAGTTCGTGCAGGTATCGTTGTTATTGTTGTTATCATTTGCGCTCCCTTGTTGGTCCACCCATCCACCATCCCTCCCACCAGATAAAGTATTGGGTGGCATGGCGGACATGGCGGACATGGGGTAGGATGGGATGGGATGGGATGGATCAACGGCGGCCTTGCAACTTTTGAGAGATTCTGGAACGGTGACAAGATGCAAGTGGGTTGAAGGGTAGGACAGCCAGAGTACAATGCAGCCCCAGATTTCATGAGTAGTAATATTTAGTCGAAAACGGCTGGCCATCCTTGGTGGAAAAAAGCCACCAACTTGTATTTCAAGCTCACAACCCTGAGGGAACGGCCTTGTCAGTCCGTCCCAGAACGGCGTAACCTACAGGCAAACGACTCCGATAGGCCTCGAGCTGCATGAATACCCGTGCCCTCGACTGCTTCTTTTGCTGGGCGCATCAAACATTGGCCTTCTCAATTTTTGAAGGGGGGCGGTTTGTTCTTTCCCCACCTCCCTGTCCCTCCTTCATCCCCACGGATATGTCGTGTAAGTACACGTCCAACCTCCTCTCCACCTGCCTTTTGTCTTGAGGTCACCAAAGCTTGAGGGGGACCCCTCCTTCCTTCACCCGACACGGCCGCGTATCAGATTGCCCCGTTCGTTCGCCGGAAGGTGCTGCTCTCGATAAAGCACACGACGAATGCGCGGGACGGAGAGCCGCGAGGACCCACCCCCTCCCCGAAAGAGGACCATAAAAAGAACAAGGGAAGAAGAAAGACATCCATTCCATCCATCAATTGATACCAAGATACCAAGGTATATGGTGCAAAATGTTTAGAAGAAAAAGGAAATGACCACTGAACGGTGAAAGGTGGTTGAGGTGGTCGCAGAGAAGATAATAGAACCCAAAGACGTTCGGGAGCTCCCCTGCCTATCTAACCTCCACCTCCGACACGTCCCCCCCACGCAAAACACCTCCTTGCTTTTACATGTATTCTTGAGAAGACGCTTTCCTTTTCCTTTTCCTTCTTCTTTTTCTGCAGAAAGAATACGGAGAGTGTTGAGGAAACAGGGACGCAAGAAAAAAATAATGGCCTGAGGAGCCCGCACCAATTCCCGAATTATCCTCTTGCCCCTCCTTTCCTTTCCCTTCGATAGCCTCCGAACCAAGTTTTTACATTATTGCTCGGCAGCCCATCAGCTGACGGACTTCGAGACTCCGAAAGGGGACGCGAAGGCTGGCTAGGGAGATGAAGAAAAAATAGAGGGAAAAAAAAGACAAAGGAAACACCCTCCCCTTCGAACACAAGGTCAAGGGCAATGACGGGAAGAGAGGGTTCACAGCCACGATCAATAGTGCTAGTGCGGGTGATGCCAAGACATTTCTCATGAATGCCAAGCCTTGGCGTTGCTTGGCGCTACCCAAGAGGCGACTCGCCAAGCTATCGGCGGGGACGTATCAAGCGCGCAAAGGATACTTGCCGACTCGCTCCAATCAGTGGCGAATCCACTACGGGTCTCACCCATCCTGATAGGTATTCGACCGCCAATGGGTACATCTGCCCTGCTACACGCTCATTACCTAAACCGTCTAGTGACCAACGCCAAGACTTTGCCAAGACCTCGCCAAGACCCTCGTCGAACTCCGTCACTTGGGGATTAAAGGACGCCTTATCCCCAGAAACCCGTCGCATTCCCTTCCTTTTGAGAAAAGAAAAGAGAGAAGCACAAACAGGGTCTTGACGAGAAAGACCAAAGGTAAAAAGAAACGAAAGAGAAGAAATCCGAAAGCAAAAAGGCCAAAAGCGTGCAGATATCTCGCGCGCCCCTCTGATACAGTTCAGCTTTTTTCTTCTTTCCCTCCCCTCCATACCCTCTCACGGCGCATCGCATCCGGCTTCTTCTTTCCGCGCGACGAACAGAAACACCCACCGCCGCATTCTCTTTTTCTAATACCTCTTGCGCGCTCGCATTTACCGAGTCCCGATCGACAAACAGTCTTTCTGAGGAATATTCGCCGTCCTTTTCAAAAAATCCATTTTCGTCCTTCACCAGGAACAGCCGTTTTCGAATCGACCTCTCTGATCAGGTGGTGGTCTTTGCCTCCCGAATCACTTAGTCATCCCGTACCTCGTGTCAGTCGTCCGGGACCCCTTGCCTTGCACGCACATTTCAATCCCGAAGAAAGTCCTTGTGGACCCTTGTGGCCAACCCCGGACAATTCGGAGGTCCAAACCTCGTGCAAGCCACGTGACCCAACACGGGTCTTACAACACCCATCCTCACACCTCACCTCATAGCCATGTCCAGCTCACCGCAGGACCAGGCCGCCCGAGGGTCGTCCGGAAGCAGCTCCTCTCAGAGCAACACCCCGGCCCCTTCAACAGCCACCAGCGGCACCTCCCAGTCTGGCTCGTCACAGGCCGCCTCCTCCACAGAAGATAACCTTACCTGTCGCTGGAATGCATGCAACCAAAAATTCCCCGCCGCAGAGGCTCTCTATGTAAGTCGTTCATCCTAAACGTAGAATCCTTGTGAGCCTGAGGGCATCTTGTGCAACCTCTCTTTAGGGGAACGGGCAGAAGGAAAACAAAAAAGGCACAAGGGCATATCTGTTAACGCCGTATCTCTTCAGGACCACCTGTGCGAGCGCCACGTTGGTCGCAAGAGCACCAACAACCTAAACCTCACCTGCCAATGGAACCAGTGCAGGACGACGACTGTAAAGAGGGACCACATCACCTCGCACATCCGCGTTCACGTCCCGCTCAAGCCTCACAAGTGTGAGTTTTGCGGCAAGTCCTTCAAGCGTCCACAGGATCTTAAGAAGCACGTCAAGACGCACGCCGACGACTCGGCGCTCGTCCGCTCACCTCAGGACCAGGCCGGCGGCCTTAACGTCTATAGAAACCAAACAAGTAAGCTTGCCCTTTTCCCCCTTCTCGCCGCCTCTTCTTCTATCCTTCTAAAGAAACGGAAGAGAGGGAGAAACACACTGGATTAGATTTGCGAGAGAGATATTGAATATACTAACAACATTTGCGTGTGTAGCCCCGTCGACTTACTACGACCACAATGGTCAGATGAGGGGCGGTGCTGGCCAGGGTTTCCAGCCCTCCCACCCCAGCTACTACGGCGCGCCCCAGCCCTCTACCAACTACGGCCTGTACTTTAACCAGCAGGCCATCACTACTCCTCGCCACGATTACCTAGGCCACACCGCCCACAATGCGGCGGGGCCGGCGACGGGCGGCTATGACAACCGGAAGCGCCAGATGGAGATGGTCGACAACTTCCTCGGTAACGCCAAGAGGCGGCAGGTTGAGCCCAACTCGTATGCCCAAATCAGCCAATCCCTTCTTCCCCTCCACGGCATGCTCTCCATGCCCAGCGGACCCTCGCCGCCGGTGACAGCCCGACCGACTATATGCCGGCTGCCACCGGTCCTTCTATGCACGGTCACGGTCACGGTCACGGCCACGGCCATGGTCACGGTCATGGCGGGGGCGGTGGTGGTCCCGCGCCTTCCGGTCCGGGCCCGCTTACGCAAAACTACTATCTGCCGCCCATGCCCAACGCACGCACGCAGAAGGACCTATTGCAGCTCGACCAGATCCTGGAGCAGATGCAGAGCACCGTGTATGAGCACGCGGGCCAGGCCACGCACGGCATCCATGTCGTCGGCGGGCACCCCCGCGTGACTCCCTCTCCACCACACGGCCAAAGGGCCGCGCAGGCCGCCGCTATTGCTGCCGCCGCTGTCGCGGAGGGCTACGGTGCCGGTGTGCCCGTCTCAGCTGCGCACGCGGCCTCGCCGCTCACCATCCTCTCCTCCACTGGCACTCCTGCTGTGACACCGCCCTCGAGCGCGCTGTCGTACACATCGGGCCAGTCCCCTAGCCCCTCCACCTCGAGCATGTCCCCGCAGTCGCGCCACTCCTCGGTCAATTACCCGAGCCTGCCCGCGCTGAGCTCCGCCTTCCCCGGCCAGTCCACCACGGCCACCCTCGGCCCTACCTTTGATATGGACGAGCGCCGCTACCACTCGGGTGGTCTCCTTCAGCGCGCCAATAACGGCGGCCTGCCTCTGCGCTCGGTCCCCGAGATCCTCCGCGGCGCCCCTCGGGCGGCTACGCCGGCAACAAGGCCGGTCCAACTCCGACCTCGGCGCCGACGATGCTGCCGCCGTCGTCATCTCCCGCTTCTGCTTCGTCATCTCCCGCCTCGGACGCGCGATCACCCTCGGCGGACTCTGAGTCCAGCGAGACCCGCGAACGCGAACAAAACTACGACAGATGGCTCGAGAACATGCGCACAATCGAGGAGATTCGCAAGTGGATTGGCGAGCGCCTCAAGAGGGGCGACTACGAGCGCGATGGCCCAAGGTCCCCGCTCCCCATGGATGTCGATCAAGGCAGTCCCGTGCAGCAACGCAAGGTGGAGGTCAAGGCTGAGCAGGGTCTCTATCCGACCTTGAGGACGTCGTACTAAAATGCGCAAAGGAATGGAGGGAGGTAGCGGGTGACTGCTGACCCTGGGGTATGGAGGCCGTCTCTTTTGATTCTACGTCTTCTTCTTCTTCTTCTTTCTTTAGTCATCTTCCCAATTCTTTACTTGTTTACGGGCCTGGTACATTTCGCGCCCACTTTCTTTTTCTTTCTCTCCTCTCTTCAAACAATTGTACGTTAGGTGGTGGGAAAAAGGAAACGGGAGATATGATGAGAATCGGGGTTTCCTCGGCGGGCACTTTCCATAGGCGTTTTAAGTGTGGTTGTCCTTACACCTTTCTTTTTACTTACTCGCCTTTCTACTCCAAATATTCTTCTTCTATCTACTTCTCCCATCTCTATTTCTGTCTCGCCCTTTTCGTATCTTTGGGCTTCTTCTTTGGCCTCCCGCGTTTCCATTTTTCTTCCAGCTTAGCTAGGACCTCGGGGGTCAGGTTCTGGTTATCGATCTTGGGCAAAGGGGAAGGGTGTTCCCAGGTGTTTCTTTATTTTCTTCTTTTCTTCCTTTTCTTTTCTACCTCGTCTTTCCCAACGTATATTCCCGCCGCCATCTTCGGTTTCTTCTTTCTTTTCCTACCATCGCTTGACTGTCTGCGCTGCGGACAGATGCAAGGACAATACAATCTACTTTTCCTCCAACTACGCGTACTATCTTGTCTACCGATGCATGTCTCGAACGTAAGACTAAATCCCGTACTTCCTTCCATTGGAACGACAATAGACTCTCCGAGCCCTCGTCCTGCCTCTCCCCCATTCCTCTTCCCACTCAACGAGGTTTCCACAAGGCCGTCCCATCCCGGCCCCATAGTATCCTTCCCGAAACCCGAAAAGACCCTAACCCTAACGAGAAATAAAATCGTCACCTCACAAACCGTTCAAGGGACAAAACAATGCGACCCAAAGCTAAAAATCCGGAACCCCCGCCTTGTCAGAACCAAACCTAGAAGAAAACGAAACGAAACCCCCACCAGTTGTGGACATGGAAAACGTCATCATGCTTTTTTGCGCTTCCATACCGGGATGTTTCCTATTTGTTTCTTTTTTCCCTCTTCTCTTCACTCACCGGTCTTGCTTGTCCAAATCCCCCAAGCCAAAAGTCTAATATCGAGAATACGGCAAGGGTACATGAAGAGTACTTTTGAGTGTGCGCCCTCGTTGACGAATCGGAGGTTTTGATCCTCCCCTCCGGAGTAGACTCTCCGTCAAACCGTTTTTTCCTGTCCTTCTTTTTGTTCTTTTTGACAACTAAACAGCGAACCCCTAGTTCTCTAGTCCCCGTCAATCAGAAAGCAAAAAGAGGGGAATAGGGTCGATCAGAACTTCCACGCAAGGTTTAAAACACCGTTCAGAAGAATCCCCTTCCATCTCGCCATCCCTCCGGGTTCGGCACGCTCCGAAAGCTTTCTCCACTTACACCCTCCCCCAAAACAGGACAATGTCGTCATTGTCGTCATCCCGCGCAGGTCTGGGGTTCTTGCCCTCTCTTTCTTTTTCTTTCTTCCTCTCTTCCTCCCATTCGTTGCAAAGGTTGCGCCACGCACAAGAGGCGAGTGAGTCACAGGAGCCAGAACTAAACGGGAGCGAATGCATGGAGAGGAAAGTGACAGTGGAGTGGAGCAGGAAACGGGAGGAGTTTGGCCAGGGGCTTTTCTCCCTTGTGTTCTTGAATTTGATAGTCTCATATATGGGGTTTCCAATACAACACAACAAGTTGCTTGCGGAAAACGACAAGGAAAACAAACCCACTTTCATATAGCCAAAGTGAGAGGGGCCAGATGCCCAGGTAATACCCGCCATCTTCCAACGTTTGTTCCCGTTGATACTCCCGTCCCCATTCCTATTTCTAGAGTTGGTTCGATGCGGCTCCACTTCCTTCGTCTCGAGCATCGGGTTTCTTAGGTCCCGCAGACGTCTTCGGCACGTGGCTAAAGTGGTCTGCGACCATTGGGCGTCAAATACTCTTCCAGAAGCCCCCGCCAAGGCCTCCTTGCCAATGATTAAACCGTTGCTTCAGCCCGATTGGAACTCACGCCTGCCACCACAAAAACCGCCCCCAACAACCGCTTCCAGATCTCCCAGCGAGATTTGTGTCATTCATCGTATCTGAAAGGTCGTAAGAGCATGAAGAACAAGAAAAAGAAGAAGAAAACAAGGAGGGGGATTCATATGCCCCTTTCCAATTAAGTATGGGTAAAAGTGTTCAAGGGAAATTTGCAAAAAGCCAACTGAGGACACCCAAGACAGGCCACAGGGCAAGAAGAAAAAGATAGAATTAGAGTGGAAAATAGACACCGGCAGGTGTGTGGCTAAGCGTCATCTTCAAAGATGATCCGAGTCCCAAAAAACTCGAGCCTCGCTAATATCCATCCGGGTTGCCCCAAACCACGGGTTGAAGCGTGATGCGGTCAATTACCCAATGAAGGGGTTGTCCGTTGCGGAGTCAACCCTGAAAGAGCCTATCGGCGAGAGAGGCTAAGCCCTGCCTGAATATGACCAAAAAGAAATCAAAGAGCCCCTCGAACCCAAACTGCTGTCCATAGCGTATGTGCATCACCGCCAGGTTTCAAAACGCTGCTGTGCAAATCGAGCCAGCTGTGAGACGAAAAAGCCAAGTGCGGCCTCGAGGTAAAAGGTGTCGCCACTGTGTTGGTGCTCGAAAGACGTCGGTGAAATAGAGATTAGAGCGTCATCCTTGAGGTATATACCAAGGTCAGGAGTGCTCAACTCCATCCCCAGTGTCGTAGACACGATTGTGTCTGTCGATAGAAAGGCACAGCGACCAAGAGCGGAATTGAAGCAAGAGAACAAAAAAGCTTTCCATCCAGCTTCCAAGAAAATGACCGAATAGCCACCGCCGGATAATGCAAAAAAGTGATGTGATGATGTGTGTATGTTGGATGCCGCGCATCCCACGTCATTTCTCCCCCTTCGCCAAGGGGAGGCCAGTCCCAATAGTCCCATCCAGTGAAATCCGCGGCGGTGTCGAATCCTCCGTGTACCCGCGTGTGCATGTGCAAGAAATATCAAATAGACCCCGGCGCCTTTGTGTTGAATGAGAACGGACATGCCAAGAAGAGAGAGAGAAAAAAAGAGGGGGAATAAGGGTGAAAAAAGTGATGAAGGCGACGGCGCAAAAAAGCGATGTTGAAGAAGTAGAAAAAACAAAAACAAACAATGAGCCGCCCACGACGTATGTGTGTTTGTGTCGGTGGAGGGAGTTGTCGTCGGATGCCGTAGTTCCTGGTATCGGACTGAACCTCGACCGACTCAAGTCTGCGTGGGTATCATGCGTTCAAAGCACGGCACCTCCCTTGGGCCGAGCCAGCCGTCCGCTGAGGCGCGCGTAGTGTAGTGAAGAAAAGAAAAAGAAACCAGACGGTTAAGGGGAGAGTGTGTGTGGTAGGGGTGACCGAGAAGGCGAGAAGGGAAGAAAACAAAAAAAGAACCCAAATCCTCCCAGCCTGGTGATACCCTGTCCCTTTCACCCAAAAACGCCAACCATGCCAAATTTGGGTATTATACAGAACGGAGTTGGAGCAAGGCTTCGACGGCCTCACGCTCCTGCGCGTCCGAGGTGGATCCGAACGCGGAAAAGTCGATGTTTGCGGGCTGGAGCGAACGCGCCATTCCGGCCGAGGCCGAGAAGGAGCGCATTCCACCGCCGTTATATACAGAGGGTGAGAGGTAGTTGCGGTCGGCCACGGCGGCTGCCTGGTTCTGGTAGGAACCTGCGCGGAGGGCGGCTGCGCCGATGGCAGCCCAATCCTCGTCGTCGGTTACATCTTCAGGGTCATCCCTCATGACCATGTCATCATCCTCAGGTGCTTCGGAGCACGAGGCCGAGGCTGCGTCATCCAGTGACATATTGTCGGCCTCGTTTTCCGCCATGTAGATATCGCGGTCGTCGTGCGAAAAGACGACCGAGTCGCCGATGCTTGACGACGCGTTGGCGCGCGCCCGATCGGCGGTCCGCATCGCCCTCTTGGCGATGGGGATACCGGGTGCGACAGAAGAGTCGCGGCTGTTGGGGGTGAGCTTCGCCTGTTGCGCGAGGGGTGCCCTCGACGCTTGGCGTCCCACCTCCCCAGCCAACCTTTTCGAATTCCACATCACCCTCGACACCTCCTCCCTCTCCTCCCCTTCCCTCCAGAGCGCCCACTACTAGTCTTCGTGCCTTGGTTGGGGGATCCCCGCGAAACCGGGCACTGATGTGGTGAGGTAGCCCATGATGTGGCGGATGGCCAAGGGCCCATGGTTGAGCAGGATCTCAGGCAGGTGGTACCTGGTCAGCATGGTGCTGGTGATGGCGCCTGCGGACTCGAAGCCGCCCGCGCTGGAACCTTCGTTCCCGGACTGGTCGTCCTGGAGATCGAGGTCGGAGTCGATGGGCTCGAGCTTCGCCTTCTGTAGTTGGGCCTTGAGCCCGTGGGGGCAAGGCAGGAGAGATGGAGTTCGGGGGTCGGGAGAGGTTGAGGTCGTGTCACAGTTCCAGAGACGCTCCGAGCCGCTACAACAGCTAAGTTGTCTCGGCTCAAGGAGGCCGTGGGAATATCGCGAGCAGCAGAGGCCGGTGACGCCATGTTTCCGTTCAAGTGTCGGGTTATCGACTCTTCTAGGTATCGGTCCTAATAAAAAAGACGGGCGAGGGGACAAATGTCAAATTCGGGCTCTCTGAAAAATAGAGTCTGATGCGACTCAAAGAATGAATTTTTGAAATGATGCGAAAATGTGTTGATGTTGATGTGGATGGGAGGGAAAAAAAGTATTTGGCAAGGGGGTCAAGGGGGAGGAAGATATTATGGTTGTCAATATTATTATGGGAATGGAAGGGGGACGATGGAATGAAGGGGAGCTTGAGTCACAAGTGGTCGGAGCGCGACTTGCTCTTTCTGCGGGTGCGATAAGGGGGAGTACGACCCGTCTCCAAGGCGGAAGAGGGAACAAGGCAAGGAAGGGCGTAGAAGGGAGATTAGAGTGGTAGTGGCCTTACAAGGGATTTGCGTCGGAACCGTCAAGGTGGAAACAGTTCGGATCGGAGAGAATTGCAGTTCCCAAGTCGAGCGACGAGAGGACTGAAATAAACAAAAAATTCCGACGAGGGCGGGCGATGGAAGAAGCAGATGAACTGTCCGGCGATGCTGGCGCGATAATTCTGGACTGATGAAAACCAGAGGCTCTCCAGAAGGAAACGAAAGATTAAGAAGGAAAAATCGTGGTTGTTGTTCTCGTTGTTAATTGCGATGGGAGAGAGAAAACAAAGGAGAAGGTTCAGCGAGGCGTCGCGGCGTTGCCGTGTATATAGACGACAGATTGTCGGCTGCCTGTGCTGCGTGCTGTACATTATGTACTATGTGCTGTGTGCTGGGCTGGGCTGCGTGCTTGCTTTGCACACGCACTCACAACGAGAGAGAAAGAGACTCCCATACCCATACCCATACCCATCCATACCCATCCATATCCACACCCACCCACACCCATCCAAGCCATCTATCTTCCACGCCCTTCGCCCAGCAGCGCACACACCCCGACCTAGTTGGACTGGGAAACGACTGGAACTCAAATGGAAGGGGAGGCCCTGCAGAAGAGAAGGGGGCAACATCAACCCATTCATTGAAAGTGCTCCATCTCCCTTTCCAACCCTTTTTGCCATTTGCCATTTCGCCAGGCAACAGGGAAGGCCTGGCACGCACCAACCAACTCATAAAGGAGAGAGATCAATCCGATGCATTATTTCGCCATGGCAAGAGCACAGCAGTCTAAGGGGGTGATAATAGATTGGCAAGGTAGCGTAGCCAGACGAGAAACCCAAGATGGATCCAGTGGCCCATGTCCCATTTCAGATGTCTCCTTTGCAACACATCCAACGCAGGCAAGCAGGTCAGCACGCACCCATGGGCTAGTCTCGAGCTGCCAGTGGCTGCCAATAGCTGGATACAAACCATTCCGGTATCGTACTAATCCGACGACGTATCTTCCCACAAGACTAGGATACACAGTCACGATACAAGACAGTGACCAAGCTCGTTTCTTTATCTATCATCACTTCAAACTCGTTGCTTTGAGCCCGGAGAAAGGACACGGCGCCCGGAACCCCGCCCGTGTCTGGCCCAACAAGTCGAGAGACAACTTGGAAAATGACAAGGTGGAAGGATCAATCAATCATTAGATCAACGGAAATGTCGGTGCCCACGCGCCAGTGGACGAACCGGCCGATTTTCCTTCCTCATCGTGCTCCTAAAACTCTCTTCGCTCAATTCATTTTTGGGGTGTTCTTTTCCTCGTGTCTCCCTCGCCTTCGAGCCCTAATTCCACTCATTCCAGCACGTTGTACTTGGGCTGGGCGACAATTGATAAAGCAGGTACGGGCCAGCTAAGGTTTAGGCACTATAAAACCTTAGCGTCTCGATCGGTTCGCCCTGTACATGCTACAAGACCGAGGTCATATCAATGTACCTCTAACCCCGGAAAGGAGGAAGAAGACGAAGACGAAAAGAGGAGGATGAAAGTGGAGGCTAGTTTCGACGGAGTGGGCTCCGCCTGTTTCTCACGGCTTCCCTTTTCGCTCCACTTGTGCTATCAGTGGTTGAGTGGCTCGTTCCGGGAGTCAGGACGATGACGACTTTTGTCACCACCCACCGATAAAGTACGTACAGCTCCTTTAGACCCGCCCCCGAATAAGGTATAATGGTCGGGTTGGTCTTGTCGCTGCTGCTGCGCGTGCGTGGGTTCTTGTTTTCGCGTATCTGCGCCTGTACCTCTGCTGCTTCTGAGTACTCCATAATACTTGTGCTTCACGTACCGGGCCTTCCAGGTTCCTTTCCTCCCGTTAATCTGGGGCAAGCGTGGTATCCAGTACGTCTCCCGACCGTGATTTCCCTGTCCCGAAACCAAGTATCCACAACTTCTCGCTCCCGTCTTTTGCCCGCTTCCTCCCTTCTTCCTTTGGCTGAGCCTTCCATGCTTCCCTTCTTTTCGCAGGTACAAGTAGTCATCGGGTCAAAGGAAGCTTCGTCTTCCATAACGCCGGTACTTGGCAGTTACCTGCCACGAGTAAAATACAAGGTATTGGCAACTTATCGAGGGAACACATCCCCCAGCCCATCCGAGCCTGGTCATGCCCATGCTTCTCGAGCGAAAAAGGTACTTTCCTCGACTATGAAATCGAAGGTTCGAAAAGACGAACATGGGGTTTCTTCCCTTTCTGGAGAGGGTCCACGTTGTACCCGCAAGTACTGTACATGATACGCAAGTCTCGTCTGGCACTCAAAAGAGCTGGCCCAATGACCCTAGGGATCTCCCATTCTGATTCTCCCCCTTCCAAAGCGAGAAAAAGGCGTTGCCCTCCGAAAGAGGGAGAAAGTGCATGCAGACGAACGGAGAGGAAAGGAATGCGGATGACGGGACGAAGAGAAAGAAAAAAAAAAAAAACGTTTGGTTTGTCAAAAAGGCGCATCGCCATTTGACCATGGGACATGCGCAGCCTGTCCCATTAATCTTTTGGCATGTGCCCTGCCTCTTGTCCACCGGGTTCGCCGTGTTTTGCTGAGCCCTGCGCGGTCATCATTTCACCGGGCGGCCCCCTTTTTAGAACACTCTCACTCTCTCCCGTGGAGGCCTGACTGATCATTGATGATTATTATCCGTCCTGCCGTCATCTACGCAAACTTATCACACAATGAAAAGGCCAATTCCTTTCTTTTTGCCCACATTTGGACATGAACCAACCATGCCTGTCTCGTTTTTGCCTGCCTGTCGCTTCCCACAGAGGAGGGCCCACCGGGTGTTATTCCCTTTGCGACAAGTATACCGGCCACTTTTGTTTTCTTCCTTTTTTAGCAAAGGAACTTGGCGCGCACGCACTACGGCTGCTGCTTCTGATGGAGATTATCGTGGATCGTGTATCAGTGGAGTTTATAAGCACATCAGCATGCTTCCGTCCCTTCCCAGAAAATCTACAAGTAATCATCAAAAAGTGGAGAGGCCGTCAGGGTCAATGAGTCAGAAGGCGCAAAGGTGCAATTTTCCCCCTTTTGCACAATCGCGTTGCTCGTCAAATTCGTTGTCCGCCTCATTTCTTTTCTTTCTTCCTCTGACTTCCGCTCGCTCGCCTTACCCTGCCCTCCCTTCAGGTGCCCAATTTTTTTCTTTTTACTGTCGTTTCTCATACACAAGTTTCAACGGCCCTCTCAGGCCCTTACTCAAACGTCGTGTCGTCGTAATTTCGCTCCAACACCAAGCTGGAAACTTATCAACCGAGAGGGTCCAACAAGATCCACTTGATGCCAAATCAGCTCCTCCCCTCAACCAGCTACTCCGTATTTGCATTAATCAGTTTGCTGGTGCTTTGGTGCTATTTTAGCCCATCCGACCATTATGGGGAAAAGAAGAGTGGGTTCTCTCACTCTCTCCTTTGGCAAGTGGACCACAGGGGGCCCCGATCCTCTATCTCTAGGGCGATCTTTGATCATTTATCCCCCTCCTTTTTCGGGAGGCGAAGGGTTCCCACTTGATTTTTGGGGGTGTGTGTTACTTGCTTGTGCGTTGCGAAATTCGATTCCAGTCAATTGTGCGTTGGTATAATTTGTGTAGCGTCTCCAGTGGGGAACGGCTGGACGACATCGTGAGATGCCCACCCTTCTCCTCCCACCTCGTGCCCTGTTCCGGTCTCTACGATAGGGTAGGGCAAATGTTCGCAAAACGAGGAAACCAAACCAGGTGGGGTTGTGCTGTGCGCTCCTTTTGTTTTCCCTCATCATGACGACTTGCGCGCTTTTGCTCTTTTAGTCCCTGGCCTCCCTCCCTCAGACTCAGACGTGGCCGACCGACCCCCTTTCTTGCGTCCTCCATGTTCCGGGAGAGAGGTCCCACATGCGATCGTGATTCGCATTTTCACGATGCTCCCTCAACCTTGATTTTCGAGGGGGTTTAAACCGCAATGCAAAGAAGAAAATAGACACCCCCTCCCCCAGCCCTCCTTACCCTACATGATAATTTCGCGCTTCTTTTTCCTTGGCTCCCCATGCGCGGCTTCGAGCTCGGGTGTGATTCTATCCCTCCCCTCCCTTTTTGTTTCTTTTCTTTCCCTCTTCCCGTGCCAACCATATCAACCATCGGAAGCCATAACCCGACCCCCGACATGAGGAAAACTCAGGCACGATGACGCGCGTGGGCCTCCCATTCGGTCCCCATCCAAGATTCCAGGTGTGATAGATGCGAAATGGGGTAAGCAGGAGGAGGGGGAGGGTCCAAGGAAGCAACGTGGGTCCCCCGTTCCGAGGCCCCATGACACGAGAGCCGAGCACGCCGGGGGAGGAAACACAACCAAATTTAGAGCCGGCGTTTTTCGGTTCGAGAGAAAAAGAAGGGAAAGGCATGTGTGGAGAAGAAGCGAAATGATAGGAAAAAGAGTGAGATAAGAGTGAAAAAGCCCTGACCCTAACACATCAAGTACGTTCACAAGAATGAAATTGTTTTCTCTTGTCGTCACCTCGGTTGGGTTCCAATCAATGCGAGAGATATCTGTCTCCCTTCTCGTGGCTGGTTGGATCTCGTCATTCCTCGCCGAGACCGCGCTATCTATTTACCACAAAGACCCCATGAGTGCCGAAAGCAGAGGAAGGAAAGAGAAAGACGAAAAAAGGGCCTTATCTCACATTATCTTGCCGCGGAGCTGAGACGCCCTGGCAGCTGCAAAGCGCTTTTTTTTTCTTCTTGCTCGTAGACATCGAGTGCAATATCCCTCCCGTGACAATAGATGTAGAGGACTTTATCCCGTTTAAGCCAGCTCCCCAAGCCACTGCGCGCTTTTGTCTTCTTTCCTCTCTTCTTCACATCCCTGAGGTCTCGCCTCTTTCGAAACGAGGATATGCAACCGTGAGAATGTGCCCACTAGTATAAACCTGGACGTGGGGAGTATTCGTACCAAGCCCCAACCCACCCACCCGAGAAACAAAGGGAACAAAAAACCCCGTCCTATCAACGAGTTGGGTGGGGTGCATCTGACCCTGCGCCTATCAGCCAGCCCAGAGTCGGAGCCCGCAGCTGTCGTCGCATCATTCGTATCTTGGTCCATCGATGGCTGGAGTGACGCGAGGAAACGGGTTAATCCGGGGGAAAAAAGATCCATAGATGCGACAAGCAGCTTGCTTCCAGACATATACGTAACCTATGGGCCATGAGGAATTGAGAACAGATGAAAGAAGAAGAAAAACAAAAGCCATATATCTCTCGCCGCGTCGCCTGGCCTCAGTATGTTCGCCAGCGCAGCCCGCAATTCGATGTAAGTGGCCTGGCCTTTGTAAACCGCGCCGCAAAGGCGTCGGGCCGTGTAAGAAGGAACAACAACAATCCACCCCCAAAGCAAAGAGGGCCACGGCGTTCCTCTGGCAAACGGCGATGTAAGGATGATCCCACTCACGCATCAGGCTATTCCCATCGTGCTAGCTCTCTTATTCTTTTATTCAAACAGTGCTTGTAAGATAATGATTGGAGAGCGCGAGCGCGCGAGAGAGGGAAAAGAGAGCAAGAGTAAGGAAAATAGCGCATTTCTACATTATCTTTCCAAAACATGAGCCCAGCAAGGATACATGTAATCGAGAGCGTCCCCCCCATCCGGTCCCCCATGCCAACCCCTCCGATCCAAGCCACGCCCCCAAGTCGAGCTTTGGGCTTTGGGAACGTGTTTGAAACTCTCAATCGCAGACGTCCCCTCTCACTAGTCTATAGGTAGGGTAGTAGATCGCTACCGAGAACGAGAGAAGAAGAAAAATAAAACGTGTCCCCGTTCAGAATTTTGTTGCGGCGATATCCATCCTCAACCGATGTTTTCGGGGGCGGACAATGTCGCACAGTGGATGGCATGAGCTTGATCCTCCCCGAATTGGCAAGACGACAACCATCACGTTGGATGGTCTCGACGCTGATTGGCCCCAGGTTGGGGGTTTTCCATCATGTACCGAAGAATTCCTCGGCGGTTCTCCTCGCCATCACGTTGGAAAGCCTGGGTCTCTGTGCGGCAGCAGCTACTGAGCAGAGACTGCCGACAATCGAGAAAGTGTATGCGTCCATTGCATGCACCCCTCCCCTCAAACCACCAACCTTCATCAATGCCTGTCTTGCAGACGGGAAGAAAAAAAAAAAAAAAAAGAGCTTCGGAAGTAGATACCGGGATCCTCGGCGGTTTCGTCCGGTTGGTTGCTCGGCGATCTATAGATTTGACTTGAAAGAGAAAAAAAGAAAAGAAAAGGAAAAAGAATGCGATAGATGCCGGGACGAGCCAATGTCTCTCCTTGGTGTGAATCGGACGCTCTGAATCAGGCACTTTTCACATCGATTACATGCCTAGGCCCTCGTCCACTGATTTTACCCCACGTCGTTGCACATTGCATCTCGTCACAAACGGTGTTCGGTCTCCCAGGACAGCCTGCTCGTGGGGAAGGGGGACTACGCACCCTGCACCAACGGTACAGTGGGTGCGGCGTGAGTGGGCGTTGATGCGCCGTCTTTTGCGTTTTCCGACTGGTTCAACCGGTGAAAAATAAAGGTAGTCTAGACAATGGGATGAGGCCGCGCTCGGTGAGGAAGTCTCCCCAGCACCCTTCGCAACGGTATTCCAGCAGGTTTGGCCCTCGGTTGCCGGAAAGTCTGGATCGCGATCAACCCCGCGCTGACCCGGCTTAATCGCCCTTCCCCTCCCCTACGAAGCTTCCCTCTCCCCAAGGGCGGCTGTACTTGTTGCAACGCCCGCGCTGGAGTACCAGAAAAAGGTGGCTAACGGCGGGGTATGCGCGAAAGAGATGACCCATTTTCCTCACTGTGTATCACTGCCGACAACTCCGTACCGTAACCATCGTAATTGTAGTGGTCCGCCCGATTCTCATCTTGTTGTAAGCGAAGTGAGTGGGCGAGTAGAGGTCAAAGGGGGTGCGGGGACAGTTAGTCCTGGACGAGTCGACTGGAATCTAGAGCATCGCCAACGCAGCTTCGCGAACTGTTTCGTGAGCTGTCACCTCTGGCTCTCTTGATCGGGCACTCATTTGCACCCAGGCGAGGGTACGCGGCCTCTCAGAGGAGGGTTGAAAAGGACCGCTCGCATGACAAGGCCTTACTCTGCCAGGAGATCGATCAGGCGATGACGAGTTGCGCCATCCTCGAGAACATTCTCAGCCAAACACAAACTCTCGACAGGCCTTGTAAATCATTGAACGGAAACCCGAGATTAGCAAAAAGGAACCCGGCGAGGATGGGATGAGATGAAATGGGGGTGGCAACAGAGCAGGAGGGAGCCTGGGTACCTACAGTCTTGAGAACGTTGACCTTTTCCTGGGACTGGATAAACACCCGGCGATACTGGCCAATGCTTTCCTGAAGCACGGCTGCCTTGGTCGTACGACCCTCGCAGATGGCCTTCATCTTCATTTCCATCTCCCTGCGTAGAAAGGGCTTACCCAGACTTGTCTCAAAGTTCATACGGTCGAACCCCAGGATAAGAGCCACTCCAAGCTTTGTCGGGACAAAGTATTTTCCCATCTTTCCTTGGCCTCCAGAGCCGCCCCCGGCTCCGCCACCCCGGCCCCGAGCGCCTCCACGGCCACCACGACTACCTCTTCCACCCCGTCCTCCCCGCGTAGCGGGCGCCTCTTCGACATCTCCATCATCACCATCTCCCTGGCTACCCCGTAAGTTGACGACGTCTACGTACTGCCTGTCTTGAATCTTTTGAATGTGTTCCGCCATCGTGGCATCCGTCCCGATTCCGTTGGCATCCATCAAGGCAATCAGATCGGCCTCGGTCAAGTAGTTGGGCTTCGACGTCTGCCCTTCCGTCATCAGGGCCTCGGCTGGCTGGAACTGCTCGCCCACGACGAACTTGGGCAGCTCCGCGCTGCTATTCCACTTTTCGTAGACAAATACGTCTAGGTAATTCCGCTCCAGGACGATGACGCCGTGAGCGGAAAAAGATTCACCACCGTAGTCGATCTCGATGTCTGTAGCGAGTCCCTTGGCATCGTCCGAGCAACAGGCAAGAAACCTCCTGACAACGTACTCGTATAAGCGGGCCTCGTCAGGGCTTAGGACTGTAGGTGCGGCGTACGTGACCGGGTGGATGGGCGGGTGTGCCTTGTCATCGTTTCGTCCCTCTCTTGGCTGGCTGAAGCGTCCATCGACTAGTCCTTGGGCAAACCCGCCCCAGCGATTGTCCTGAACCTGCTTAGCACACAGGGCCCGTAGATCCATACCTTTGTCGAACCGATCTGTCTCGGTTCTGGGGTAACTGATAAACCCCTTATTGTACAGAGATTCGGCAATGTTCATAGCTTGTTGACCAGTCATGCGAAGCATTCGCGTGGCCGCTTTCTGCAGCTCTACTGTAGTAAGAGGTAGAGGCTTGAACTTCTTCGTTGGCCGTTCTTGCACCTTGGTCACCTTGGCGATCTTGGCCCTGAGACACCGCTCGTACAGAATGATGACGGAAAGCCTGTCGAAGAGGCGGCTCCTCGCCCAGCTGAAATTGACATCGATGCCCTTCCGGTTATACCGAACCTTGATCGACCAAAAGGTCTCTGGCACAAAGTCCTTGACCCGAAAATATCGTTCCACGACGAACCCTAGGGTGGGGAACTGGCAGGCGCCTAGGGCTTGATGTTAGGAATGCGGACGATCAAAGGAAAGCTGCGTGTATATCAAGGGAAAAGGCCGGGTCCGACTGAGCTGCGAATAACATACCGTAACTGAGGACCTTGTCCTCAAGGGGGCCACCAAGCGCTCGGAGGGAGTTGGTGATGAACCGGGTAAAGGCAAACCCGATTCTGAGGTCCAGCTCTATCCTAGCCTCCACGGCGTGAACTTGTCGCTCGTCGAGCATGACAAGGTGGCGGGCCGCCGATAGGACGTGTCTAAGAGCAATGGTTAGCTCTTGGCCAGGAATGTCGAGGTAAGACTGTTTGTTTTCCTTCCGAATGGGACGGGAGGAGGGTTACTCACGCCCTCTCAATGTTGCTGAATCTCGCCCGCTTGACCTGGATGTTTTTGTTGCCCTTGAGCGCGGCGGCCCGAATTTCGCTTCCAATATGTTCACCTTCACGATCGCAATCGGTCCAGATGACAAGGGCTTGGCAGGAACGAGCTTGCGACTCGATGTTGGCAGCTATGCTCTTCTTATCCTACAATAGAGCAAGAAGGGGCAACGAGGTTAACGATGGGTTAGCTCTTAGGCAGTATCGTGAATGCTTCCTTACGTCGTCTACTTGGGTGAGAACATCAGCGTTGAACAAGCTCTCTGGAGGTGGATAGGCCCAGTTGTTGAAGGCTGAAGGAAACACCATGCCGGTCAAGTGCCCGGTCACACAGGTCATGGTCACATTGCACCGTCCCCATGGCTGGCCAAAGTCAAAGTCGAAGGAGTAATTCTTGATGAACTTGACACGCGTGTTATGCTGTTGGGGAGGAGCAAAGGGGAAAGAAGAAGAAGCGTCATTAGAAACTCGTCACAGGTCCTAAACGGGTAAAAGAGAGAGCTTGCCAACCACTAACCATTTGCTTACTGCCACCAGAGAGATGATCAGCTACCGCCTTGGATATTGACGGTTTTTCGGCAACGCAGAGGACTCTCATTTTGTCACATTCTCGGGTAGATTAGAGAAATGATCATGGGAAACAGCACCAATGGAGTGGAGAGGTGGCACGCTTTAAATGTTGGGCCTGGGGAAACGGGGAGGAAGTGAAGGAGGTTTCGTGCAAGCTCAAAGAAGACGCGGGGTGAATTGGTGGGGCAGGAGCTTCAAGCCCATTCAAGAGCCAGCAACCCAATTTTTTCCAAAAATTCCCTTTTGGTTCCGTCCTGGCAGATGACTCTGGACCAAGAGATCGATTGCCTTTGAGCTCTGCACTTGCAGCGGTGCTAAGAATACCCTTCCCACAGATATGCGAGCTTCAGATCTCTGATATGCTCAAGCCCTAGTCCTAGAGAAGCTCTGAGTGTGAGGATGAAGAGGTGAAGGACGCGAGACGCGTGTGTCGAGCAAAGTCAATATTTGGTAACCGCTATCAATGATGGCCGCACACATTATTTGGAGCTGTGGGGAGAGGGCATAATTCTTGGGATTTCCCAATTGGCTCGCTGTCGCAACTTGAAGCACGTCCCGGTGCCCGCACGGCCTGAAACTGGATTTTCAGCACTTGAGGGCTCTGCAGGCAGCACTAGTTCTTGTCGGACCAGCACCAGCTCAAGCTCAAGCTCAAGCTGCACTAGTTTAAGAAAGCGCTGGAGCTGGAGAGCTTGGGCTTCGTGATCAGCGTTTGAAGGGCCAACCCCAACGCGACCAAGGTCCCGCCAATCACAACGCTCACCCGAGCACCGATCTCCTGAAAGGCAGCACTACGCTCGAATCTGGGAATGCCCAGCGATCAATCCCCATCAATCATTCGACGCTGTTTAATTGTCGGAGCGACCCACTTCAAGAACCATGACGTCCAAGCTCAAATGAGAAAGGTGCTGCTCTTAAACCTTCCCGAACCCCCTCGCCCCATTCACGACTGGAAGTGACCGTGAACCGCCTCCCCTAACCCTCCATACCAAGGATCACGACGAGCCGCAACATCTCGGCTGAACCCCCTCCTCGGAAAAGAAAGAAGAAGAAGAGACAGAAACCTTTTCTCCAAGAGGCGAGACTCGCTCGCTCGCTCCCCATTAAAATCATGGCTCTACCGACCCTTCAAGCTGTGGAGGACTGCGGCGACTACTACAAGACCATCGAGCCCTTCCTCCCCCAGCTCTACGAGCTCCCGCGCAAGCTTCTCGACAACTACGCGAATCTAGACGCCCTCGCGCAGCTCTACGTCGAAACGAACCCCTTCATCTCGGGCGCCGCCTTCTCCGTCTTTCTCGGCTTCCTCTTCCTCGTCACGGCGGAGATCAATAGGAACTTTTCGCAGGTGGACAGGGCCTGGAGCATCCTCCCTGCCATCTATAACATACACTTTGCTGTGTGGGCGCGGCTCGCGGGCGAGCCTCACGAGAGGACGGATCTGGTTGCTCTGTTCTCCATTGTGTGGAGCGTACGGTCACCCCTACAGCCCCCGTTCCTTTTTCCGCTTGGCTACCGCAGCCTGCCATTGTTCTTTAGTGCTAATTTTCCTCTTGTGACGGGTAGATTCGCTTGACTTTCAACTACTGGCGCAGGGGCGGATATCAGATCGGGTCTGAAGACTACAGATGGTGAGTTACTATCCCGACGCTTCAACACAGGACAAACCGTCCAAAATATAGAACCCGAGGCCCTAACATTCCCCGTGTCTCGCGCCGCAGGGCCTACGTTCAAACATGGATGCACCCGATCTTGTTCTCGCTCTTCGACCTTCTCTTCATCGCCTTCACGCAGAGCATCCTTATCTTCCTGTTCTCGTCGAGCCCCGCCTACGTCATCCTCCTCACCAACAAGTTCAAGCCCGAACTGAGCTCGTCGGATTTCGGGTACCTTGCCTGGCAGCTTCTCCTCGTCTTCAGCGAGTTCATCTCCGACGGACAGCAGTGGAGTACGGTTTCCTCCTCCCCTTCCCCTCCAACCTTCTTTTCTTAGAAAAGGGCCACAAAATAAAACTAGTGCTAACACCTACTCAGGGTACCAAAACGCGAAGCACAAGTATCAAAAGGACGCCAAGCTTCCTCGTGAATACTCTCAGGCCGACCTCGATCGGGGTTTCATCACCTCGGGTATTTGGGCCTACAGCCGCCATCCCAACTGCGCCGCCGAGCAGCTCATCTGGTTCTTCCTGTACCAGTGGGCTTGCAATGCCTCTGAAACCTTGTACGGATGGGCCGCCATCGGCAGCTGCTCTTTGATTCTTCTTTTCCAGGGCTCAACCATCCTCACCGAGTCCATCAGCAGCAGAAAGTACCCCGAATACGTCCACTACCAGGATACCGTCGGCATGTTCCTCCCCAACACTTGGAGAGCATATAGCCCCCAAGCAACGAGCCCAAGGTTATCCGGACGAGCGATCTGCTCAAGAAGCAGAAGCAGAAGCAGGGAAAGCGTGAGTGATTACAAAACGAGATGGCGCTGGTTCGCAATTTTTCACATTGCGAGGGCTCCGTTCGGTTCGGAGGAGGAGGAAGAGGAATAAGATCTAGGGTACGCAATACGCAGTTAGTAGCGGCAGACCCTTGTGGAAGCGATTCGCGGTGTGACAGTAGAGAGAGTATCAAAGCTGGATATGTCCCTTGTTATATGTATGGGAATTAATTGAGATCCTCTATCAACGGGCGCCAGTTCGAGCCTCCAGATCTAATGCCTTCCATGTAAATGTACGCACACCGCAACGCAAACCCCAGGCCCCCTTTCTTTTCTTCGGTTCCAGACATCTAGGAAGCCTGGCGGAGGTCGCTCAGCTTATCTACATAGTAGTGGGGAACGACGGTGGCCCCTCCATCTCCCAGTCCTCCTTCTTATTGACGCCCGTCAGCACGGCAAGAGTACCGCCAAGCCGGCCTTCGATACCGAACTGGATGTCGGTGTTGAGGCGGTCACCAACCATGCAGGTCCTCGAGCGATCGAGCTTGAACTTGCCCTCGATAGCATCCATCATGGCTTGGCTAGGCTTGCCAAAGCTGGTGGGCTCAACGCCGCCGAGCATGTGGACAAAGGGGATAGAGATGGCGCCGGCGCCGGGGAAGAAGGAGTGGCTATTGGGCAGGGTGCTGTCGCGGTTGGTAGCGAGGAAGGCGGCGCCGCGACGGAGGTACTGGAAGGCGGTGGCCATCTTGAGGTAGTTGATGTGAAAATCGAGGCCGACGAGCACGGCGCCGACCTCGGGATCGAGGAGGGAGCCGTCGGCGAGGCCGCGGTAGTCGTCGGGGGTGATGTCGCGGCGCAGGGCGGGATCGGTGCCGCCGATAAAGGGGACGTTTTCGGCGCGCAGCTCCGTCTCGATGCCGGCTTCGCCGACGACGAAGACCTTGGGCTTGCCGGCGGGGAGCTCGAGGATGCGAGCGATGTACACGGCGGAGGAGTAGGACGAGCCGAAAACGTCGTCGACTTGGGCGTCGATGCCGAGGTCGGTGAGCTTCTTGACGTAGTCTTGGCGGGATTTGGTGGAGTTGTTGGTCACGAAGACGACTTTTTACCTGTGTGAGGGGTGGAAGGGGTTTCGATGTGTGAGCTTGGTTGGACTTTTGAAAGGGGGTCTTGCCGGTTCATGGGTCCGAGAATAAAGAAAAGAGAAGAAAGGATGAAAAATAGAAAAAAAAACGGGAAGTAAAAAAAGAAGAGAAGCAGGTGAGAACTACGGGTTACGGGTGCTTCACTCACCCTTTGATCGGAGGAGGCTCAAGGTCTCGGGGATACCCTCGAAGACGTGGTCGCCCGACCATAGAACGCCATCGCAATCGAAGAGGAACACCTAAGAGTTATTAGTCGCGGTCAGGATCAATTCTCTCCTTTTCGTGATTCTACTACTCCCGCCCTTCTGGGAAAACAACGTACATCGAATTTGTCCAAGAATTCATTGATGGCGGTTGAGTCACCGCTGAGGTATTTAGATACCGTCATGGTTAGACCAAACAAGAACAAAAGATTAACTCGATCAATCTATTGTATTTACGAAAAGAGTATTCGCCTAGTCACTTGAGTTTTTCTCTTTTCAAAGTAAGAAACTCGAATCGAAGCGGTGGTGGCGGGGCTGCTTTTCGCCTTTGTGACAATCGATAACAAAAATCAGAGCTGCGGGGATGTCGTTGTCTGGATCCCTGGATCATTCAGTGGAGGGGCCGTGGGCTCTTCATTGACGTTGGGGTCGGGTGCCGATCGGCCAATGTCTCAGAGGCTCCGATAGGAGGGGGCAATAGTTTGGCTTACAGCACTGCGCTTACCTCCCGGAGGCGACCGGATCGGCATTCGTCTGGTATCAACACTAATGAGCCCAACGTTAACCAAACACACATACACACTACATTTACGCGCCACAGATCAAAATCCCCCAGAGAGAGGAAAAGAACAAGAAAAGTAAATGGCGAGGGACAACGCGAGCAATGAAGGTGGTGGAATTGTGAGCTGGAGCACTACGGGATCACGACGATGCCGCACCTTACGGTGATGAAGAACTCTGTATTTACAATTTTCACAAATGAACTGTAGTCTACTGCAGGAGTGTTCCAAGATGGAAACCATATACAATGGTGCCAATGAAGGTGGTCAAGTTGAGGAGGGAGGAGATGCCATGAAGCTTGCCAAACTGCTTGTTCAGCGCAATCATCTCTTGAGAGTGGGGTGCCGGCTCCCACGACTTCTTGCCATCCTTTTTCTCTACACAGGTAAGATCGGATCAGCAACCGCGTGGGGGAAGAAATAAGAAAATAACCCCATTTGAAGAAAGGCAAACTTACCTTGGTCTCTTCGCTTCACCATGACCTTGATCGTGGCAGGGAGGAGAACGACAAAGTTCAGGAGCGCTGAAGCGAAGATAGCGGCAATGGGGCTCAGCACTGACCACCGGTTGGCTGGGTCAAGAACGCCGCTGAGGCCGAGTGAACCTCCTTCGTTTCTGGGATACGTCGCGGCGAGGATGACCGGGGCAGCCGTTTGGACGGTGAAGTAGATGGGGAATAGTCGAGACTGAACGGCGGCGAACTGAGGTCGCGCCAGCGTCTTGAACATAACGATGCCCCCAACAAAAGACTTCAACAGCGTTGATCTATTAGAACGGCATACTCTCTTGATGCTACATGTACAAGCTAAGAAGCCGTCATCTACTTACATGCCAAAAGGTGGTGCCGAGAAGCGTACCATATCTAAAAGCACTTGTTAGAAGCCGACCGCGCAGTTGAGACTCACCACCCTGTTTGTCACATGCATTGAGAGCGTCAATGCAGCGGCGACTGTTGACGGCCAAGACTTACGCAAGGATATGGTACGGCCCAGTGGTAAATATTCCGCTTCCTGCCATTATGAAATTAAGTCTTCCTTTACCGAGAGATATATATGATTAAAGATAAAATGGAAAAAAAAAGGGTTGGTCTGAAACTTCTAGATTCGTTGCTCAGCTGTGCTCTTGAAGATGTCTCTCACGACAGGTTATCATGCATGAGCTCATCGCTCATGGATGAAACTGTTGCGGTAGAAGTTCGGCTAAACACCAACCGGCTCATTCTCGGCGTGGTGCAGACCAGAGGCCAAATTTTCTAGAGGCTTCGGCATCAGCGAGGATTGCGAACGGGAAAAATCGATCTTTTTTTTTTTTTAACCTTCTCTGCCGCCAACCCCATCGCGCATACGCGAAATAATCACCACCCCTTATCACCAACACCACCTCGAGCTGACGAACGAGCCTTTATCCTCCCACGCAACCATGGCCTCAGCAATCGCAATCGGAACCGGCGTCGCGGTCGCCGCCTTCTTGGTAGGGTCTTTCTTGTCTTGACGCCGGCGATATCTCGCAGCCTCGCGGTCTCGCGATTCGCTTTCCGGAAGGGGGACCTCTTTTACTAACGCAACTATACTTATAGGGTCGAGCTGGACTTGTCGCATGGCGCCGATCGCGTGGTGGTGTCGGAGCCCTGGGAAAGGCCTTTTACAAGGGCGGCTTCGAGCCCAAGATGAATAAGCGAGAAGCGACCTTGATTCTCAACTTGGGGTGAGTGAAAAGACCGAGGGCATCCCTCGGGGCCCCGAACCAGGCTTGGCTAGCGACGTATCGTACTAATACCGTGATGCAGCGAGAGGGCAGTCACCAAGGATAAGCTGCGCAAAGCTCACCGAACCATGATGTTGCTCAACCACCCCGATCGAGGCGGCAGCCCTTACCTCGCCACCAAAATCAACGAGGCAAAGGAATTCCTTGAAAAAACTACTTGATCCATCCCCGCGCCGGGGCTTTCTTCGCGCTTCTTCTTGCTCTCGTAGCCTCCCGAACCTCGTTAGTCGAAACCCAGACCACAGCGACACCCTGTATCATTCGGCTCAGCAAGGTTCCGGAAGACAGTCGTATCTGTGAGGGGTTTCCCGGGCGAATGTACAACACTACACATCTTGGCTCCATAGCGATGGCGTTTCTTGTTTATTGCTCTTTTCACTTTTCTTGGGTTCACACACGTGGGGTTGGGCTGTATGAGTCGGATGCGTACCTATGGACACAGATAATATATACACACAAACATGCAAATAGAAGGGCAGCCTCCCGTGGGCTTGGCCAAAATCTCACCTCAACCTATTCAATCTTGACTCGTCCCCATGACTCGGGCCCCCTCTCCTTCAAGAGTGGTGATGATGCAGGAATGTTCTCTAACACACTAGCCCGGGCAACACGATTGTCAAAGACTCGCAAACCATGCGTCCATCCCACATTACACATGTATCAGCCCTGGAATGCGACCTATATGTACTTGTCTAGTGTCCTTTTCCACCTGGATATACTCTCCTCTAGTTGCACCTTCCTCATCCTCTACGGCGTTAGGGAAACCCCTCCTTTCTCGTCGCTCCTTCCCATTCTAAGTACACTCTTCAGAGAATCCACACCATCGGATGATTCATGTTTGTGCCCTTTGGCTCTCTTCCACCTTTTAAGAAGATCCAGTTAAAAAAGGGAAAAATTTTTTAATCTGATACACACCACAGGTTTGTTTATTTTGCCAGTTACCATTTCCGCGATGCCTCGCATGACGGATGAGGAGGTTGAGGAGTGGCGCCCTCGCATCGACTTCCTGCAGCAGGCCGCCGGGGTGGAGTTTAACACAGACCAATTCCTCCACGCTATCCAAGGTGGGCGGGACGCCATGGCAGAATTATGGCCCAACCTTGCCATACCCCCAACGTCCTCCGAGATCGCCTCTGAGAATTCTGACCTGGATACGAACAAGGAAAGTCACGCTGATCTAGGCCCCGGTGCGGAGACGAGACGGCAAGCTTCGGGAAACTCTCCCCTCGGACCCCGGGCAGGCTCTCGTCGGGAAACCGGCCCCGGGCGTCACCATGACCCGCGGAGACGCCGCGCCCGCGTCCATGTACTTTTGCCCGTGGCGCATGGTCTACCACTATCCCGACTGGTTTATAGGAAAGGTCAACGGTCCCCTCGTAAGTTTACCCGTCGGCGACCCTTTCAATTTCCGTAGATTCTTCTAACTTCCTCCCTCCCAATAGGCCCGACCGCTTTTTGACGACTTCTTCCGCCATCAGGAGTGGCACTTGTAAGACTTTTACCAAGATCCTTCTTCCCGCGCGCGTCCGACTCAAATTTATGCACTCACAAAACTAACCATTCTCTAGTTATTATGCGTTTACATCTGATACCCTTGTAGAGACCCCTTACCTCTTCGTCCCAACTGAGCAGTTTATCGCCTTCTTAAACATTGTCAACGCCGAACTGAAAATCAACCTCACTATCCCCGTCGGCGAAAATGGCGAAAAGTTCTACGTCTCCTTCAGGGAGGGCCTCCCCCAGCCCCGGTACCTCTGCAACGTCTACGATGAAGAATCTCGCCAGCTCATCCGGACCAAGAACCTCCCCACCTTTGACCAGTCCTTTTTCGAAGCCGTGGCCCCGGAGCAGATTGAGGAGTTCCGCTGGCAGCTGTACGACATTGCCTCGTTCAACAAGATCAGCTCCAAGGCCCGCTCGCTTGAAAAGCAGACCCGCGCCCGCGAGGCCCGCCACCGGATGACGCGCGGCCTCCAAGCTCTCCTCGGCCTCAGGCCCTTTGTCGACGCGAACTCACGCCAGCTCGAGGGGAGACAACGATGCTAGACGTGACAAGGCCACCACCCTTCCCGCCTAACCAGGGCCCAGTCCTCATCTCTCTTGACGTGGAGGCTCACGAACTCTCCCACCTCCCCACTGAGGTAGGTATCGTCACACTCGATACCGAGAAGACGAAGAACTTGGCTCCCGGAAAGCTGGGCGAAAATTGGTGGCCATTCGTTAAGAGCATCCACTTGCGTGTGAGCGAGTATGCTTCGCACGTCAACTATCAATATGTCCAGGGCTGCCCTGACAAATTTGACTTTGGGTGTGTACTCTGACCCTTTCTTAACTTCCTCCCGCTTTAGTATCTGTTGGCTATGCTAACCCTCTAAATAATACAGCGAGAGCGAATTTGTTTCAGCGCACGACCTGCAGGCACGAGTCCAGGCTCTCTTGAGGGATAGCGCAACGCCCTCATCCACCACATCGAACGCTTCCGCCGAGCAACGCCAGATCGTCTTCGTCGGCCACGACCTCGCCCAGGAGGAGCGCTATCTTGCAGGGATTGGCTGCGATCTGACCAGCGAAAACGCCATCATGCGCGCCGACTCCAAGGACCTTCACCAGCATGTTTCCGGTGAGCTCCAGGGCCGCAGTCTGCGCCACGTTCTCCTCGACCTTGGCCTCGAGTACGCCAACCTACACAATGCCGGCAACGACGCCACCTACACCCTCCAAGCCGCGCTTGCCTGCGCGGTAAAAGAGATGCAGGACGGTCCGGCACCACCCGTCAAAAAGAAGAAGAAGATTAGGCGCGAGGAAGGATTTGTCCCGGGCGCTCCCAAGTTGACTGAAGCGGATCTTGTCTCGGATCCTGTTTAATTTTGTTCTTTCTTCCTCTCCCTTTTCTCTCTCTCTCTCTCCGTGTATCCATCCATCTCTAGTACCATTCCTCTCCTAGCTACTTATACCGCAAGGATGGGCAAGATGGTGGTTTGACTTGTGATCTAGAAACAGGGGTAAGAGCTAGTGCATGGTCGGCAGACATCAAATTCTCTAATTCATTTTGATACCCTCGTCTATCGTACATTTTAGGCATGTTCTGGATGTGACAAATGCTAGTTGGGGGACATGTCCTCCACCTCCTTCTCTGCAACATGATGCAATCATCGTGACGTGTAGAACTGTGATTCAAGTAAAAAAGGTTAGTGAGTGGAATGTCATTGGGGCGCGGCATGAATATCGGGGACAATCCTACCTCCTTGGCCTCTTCTTCCGTGACCTCGGATACCTCGGACATCTTGTTGTCGATGAGTCCCAGCCGGGCCCTTCGGACCTTCCACCACATCTCTCTACGGTCGCCCCCAAGGCCCCCGAGAGCATCTTCTTCTTAAGATCCTTGACGAAGGAATTGTACAGATCCGGTTCCTCAAGGTCGACTAGCCCCTCCCTCATGGCCCCGAGGTGCTCAAGCACGCGATCCTCTTTGTTGCCGCCAAAGTCGGTAGAGATGAACTCGCGAATAATCTCCCCATCTGCTTCGACGCGTCTTCGATATGGCGCATCTGGTCTGCGGAATCCAGCGCGCGGCGGAAGTCGGGGATGGCGTTGGACGCGGAGATGGGTTTTCTGTCGGACCCTTCGGAGGCGTCGCCGGGGGCGGGGGCGGCGTCGAGGAGAGCGTCGACGTCGAGGCCGGAGAGGGGTTTCACCGCCTCCTTTTGCCTCCTGCCCTTGGCCTTGGGGGCACCTTTTTGACGTCGGCGGCTTCGATAAGGGTGGCGATCTGCTTCTGAGCGCCCTCTACCGTTTCCTCTGGGGGTTTGAGAACTGTGTGAGGACCTTGGGGATGGGTGGAACGGGGGCATCCGGGTGAATCGCACGCTCCTTTACGGCGTGTTTGATCCGGTGAATTAAGGGGTTGAAGGGCTCGTCAATCGCCATAAATTCCACGGGATTTCTATGAGTACATATGGTTAGAGCGCGATGCGCGGGCCACATTGATCGTAAAAACATAGGGGTTTTCTTACCCTTCTTCATCCTCGGCATATGTGCTCAAATCCATAGCGTCGACGTAATCGCCCATCGCTTGCTCGAGGTCTTTCCCGGGAGAAGCCTATGCTCCTTCAGGGTGACACCGCTGATGGTTACGACGCGGTCCAGGGAGGGAACTGGTAACCGCGCACGTCCTCGGCAAACGGTAGGGGAACGTCGTAAAGACAATTGTTCTCGATGTCCGGGGCTAAGAGCACGAGTAGCGGTTCCTTCCCATCCTTGACGATGAGGCGCGCCACCGCGTACGCCTTGGCTTTGTGCATGGCTTGAACTAGGGAAGACAAGGCGATTTGGGCTTCCGTATCAAACTTTTGGGGTAGATCACATTGCACTCGCCCATGTTGATTACCGGCTCGTACTAGAATGCATATTAGCAAGCGATCTTAGGCGCGTATACGAGGATGGCGGAGGGTACACGGTACATTTTCCTGCTCAAGGAAGCCAAGAAAACTGAAATCCTTGGTCGTTTCGAGTTTGGTGATGTTGTGCTCGGATTCGCTGATATGCACAGCCGTCCTTCCGTACTCGTAGCCCTTCGCCAAGGACTCGAATTCAACATCCTTCTTACCACCAGGAGCGCCCGGGTCGTTGACCTTGTACGTCCGCGCCTGCTTGACGGCGCCAAACTCAACGCCATCCATGGTCTCCGACTCGCCCGTCTCCGATTTGAACACGACCGTGCTGGCTGAAATCGGCGTAGCTTTGTGCGTCTTGTAATACCTCTCAACCCCAATCACGACCGCGGCCTGGCCACCTTCGGGGTCACCAAGCGCCAATGTTCCCTCGTACGATTTGTAGGGCCGAGGGAGCTTGACAACAGGGATATCCAGCTCATCAATGGCTTCGGCGATTGTGCCAAATGTGCCCTTCCCGCACATCTCCACGAAGCGATGCAGCACCTTTTCGTTTTTCGCCTGTGCAAGTCAGAAGACAGAACCAGTTACGGGCTTATTAGCTTGAAGATACCTTGATTTTAGGCTTATCCTCTTCCTTGACACCATAGTCGGCGTCGTCGAAATCAACGCCACTAGACGGCACGGGTTAGATCAGACGCACCGGGGGCAGCTAGGCGCTCTTTTACACAGGCGACTTACAGCACAACTAGGCTTATACCATTGTCATTCAACTCGGCAGAGATATCTTTGAGGTCATTGTCGTCCACGTCAATGGGGCCGAGTCCGTCCGTAATAAGGTAGATCTGGCGGTTATACTTCAACTTTTTGGTGAATTGAGTAATCATATGCGTGGCAATCGCTACAGCGGAGAGAGCGTCGCCCATGGACTCGCTACTGGGTTTGACCTTCTTCTGGAGATCCTTCAATGATGACATGTCCATAGGCCCGAGACCTTGAAGAACCGAGATGTGCTCATACCCTTCGTCTTCTCCCATGAAGTTGTTAGACTCTTCCGTTCGTAAGCCAACGACACCTACACATAGTCCCTTGCGATTGAGGGAAACAATGTGCGAAATCTTGTCCCAGACAAACCGCATGCTCCAATCGAGATCCGTTTCGGTCCGGCCGCTGTTGCACTCAGTCATGGTCGACCCGAGGTCGACGATGAAGACGATTGCCTCCTTATCAGCCATGATGTGGGCTATTATTCTCTTTTTGGGTGAGATTACAGAGGTGCGGGATGGTGCAGAAGATCAGAGTTTTACATTTCCAGGTCAATTGGAGAAGAGGAGACCGGGGGTTCAAGGTATTAAGAGGGGAACAAAACCCTTCCCACGATCCGTCTCGTTAGGCAGGCGTCCGGCCCTTAGACGCGTTCGAGGAGGGAAGCATGGTGCTCAGCTGAGGCCGCGGGCGATCCCCGCGAGATCACGTGAATGTGGCTGGAGATGGATACCTGGGGCGATTGAGGCTTGCACACGACCCCACCACTATCGATATGCAACTTTTTTTTCCCTGGTCCAAAAATTTCTTTGAGACCGCCTTCGGTTTTTGCAATCACCGCCCAAGAGTTTCAATCAACTCTCCAATAAATCAACAGGCTAGCACCACGATCCAAGGCCGACAAGATGAGGTATGCGCAAGACATAACAAGTATCAACGATGCTTGACTCTCCAAGTTAATTTGGAGGGATTGTACTAATTCTTTTCCACTTTTGCACAGGATCGAAACCTGTTATTTCTGCAGCCGCCCCGCATATCCAAGCAAAGGTATAACCTTTGTGCGGAACGATGCCAAGGTGTTTAGGTTTTGCAGGAGCAAATGCCATAAGAACGTGGGTTATTCCCCTCCATCCTTTATTTGCTTCATCTTCCCCTGTCAACTCTCCCAAGGCTCGTTGCCTCCAAGGTTCGATTTTAGCCTCTAACGTCCCGAGTAGTTCAAGATGAAGCGCAACCCGCGCAAGCTCAAGTGGACCAAGGCCTTCCGCAAGTCCGCGGGCAAGGAAATGGTTGTCGACAGCACCCTGCAGTTCGCTGCCCGAAGGAACGTCCCCGTACGATACAACCGAGACCTTATGGCCAAGACCCTCACTGCCATGAAGAGGGTGTCCGAGATTCGCGCTCGCCGCGAGAGGGTGTTCTACAAGAAGCGCATGGCGGGCAACAAGCAGCGCGAGATCGAGACAGCGCGCGAGCTCGTAAAGACGCACGGGCACCTCCTCCCCAGGATGCGCGGCAGCGAGAGGAAACGTTTGGAGATGGAGGCGGAGGGCGAGAAGATGTCGGAGGACATGGTCGACGTCAACAAGAACGAGCTCAGGCAGAAGCAAAAGGTCAGGTGGACGGTGGATGGCGAGCAGGAGGTCGAGGAAGAGGCGGACGACAACCCTTGGGAAGACCTTGGCGACGAGGACGAAGCCATGGAGGGGATCGAAGCGTAAATGGGTCGGGTGGCGTCGTGTCTCAACAAAAAGATATATTGGGTTCACATGGACGGATTCGTTATTTGATTCATCACAGTTACGGAGTTTTGGTAATGACAACGGTTCTTTCAACGACCAAATCATCAGTTCAGAAAGCTGCCATGGTTCTTTTTGAGTGATTTCCGGGGTTTCTTTTGGGTATCTTTCTCGTTTCATCAACTGCTTGCAGGTCCAACTCGACCGCCCAATCACGTACTCAGTCACCATCCACTACAAATGCGTTTACATCTCAGACCTGCTCCGTAACCTTGCGATCGTATGCCTTGGCTGGAGCCTTGAGACCAGCATCAACATCTGCGGCAACCTTCTTCTCGACAGCAGCCTGCTTGTCCTTCTCAGCTTTGACCTGTTCCTGAGCCGGCGCATCGGACCAGTTGCCCATGCCACCTCGGCCCATGAGACCAGTCCTGGGACCGGAGGCGTTAGCGGACGGCACCGTGTCTGTCCTCGCCGCCACCTGTTCCTGGGTTTCGGCGGGAGCGTTGGCGGCATCGTGAAAATTGCCGGCGCCACCACGTCCTACCCTGGCGTACGGCTGCTGTTGGGGGTCAGCGGGGCCGCAACCACTGGCTGGACCTTTTGCGCTTCGACATCCTTGTCCAGGTTCTCTATGTTAGTTTTTGCTTCTTTTTCTTTGTTCCCTTATTGAGAAAGGGGTGAAAACACCCAAAGACCCCAATGTTACTTTGCCTCTTGCCTTTACCTGGCCTGCTTTTGTATTCATTGAATTCCTTGACCAGTTCGGGCGGCGAGGGCTATGGTGAAAGGGGTCTGGGTGGGGGACTTGGTACGCACTCTGGTGGGGTCCTCTGAGGTGTTAGTGGCGCTGGGGGTGATGAAGTTGCCAGCACCACCGCGGCCAACTCTGCGGAAGACGTCGGACATTTGATGACGTGCGAGAAGGAGGATGGAAGGATCTGGTGATAACCGGTGGTCGCTTTGCGAAAAGGGCAAAACGAAGAAAAAGAACGTTTTTTATTCAGTTTAGATTTACTCTTTGTCTCGAAATGACAGGTGCCCGAGATATCATGTGTCAAGAGAGAAAAAAAAAAAAAAAAAGAGAGCTCAAGAAAAGTCGGCGGAAGACCAAAATACTACTGGGGCGTTGGGACTGATAAACAATCAAGTCTCCCACGGAATGACCTCCGGTATCAATTCCGATGATGAAAGAGGCAGCGGGCCAAGTATGGGGCGTGCTTGGCCGGCCAAGAATATTTCTTTATTGTATTTTGGGGGCGAGCATCGAATCAAACCTATGCTGCCTATCTACGCCTCATAGAGGTTGAGTCGAGCTTCCTCGTTTTTTACGTATTAGCCTTGCGTCGGGGGAGTAATGGCAATGACAACATCAATTTTGTTCGCTGATACGGGTGCCTATCGGCGTGCGATAAAGAAAACCCGCCAGCCTCCTCTGATAAGTCAAGAGGCAAAGAGGGCGGGGGCTGAAATGTGTGGAGCAGGAGCGACGGGCGGCCTGGAAATTGCACTTGATCAATTGCTCTCGAGTTTAGAAAGCAGTAATAAAAGTATCGCCCCCAAGAATATGCCTTTTCGAATGGAAACCTGCGAACAGGTCTACACTATATATACCACAAGATGCTCACCTTTCTATCCAGCTAAAGATCAACCAAGAAAAGGGCATGAACTTACAATATAGAAGAATATCGATACCAAAACTCAACTAAGAAAGAAAAGGGAAGAAAAATTAGAGCAGGCCATTCTTTCGACGGCTAGTGGTGGTGGTGGATCAATACCACTAACAAAATGAGGAGAGCAAGATTGATAAAGCTGAAGACCATACCGAGGTATACCCAGTAGAATTAGCTGCGCCGGCCGCGGACCTTGTGGGTGCCAGCCAAGAGAATCCGGGCCATCCAGGGTCCACATAAGCGTCAATTAACGACATTGAATCCATTGGAACAACAACAAGAAAGAGAGGGGGAAACGACTGCGCTCCCCAACCGCTCTGGAATCCTTAACACATGGGCGGAAGGGAGCGATTATGTTGGCCGGTTGTCCTCGCGCCGGGGTCCGGCGAGTTTTAGTGCTAAACTACTGCACTCTCTCAAATAGGCACTCTTTTAGTCCCAACACAATCCTCGCCCACCTGCTCCCTCTACCCAGGTTCCAAATAGACCTAGGTGAGGTTTTGGGAGTTTCCAAAAGGGCTCCAAGCCCGGAGAACTGCTGCACTACACCACATGTGGATTTGCATACGTGACAGGCGCAGTAGCACGGGAAGGAAGGACATGGATCCGGCCTCTTCGAGCACTGCACCTGCAGAAAGACAGGATGACGCCAGTGGAAGGCGTCTTTTGTTCTCAACGAAGAGGGCTGCTTAGGGTGATCCATTGAAGCCAAGCGAGAGGAAATTGATCCATGGGTATCGATTCCCACCATGTGCAACGCCCATGAAGACGCCCCTCTCCCCACCTTGGGGGAGGGATGATTTCCTTACCCCGCAAGGATTTTGATACCATCCTAGAAGGGGTTTACCACACACTTAGCCCAGTAGATACACAAAAATAAATGCTGCCATTTCAGAATCTAAGCAACCCAGCCCTCGAGTGCGCCGGGGTTACATTATCGAGGAACTTTGGTCAATCATTACTGGGTGTGAAAGGAGGGAGGGGGCAGGCCCTGGTCAAGATATCAAGGTATCGAGCGCTTGTGAATAGTACTAGGGGCCGAGGGGATCGGAGCACGATGCGCGGCAGTTCCTCGAGCCCGCTGGGCGGGACTTGAACGAGAAACCACGGGGAGAGAGATATTGGCGAGCTGTGGTTGGAGTCTCGAATTGTCATGCGATGTCTTTTAAGGAGATAATGGTGGAAAGCCCTAAACCTACCCCGAAATGGAGTGCCAGCCCGCGAATGAACGGGCTTACCTAGCTCGGCGCTACCCGCAGCTGTGTCCGCTACCGCAAAGTTGGTTCCGTGAGCCAGCACGGCGCGCCCCCATCCGAGTTCCGTCCCCCTTTCGCCCTCGGCTTTAACAAAGGCTCTTTTTCGAGTGACAGATCTCTAGGCCGAGGACTCTTGTGTATCCCCACAACCTACGAATGGCCCTTACGAAGATGCTTAAATTGGGAGTTAAAGAATGTGGTGTAGCCCCTCCCCTCCCTAGGGCAATGTGGTCTTGGAGAGAGCTCTGATAGGGCTTTGCATCCTATCCCGACCTTCTCATCCTCGTAGCTATCCATTATATTCACATTGCTGTTGGAAAATGAGACCAAGTTCGGCACATCAGGTTCGATCAAACCTTTGTCAGCGCGGGAACAAGGGACACACATGTTTATCCTTTTCAAAATGGAGATGCATGCGGCGTCTTTAGCTCAAAGGAAGAAAAGGAGGGGACTATCTCGTGTCGACGACAATCGCCCGAGATGTAAGAAGCAGGAGAGACACCTTGGCTCAACATTGTCGCTTCTTGTCTCTCTTCTTGATACACTGTAAAATAAATCCCGAGCGATGGTCTCCGAAGAAGGACCTCTTGCGGGCGAGGGGGCCGCGTGATTCTCGTTACCTCATCCGGCAGCTGCCGCTAGGCAGGCGAATAACTCGTTCAACGATTGGACCTGGAAGCTGACGACGATGGTGGACAAGACCTTTGTTAGCCTTGATCAAGAAGTCCCATGCGTGGCATTGCCCTGCTTCGCCCTTGCTTTCTTTCTTTTTCGTTCTTTCGTTCTTTTTTTTTTTAAGCAAAAATAGCGCACACGATATTCCAAGTCGACCGAGGGAAGGAATCAGAAACACTCTGTTCTTCGGGCGCATACCGAACCGAAACAGGCGGAGGCGCTGTTCACGTCATCGGCTTCCACCCCCTGGAAGAGTGTTTGGAACCAGAAAAGGCAGTGTTCCAAGAACGGGGGTGGAGACAGAGGCCTTCTGTTGCATGTGGACCGGTCTGCCGGGGTGTCTGGGAAGATCAGACAGAAATTAATGAGAAAAGGGCGAACGCGCAGAACCAAGGTTCTTTTCCCTTGTCCTCGTGGGGACGATATCTTCCGGGTATGGCTGTGGTTGAGTGTGCCCAGAATTCTTCCGCCTCTGAAGTGATCTATCCATACGATTACATACGATTCTCGTCTATTCTCATGAGAGGTGGGAGCTTTTCCGTGCCACTTGCTGTATGCCCGTAGCGATGGGGAGCCGTCCACGTGCACCTATTGAACTTAAAGAAAACCAGCCTCGATCGTCCTCGACAACGACGATCCTGGCAACCCTGTTCCCACAAGGATGGAGGCAAGGAGAGATATCTGCAACGGGAAGGGTGCAAAAAAAAAAAAAAAAGAGGAAAAAATAAGCGCAGAAATTTTATGTCCGACTGGAGCGTGGTGGGCGCCATGTCTCGGTGGCAAACGTGGAAAAGAGATGGGCCAGCTTTATTATTCTCTCCCATGTACTCTTTTAATTTTTATCTTGTCTTTTCCTTCTTTGGCTACAACGCGGGCTCTTTTTTTCTTTCTCGCCTCTCATCTGGTATCTTATCTTCGGAACGCGCTCACCAAGTTTCAAGACTGGGAGAGGGGTGTAATATGATCAAATCTCCCCGATGCAGATGCAGAGGGTTGATGTAAACATCGGACAAGGGCCGGGCCTCAACAATTGCCATCCATCTCAGTAGATTGGGCGATAATAATAATACTCATAAAAGAGGCAAGCTCCCGTGGTGCTCACTTGCTAGGCGCAAGCAAGTCACGCCGGTGGCTAAAAATGGTCCTGTGATCACGCAAGCCCGCCCATCAACACCAGGGCGGGCTCTGTCTTGCATTGACTCGAGATGGGCTCTGGCGAAAACGGTGTGGTGGAGGAGGAAGGGTCGTCATTGGCTCGACGTCTTCGGCACCAGGCCCAAGACGCACACCACCACACCACACCTTGGCTCCTTGGGACACGACGGGAAGAAGTTTTTTTTTTTGTCTTCCTCAACTCCAGGGAGGCTTCGTTTTGTCCACTTAGGTGACAGAGGAGTCTGGAGAGTGGACGAAACAAATTATTGGCAAAAAAAGAGAATGGAAAGAGAATGGAGATCGTGTGGGAGATTCGACAATGAGGAACGCTGTCGTGTACATACCATACTGTACCTGAAGGCGCCCGGGTCGCGACACGAACTCCTCCTTGTACGTACGTCTCGGGGAAAATCTACAATCAATTGCTGGCTCCAAGAAGAGATGATAGACCCCTAAAAGGGTAGGTTCAGCTGATCTCCGAAGGGGCTGTCTCTCTCTTTCTGTACCTTTTTTTTTTTTTTATAACAAAACGGAACATGAGGAGACCCTCTGGAAATCGTTCCGTTTCCCCTTTCCCGTCCTTTGCGACATTGGACCATGAAGCACGGAAGGAAGCCACACCAGCAAATAAGAAAATGAAAAAAATCCAAATCACGATCTGACTTGTAAGACTGGGCCGGCTGACAGGATCGGAGAAGGAACCCTCAGCTTTCGCATCAAATCAGGGTCATTGGGAATGATTGGCCACCGTTGAAACGGGAGGGAAGAGAAAAATTTTTCTTTCCCTCTTCTTTGATGGGAGAATGATAGATTCATCCCTTAAAACCCCTGGTGTTCACACAAAGGATATTATTAGTATGGTTGTGTTGAGGCCGGGCTTCCTTGATTTTGGGAAGAGCCCTGGTACCTTGGAAATCGCACCGAGAAGTGGAAGTTTCTAGACACATTTTCCCTGAGCCCGCCCAGTGCTCCTTGCAGTTGGCCCCGACCACGGCTCATCGGTGTTATGGGGCCTTCTCCGCTTTTTATTTTTATTTCTACTTGTATTCAGTGCTGCTCCCTTGCCATCCCAGTCTCGGATTCGGTCAACTTGCGCAAAGCCCACAAGGTTGTGAATGTTCACGCAGAGTCTCTCTCAGCGCATTCATAACCCATTCTCCACTTGGGGGATAGAGAGGCAAAGAGGCACCCATCTTGGCGCGGCATGGTGATGGGGTTAGATTAGTCGGCATGGCATGCTCTAATCGCCATATTCACAGCTCGATCGGTCGTACAAAAAACATCAGAGGGAGACGACTTTCCCTAGTGTGCCTTAGAGTAGAGGTCAGAGCTCAGGCTCGGGGATCGATGTCGTACTCTGGACAGACACGCTACGCTTGATGGAGAAAAAGAGTGGACCGATGGATACAGTGGGTTTCCAAGGTCTTTGCCCGTTGGCAGTGTGAATTGGATGAATCGATCTCCTCAACTATTGCAGCTCCGCTTCGTGGGGAAACTGAGCAGTGCTGTGGAGTATGACTGGGCACTTTACGGAGGGCCAACTTGACTTTGCCCCTCCCTCCTCTTTCTTTCAGTCTCCATTGGGAACGTCACAAGGCTCGACTATTGATACAACATTGACGGGGCACGGCGCTATCAGCATGAACTCAAAGAACATGCGCGCGCGAGGGGCAGAGGACAAGGAGAAAAAGGAAGACTGATCCTAGTTCGAACCGGATAGGGGCGCGAACGGGGCGGGAAGGGGATGAAAGAAAGGAAGAGGGAAGAAAAAAAAAAGACAAGCATAATTCGACCAAAACGTTGTGCCGTTGGCCGTACCTTGCAGGAAAACTTAATTTCAATGGGGAAACAAATTTCTGGAATTTGAAAACATCGAGAATGACGGAAAACCAGCGATAAATGACAAGTACTGGATGTCCCTTTGCCTGGATGTACACCAACTCAAAAAGTCGCGCCGGGGAAGGCCCAGTTTACAACCCAGCACGCCTTTGATCAGCCTTCGTCCCAGGTGTCCACCGAGAAGCCATTTCAGGAAACGTGTTGATGAAGGGCCATCAAATCCTCGGTGGGGTCCATGAGTCAACATCCCTTGATTCAATCCCTCCCCGATTTCTTGTTCTCTCTTCATCTTCTTTGCTCTTATCATTGTGGCTGCTATCCCTCATGAAGCGAGTTTTCAATTGAAAAAAATCCCAATCTTTGTCTTCTTTTCCTAGGTTCTTTTTCCTTCTTCTTCTCCGATTTGGCTGGGTTTTTGAGTTTGGGGGTTTCCACGCGCCTTGTCCGCCCCCTTTCTCTAAAACCACACCCTCCCTAGTGACAATCTGGGGCAGAGCTTGGAAGGACAGCACTGGCCGACTCCTTTTGACAAATTGCAGGTAGATCTTTTTTCCCCCAACTTCTTCCTTTTTAGTGTATATTTTTCCGCTTCTTTTTTCTCCTTCTCCAAGAGGGGCTGCCTTCTATTAACCTCTGAGCCATCTGCCCTGCCTCGAAGAGGATTGTGGATCGAGGGATCCCAGTGAGGCGTTCTTGGGGGTAGCAGAGATCATACTCCGCCTGCACGGCGGCTTTGGCGGAAGAGACCACGATGTCCTTCTCTAGAGATCCACAAGCTCCATGCGTAGCGCATGTATTGCCCTCTACTTACCAAATGAGGAAAACACCCTTCACTTTCCCACCTGCCAAGGGGCCGCTCAAAATATTTGTGCTGGAGCACAACATACACAGCTTGGGAGCAACACATTAATCCTTTCGGCACACCAACTGGTTCGGGCGGGATGGAGTAGGAGACGGAGTAATAATGTTGTGAAAGGAAAGTAATCCATTCAGAATATACAACGGTATGAAGGGAGGGAGACAACGGGAAGGGGGGAGGGTGTGTAAAAGCTGCTCCTCGATCCCGGCCATCGCTGGTGAGTGGTGCCAGGCCAGCAGCGAAACGCGCGCGTCCCCTGGGGGCGGAACGGTAATAGACGTGGACAGTGGAACCCTTTCGCATCGCTGGACGGTGTATGGATATGTAAGGTTCGGAATGGCAAACGTCGGTGGATCCGCTTGCCAGGCTGTTGAAAGAAGAAAAAAGTATGGGTACCTGCGATGACTCGAACCAGCGTGGGCCATGACCAACAATGTAAAACCGGGCATCAATTCTTGCTCACGGAAGCAGAGTCAATGCCTTCAGGCCGGAAAGAGCAACCTAAAGAGCAACACCTAAATCAAAGAGAAGAAAGGGAAAGAGAAAGAGGGCTGGAGGGAAGGAGAGAAAAGAAAGAGAAAAGAAAGAGAAAAGAAAGAGAAAAAAAAAAAAGATACCCCAATGGGGAAGGCTCATCGAGGAATAGTAATTACATTGATGACTTGATCTATTCGGGAAAAGAAAATAATCAGAGAACAAGCGCATCAACAAACAGGACACCCTCCACTCTCCATGGCCCTCGGCCTGCCTCTCGCGCTGCCGCCGCCGTCCCCCTAATTTGATGCTTCCGACCATCCACAGGCGACGATAGCCCAAGCAGACACTACGAAAAAGCGCAACAGACCAAAAGAACGAATGCGTCCACCTGCCTCTTGTTACCTGAAGGTGGTACATATATCCGGAGTCCCCATGCAGCACTCTTGTACCGGATACCCCACGCGGAGTATTTGGCGGCGCTGCCTAGGGCCAAACCTTGGTCTCGGGTGCCAACAGGGTACGCGGCCGCTCCGTACCCCTACACTGCCTCAATACAGGCGTAGTAAAGTAATACGACTCCTAGGATTAATGGTCTGGGAAATGGTATGGTTCCTCGATACCTGCGCGCCCCTTCTCCGCCGCCCACACACACAACCACACACACGCACACGCACACACACACACACACACACACACACACACACCCCGCCTTGTTCACACTGGAGGGAATTGCTTGGTCCAAAATATTATTTCGCTCCCTCCTTTCTTTCCATTTCACTCCCCAAACTCACACCACCGCTTGAAAATAAAAATAAAAATCACGAACGCTCAGAATTGGAGAATGAGAATACGGTTTTCTGGCCACCTTTCTTGAACTCTCTCACCTCGCTCGACCTCTGACCTGAGAATATCGACCGCGGGCGCTCCAGCAGGGGCGACATCGGCAAAGTGTATCGAACCTTATTGCGGTAGAGAACTGCTGTGCAGTCCCATGGCAATGGCGTCGTCCAAGGTACGTGTCACAACTCGGCCTCTGTGGAAATTCCTCGACCCCGTCCGCGTCAACGCCCCGATCCTCAGTATCCTCTCCTATCCTCCTCGGTCTCCGATTCACTCGGCGATGATGTCTCTGGACGCGTGATCTCGCCTACGTGCTAATCGCCATTTACGCTATGTGCAGGAAATCCAGCAGAGCTCACGGCCATTGACCCATCGGCCCTCTCTCTCCTCCACGACCCCGACCTCAGGGAGCCTATCCTCGAGGCAATCCCATGCTCGAGCCGGTTCGCAGTCCCTCCTCTTGGGGCCGGGCCCCTTACATTCGAACAACCGAGTTACACGACGAAAGTCTATGAATAACGGCGCTGCCAATGTGGCGGCGTTAACCGCGGCCATTAAGGATGTCGGCGATGTCTCCGCCTCCCTTCCGAGCGGCGGCTTCGCTCGACGGCACACCGTGTCGAAGGGAGCCATCGGGAGGACCACCCAAACTAGCTTACTCACGAGCCGGTTGCTAGCCGATCGAAACGGCGAGATACCCGAAAATGCCATCGACGACGACCCAGCCGACGCGTCATCCGACCAGGCTGCCTCTGCCGCGCAAAACGCCCGTGTTCGACGTGCGAGCGACGGCCAGCCTCTCACCAAGGACGGCCGAAAGAGCAGCAGGACAGAGCTCCGTTGCGAAAAATGTGGAAAGGGCTACAAACATAGCAGTTGCCTGACCAAACACTTGTTCGTCTCCACTTTCCATATGTGTTCGCACGCACACTCCCTTTGTCTTGACGGCAAGCCCAGCTTCCGAATTCCCGCAGCAGAGAATATCCCGGTCACTATTCGTGCCTAGCTTTTTTTCTTTTTTCCAATGCCGTGTGTTGCTAACCTTTTGAGGGGTTTCCCTTGCGCATTAGATGGGAGCATACTCCGGAGTGGACTTACACCTCCAAGTTGCTCATCTCTAAGCACCAGCAAGTACAGCTTCTCGAGGCTGCCAGCGTGCTCGTGGCTATGAACAACGCGCCGGAGGACGAGCCTATGTCGACGACCATTGTCAACGTCTCTACGCCGCCTGATTCGGCACGGGGCTTCCCTAGCGATAACGAATCGGCGTCGCCCGCGGCTTCGGGATACTCGGAACAAAACGACCGGCAGAGCTCGGCGGATACCACTCCGCCGCCCCAGCAAGAATTGTTCGGGCAGAGCATCCCTGGCTACCGCCATCTATCAAAGAGGTATAGCAGCGGCGGCTTTTCTCGATCGTACCAGTCCACACCAATATCGGGCGTGGTGGGAAGCGCACCCAACGGTCCTTTGGTGGCTTTGGACATGCGCGTCAGCAGAGCCAGGACCGTCGACCTCCGTCATCGGGTATGAACGCTACCGGACAAGAGGATCGTGACTTGGCTGCGGCGGTAGAGCTTTTGAGCTGTAGCTTTAACAGCAACAGCGGCAACCGGACGGTCACCCTGCCCTTGGACGCACCTCCGGTACCACCTCTGCCTGCGCGTTACCTCGACCAGGCGGCGTCACTATCGAGCGCAGGCTTTCTCAACAGCTTCCCCAGCAGGCAGCCCGAGAGCTTCACCCGAGGGAGCTCCGACGGGTGGATGTCAAGATGGAGGATAGTGCCGACAGTGACATGGCGGAAGATGACGAAGATATGCAGTCGAGGGCGAGAAGCGACGAGGAGGAAGACGGCGTCTTCGGACTGATGGTTATCTGACGAGGACGTATATTGCCCTGGATCTTTTATCAGCTGGGAAAAGGGCAGTCGGCAACGACGACAATCTTTTGTTTTTTACCGACGTGCGAACCGCCCTTTTTTCTTATTTTTTTGGAAACTTCGGAACGGATAGTGCGTGATTTCCCCTTTGTATCACAAACTCTATGAACACCAAACGAACAACAACAACAAACGAACAACAAACCTACAACCTGTGTAAACTGCGGTGGTTCTGCTCCGCTACCGAACTCTCTGCACCGAAGAGTGGAGGACCCGTTTACGTGCACCCGGAGAGCGATGGGTGTGTTATCTTATTTCTTCCTCTAGCAAGGCAAGGGCGGATAACAAACGGACGTCGGATCCATGAGGTTAAAGCGAGGGTTGGGATTGCGTCGAGCGTACACCCAAGATATAATAAATGAATTGGATATATCATGAAGAAGGCATTGGAGGTGAAGGCCCATTGTTACCCTTGTGCCCACCCAGGCATCGGCTAGTGAAGCCGTGATATCTTGTGACGGCAAAATTTTCCATGTTGTGATTATCCACCAGTTCGGGTCAGTGCTTGAGCTTTCGTTTTTGCTTCCCCCCCACTGCTTCGTCCGTGGGCTGGCCATGTGGTAGGTTTTCACGTCTCGTCGGAGGCGGGTGGGATAGGTAGCATGAGCAATCGGGGCATCTTGCTTGCCTTGTGTGTGTGTGAAAATTGAGTTACGATGCACGGAAAGGAGAGAAGGAAGGCCGTGATCAGTCAAAATGTGCGAGATGAAAATTTTCAAGGGAACACTTCCCGAGCTATATATGAAGGAAGCGAGTGAACTCCTGCAGGACCTTTCCATGGGTCGGGACGGGGGCCGGCACAGGGGGTTGGTCACGGCGACTGCAAAGATTTCCAATTGTTGATGCTCAGTTGTTGATTTTTGGTGGCATCTGTGTGGGGGAAAGTGGGCCGCTGTGGGGGCATGGATCCCCGGGAGCGAGGCCTACTAGCCATTGAAGCGGAGCAAGGAAGGGAGGCGACTGATGGTTTCTGGGGAAGGAGATGATGTGCACGACGATCTTTGAGGAGATAGAAGGACTTCTCGCCTCTGTCCAGGTCAGGGAGGTCTCATGTTGATGGGGGTGAGGCCTCGAGACTGCTCGGCGGTCGTGAAGTGCAACGGGGTTTTGACGGCTTGGGCTGCGAGCACCGCCATGGGGGAAAAAGGTGAGGGGAAACGGGGAGATGGCTGGCCAACTGGATATATCACCACGAGAAAGAAGGTCAGGTCAGAAAATCAACAGCTCTAAAGAGGGATCATCGGGAAAGCCAGCTCGATATCTGCCAGGAAAAAGAAGAAGAAGAAAAAAAAGACAACACATGAGCGCGCCGCGCAAGCTCGGCAAAGCTGGTTATGCTATCAGGGACTTGCCGCCCTTCACCTAGATAACGAACCAGGACGAGAATGGATACTCGCAACTAGTTTTATGGACGATCTACTACTTGTGCACATCAAGAGAGAGAAAAGATAGAGAAAAGGGGGAGGGGCAGATAAGGAATTGGTCCGCCAACAAAACGCACCCGTTCATCGCAATGATGTCAGTTTAGAGCAGAGGAAGTTGAACGTTTTACGTTTCTTTGAACCAAAGCTTCCTTCCCCCACCCACACCTTGCTTCACCTTTGCGGCCTTGAGATGTGCTGAATGCTTAGTTATCATTCGAATGTTTCTTCCTATCCGTTTTTGGTCGATGTAAAAGGCTTGGTATGCATGTATCGGGGCACTGTGAACCAAACGCGAAGCTCTCTGGGAGGCGCAGATCAAGCTTCCCCACCAGTAGCGTCACCTTTGCGACTTGCATCATTCCTCGAGCATCGCGCGACAAATAAAAGCACAACATTGACGGGAAAAGCCCCTAGTCGCCCTACTATTCGCCCTGTGGTCGCGATCCTGCCCTCCCCAATCCCCTCATTGCGACGGCTGGGTTTTCCCTCTCCCCTTTTTTTTTTCTCTTTCTTTTCCCCCTTCCGCTTTCCTCATCACGGCTTATACTTGCACACCCCTCCCTCCCTTGCCCTTCCTCTAGCTTCGTCATGCCGGAGCTCCGATCGCGCAGCGTCAAGGACGCCGTAGTCGAAAAGGTCGCAGACGCGGTCGGCGTTCATGAAGATGACCACCCCGCAGACGGTTCAACCCGAGTAGGTGCGGCCGCCCCGGTCTCCAAGCTGCCGACTGTACTCCAGTTCCCCGTTGTGGCAGTGCTGAGCTTGGTGCTGTCATCTCTCGGCTACGCGCTTCTGGGAGCTGTCACCGAGGGCGACTTGGCGGCTGTCGCAAGGTCAACGGAGAATTCTCAGGATGTCGCGATCCTAACCGGATGGAGGGTGTAAGATATCCTCTCCCACACACCTTTTCGTTTTTCGCTCCCCCCCAAAGCCCCGCCTCCATCCCTTGCCCCTTTTTTGTGTATGGGTGTGTGTGTGTGTGTGCGTATACGGTTCACTTTTGCTCTGTGTGCCTCCATCTCACCACCATGACTACTTGCTTGCTCGCGAGACCCCATCACGAAAGCAAAAGGGACGAGGTGAATGGCGGTCCCCGGGCCGGGGTTCACGAAGCGGACAGAAGCCAATTCTTGAATCTGTCTGGCTGACAAAAATAGATTAATATTGGCAATCGGCTGGTTTGGGAACTTTGACAGCTATGATATTGCCGCGCTGAACATCCTCAGCCACGGCCCTTGTGTGAGTGTGTCCGGTCATTTCCCGCCAACCCCAACGAGAGTTCTCCTCCCGTGTTTTCCGTATCAAGAGCCTGGGCGGAAGTGACGGCACTAGTAAGGAGGAGACGGGGGTTGTTACCCCCATTTTTCTCCTTGGTATTTTCTTTTTCTCCAAGTAATATCATTCGCTAACAGGGGATGGGAAATGTCCGCCTCCCCCTCCACTGACAGCTTTACCTGTTAGTCACGTTTTACGACGTCAGCGCCACATCAGCCCTATCGGCCCTCGTGGTTGACGCGCTGGCGACCTCGCTCCCGTTCCAGCTTCTCCGACCCGTAGCTAGCGCGCACGCCGCGTCTGGGGACACGCCAAATCAGGAGATTGTTGCGGACCCGGCGATCCAGGTGTACACGGCCTCGCTCTCGGCCGTGATCTACGGCGCCACGCTGCTCGGCGCCCTCAAGACCTTTCTCCCGCGCGTGCTCGTCATTTACTTTGCCAGTATCAAGACGCTTCTCCCGGCGTACGAGGCGACGTGGACGACGGTCGCCCCCGCCGCGGCGCTCGCCGGCCTCGCCGCCAGGGTCTTTGTCTTCACCCCCTTCGCGGCCACCCCGAAGAAGGACGAGGACACCGCGTTGTATCAGTTCGACCCCGCCGAGGCGACACTCGCGCAGACCGTCGCGCACAACTTTTGGGGCTACACCGCCAAGGCCAAGGTGGGTATTTCTAGGACTGTGGTGGTGGCGTTCATCACATTTGTCGACACGTACCTCCAGTGCACCAAGGTCGTCGAGGGGGTCGAGCCGGAGGGTGCTCAGATCTACGCGTTGGTGTGGGCTGCGGCAGCCCTATTCTCAAGCATCGGGCTAGGACTCGTGGGACGGACCTAAACAGCCGCTTGCTTATCACGGGTATCTTGGTGGGGCGGGTCAAATGAGAGGCCCAGGAAGGCGGTTTCGTGGGTTTTCGTGACGGACCCTCAAACTTGGCATGACACGATACTGGTCACTCCAACTCTGCAAATATCAGACTAGAGTCTAATAGACGGCTAATACAGCCATGTCGGATTCCTCGTGTGATAGGCCCATTGGACTTGCAAAAGTTCGGTGACGTTTTTGTCCCTACTAGGTATGAATGAATATTGGGCAAGGGGGACGTGGGGGAGGCGGTGTCGAGGTAGGACTTGGGATACCGAGCTCCCTGTCATGGATCTATATGTCATTCCGACGAAGCTAGCGACCAATTCACAGAGCAGGAAGTATGATGTTTTGAAGTTGGGGCTCGGACTGGATGCCGTAAATTGTCTAAATCCGGACATGAGGCCGGCCTTGCCGGCCAGGCTATCAACGAGGAGGAGCAAGGAGGACAAGGGCGAATTAGTGACAACGAGGTGAAGAGAGATTGGGGAAGAAGAATGGGATGCTTCATGAAACCTGCGACGGGTGGCTGCTATCGGCCAAGGGGTGTGTGTAAGCAAGTAGGACAGAGATGTGCTCTCAAAAAGTGGCAGATGGCGCTTCGGAGGCGTCCCACTTGAGGCCCCGCGCGCCAGACTATCGTGATGCAAGAGTCATGGCAACCCCGAGACGGGCGCCGGTGGCTCTGCTGTTGGGGAGTTTGTAAGCTTTGTTTCGTCCCGGGGTCAGACGACATGCCGAACAGAGACATGCCTCGCCCGACTCGCTGGATCGAGCGCCATGAAAAACCTGCTGTAAGAGCGCGCTTGTGGTAGTTTAGGAGGGGGATTGAGCCCTACGACGGGGGTTGGTTGCATCAGATCAGTCCACGATAGGAAGAGCCACTCTATTCCCTGCCCCGGCGTGGGCCGGCATATGCGCTCCCGACTTTGACCGCTTCAGAGGCGGTCAATGGCTGGGCTTGCCCGGCTGCGACCCGGGGAAGAGGTGCCGTCTCGAACCCACTTACATACGGATCAATCAATCAGAGGTGGCCAAGGGCTCAAAACACAGGTGGGCTGTGGGGCAAACCCTGCCGGGTTATTTCGCACAGATGGACGGTTTTGAACTTGCTTCCACGCCAAAAGGGTGAGAAAGATAGAGGGGGCGGGCTATTGAGTCAATCGAAGCTTGGGGAGTTGGGGAATGGAATCTGTTTTATTCAAAAGCTCTGGCTGTTGCCTGAAATCATGGCGCAGCTCGACGCTAACTCTTGGAGACCACAGGGGAGGCACTGTGCACCCACCCGTGGCGCTCAGTGTGCTGGACCCGACCATGGGTGCCATGGGCGCTATGGACAAACGCCCTGAACGCCCTGGCCATCTCCAGTACCCAAGATGAGATGGTCGATCTGCCGGAGGATTTCCTCTCGGACGGAGTGGTTACATTGAACCTGTGTCTAAATTAACCGAACAACGTTAAAACGAGCGGGAAAGGATTCGATGAAAGGGGGTGAGAAAAAAGTAGAAATATCACCCTGTGCTTGCTGTTTCTCAATTCGGCTAGTATCGTTATTACCCTTGTTCCTTCGGAGCCGCACAGCGACGGCACAAACCGGACTCGCCCATATTATCTCGGTCGTTGATGAAGCTTTTCTTCTACGTCCTCTACTTCCTCATGTTCCACCCCATATAAGTAGCATTATTAGTGAGATGTCTTTTGAATAAATTGTAATGCAATGCAGCCCTCGCAAATGGCAGTCACGGGTGCTCACAATGCCCCCTTCAAGTTCAATCTTGTCTTGGCCGAGTGTACTCTCCTCGAGTGGCTTCCTCCGGGATAGGCTACCGACCTACAACAGTGGATGTGGTCGTGGAGAGTCTTTTGCCAAGACCATTGTGGCTGTTGTGCGCCTCCACCTCCAAATTCTTGTTCTCATCGATTCTGGCATAGACGGATGGGTGGAGCAAGCGGCTGATGCGCTCTGGCAATGATTGGCCGATGCCTCCACCCACGCCAACACAAGACGTGCCTGCGCCTCAAACAGCTCAATGTTCTGGAAACGATATCCAGCACCTCGAGCAAGGTGTTCCTTGCTGCCTTGACCTCCCGAGACCTGGATTCAGGAGATTAGTAGAAGTTATTGTATCCATGAGTAATTTTGAAAAGGGCACAATTGTTGACTATTCGATGCGAAATCGCACACCCCCTTAACCCCCTTCCCTCGTCATAGGCGTGTCGTGTCGACCACCAAAGTGTCCTCGCGGAGAGAAGAGCTTCGTGAGTGAAAGCTCGGACAAGGTCATCGACTCATACGGACACCCAGTATTACACACCGCAACAGACAGGTCTTCCCAAGGCGAGTTTGCAGGAAGAAGGAACAGGTAAGAAGTGAATGGGGCTGCTGGCCCAGACTTTGCGCTCCAGCGCATTGGAAAATGGGATCAGCTTGCCCAATTGGATGTCTGCAGATGCAGTCTGGTCTCCGAGATTCTCTCACATTTTGATCCGATGCAGTGTGCTTCAAATCCTTCTGCAACACTGATGTTCTGCAACACTGATGGTGAAGAAGGACAAGAGTGAGTCAAGGAGGATTAACCCGGCGCACCAGAGTGCCTCAAGCCCTGATTGTTGAGTTTCGCCTAGCGGTGTAATCATTCACCGATAGCGGAGTCAGTGCCCGGCCAATTGCCAGATCTTCAATGTCGGCACAATGTTCAAATCCTTCCACGAAAGATGGGATAAAACAACAATCCATGGATCAATACCTCCCTTCGAAGAGAGCTTGGATATTACATTGTAGGGCAGGAAGATGGGGGAGATCATGTGTTAGTTAGCAAGCAGGCCGTCGTGTATCCTCCACAGCTCCTGCCTTACCATCTGGTCCACATACCCAAATCGGGCAATATGGGCCAATTCCGACCGGCAACTTTGATAGGGGCAATCGGCCAAGCCAATGAGCATCTTTGCAAACCTCAGCCTCTCCGGGCACCGCAGCGTGCGGGTGAACCGTGTTTTTTCCCTCCCCTTCTGTTTTCCCTCTTTGACGCTCTCAGTGGGCTTTCACAAATTTTGGTCGTAAACGATGGCAAGCCCTGGGACCGCATATGACCCTTGCTATCTTTTGAGCTGAGTGATGTCAAAATCAACTGCAAACTGCAAGCCTCATGTCTTGCAACTCTGTTCGTTCCCACCCAGCGGAGTTCTTGCCCGAGTCCCCACCCACCCTTCTTGCCTTTTCGAGTAATCTTCTCTCGAGCCCTAGGCCAGCCTTAGACCCACCTCGTTTGACCGCATTCTTAGTGTACAAGGACGTCCTGACGCTTGGATACCTGGCGTTCAAGTTGTCGTCTTTTTTATCATCCAAGCGTGTCCTCCCCACCCTTCTGGCATGGGGCGTGTACATCAGCTGTCAACAGGTACTCCAAATTCCGGAAGCCCTGCGAGATGATGGTGGGGAGAGGAGGCTGCTACTTTTTTAAGGCTGCTAGCTGAGGAGATGAGGCCACAAGCTGGGCGCTTCTTTCTGCCCGTCGGGACCGGAGAGATGGGGGTAAGGAAGGAGGGGGAAGGGACATGGAAGGAAATGGCAACCCCGTCCATCCCTTCACGAAGGGAGGGGTGTGTGGATGAATAAGTCCTCTCCCCTCTCCCCTTCCCCCTCTCCCGTTGATATGATATTCTTGTCATGAGTTCAAAACTATGAACAAGTCGGGGAAGCGGATGACTTAATTTTCTGGGCTGTGACACCTAGCCCTGCAAATAGACTCACTCGCTTCGTTTATTTTTTTCTTCTTGTTTCTTTTTCCTCCTTGGACCTCGTCCTGCTTTCCTCATTCTCACAACCTTGTCCGGCTTGAGGTAGGAAAAAGGGAAAAGGCTACCTTGGTCTCTAGGCAGAGAGATAGATCTCGTCCTAGACCTGGTGGCCTAGGACAGGCACGTCAAGCCCTATGCTTCATCGCCCGGAAGTTGTAGATGGTATGAGAAAAGATTTAAAGAGGCATATACCTCCTCCAACTTTGGCAACTCTCCTTGTTCGACATGACCACCAAGCAACAACTCTCTCATAGATATCTCTTCTTCACGATTCAGCGCAATCACACTCGAAACATCCTTTCTTCACCAGAGCCCACCTTCCGGTCCCTCCCTACCCCCGAGGCATCGACCATATCGATACCCCTAAAGCCCGACGCATCGTCATAGCTCTCTCAGTTAGGACAGGAAGCTCTTGAAAGCTAAACTGGGGATGGCAGCTCACTACTATTCCTCCGCCATGTCTTACCGCCGGCGGCAGCTCGTCTTCTGGCTATGGCGCATCGGGAAACCAATCGGTCAGGAAGTCAAGATCCGTAAAGAGCGAAGGCGACGTCTCCCTCAAGGGCCCCTCGACGTAGGCGGTTCTGTAAAATCGGGAAGGAGCATCACCCTGACCGGAGATTTTACCATTGAAGACAAGATGGAGGCATACGGAAGCATTGATATGCATGGAAAGGTCACTTGCGGGTTAGTATCAGTGCCCTACCTCTGTTAACACGGCCCATTTGGCAGGCTAACAGCTCTTCTTCTATCTAGAGGGAAAATCAAGGCAGCCGGAAACATTATCGTGACGGGCTATCTCGCGGCACAGTACGTATAGTTGATACCCTTCATTATTGCTTCTATAAAGGGCCTTCTAACCTTTTTCCCCTCACAGTGACAAGATGAAGAGCTACGGAAAGCTCAAGATCCGGGGACTTGTGATGCTGCCGACCTCGAGGTGTACGGAGACCTCGTTGTTGATGGATACCTGTATGATCTATGACTCTCTGCCCCAGGAAGCAAACCTAGCTAACAATGATTTTTGAATATAGGAGATGCAGAAACCTTACCCTCTACGGTTCCCTCACCCTTGTTGGAGAAGACTCCACCTATGTTGTGGATGGCACAGAACAGATTTACGGATCGCGAATCGTTCGACCATCGAGTAGGGACTGGTGATGGCAATTTGACCTTTGAGTGCCTTCCCACTTTCCAGCAAATTTCCTTCATGAATTTCTAGACGCGTATGAGACGACATATACGACAGGGACGGATAGATATTGTCTACGGTTTTGCTTTGTAGAGATGGTGATACGGATTTTTGGATGAGTTTCCGTTCTGGTTCAATGTTCTTGGCAATTGGTTTCTTTTTTTTTTCCTATCTTTTTTTCTGTCTTTGTCTTTTCTCTTGTCCCTCCCTCTCTGTGTGTGGGGTTTCTCTTTTTCTCTTTTTGTCTTTTTTTCTCTTCCTATTTCTAGATGTCATGTCTTCCCCACTTTGCGTCTTTTGTTGTTTCCTGGGGTCATTCTCTTTTCTTGCTTTCACGTTCTTGGGCGCGGCGCAGGATGACGGGGATCGGCTGCAGGTTCTCGTTCCCGCTTTTCCTTTGACCATGTCCTGTCAGACGTTTATACCATCACTGATCTTCCTTCAGGACTAGTTATTGTGGGTCGTCCCACACTGACTCTGGTGTTTGAAACAGTCCGTTGTTCCTCCTTAGTCTATATTTTTGTTGTTACCTTTAGATGTCACCTACTACATTCTCAAGCACAAGCAATAGAAGTGTAACTAGAATAAATGCCCTGGCCTGTACTTGGTAGCGTAGGCTCCAGTGAGTCTCTTGAAGAGCCCAATGGTAATATCGCGTAGTGTGGCATTGACTGGGGCCTGTTTCTGACTCCTGGCCGAGTCAAGGTTGACCTGGTTGCTGGAGAATGGTGCAACCCCAGACCGGGCTGCGAATGGCACCATAAATCTTTAATTCGTGACCATGCCTCAGTGCTGAAGGACTTGAACCTATCCGTGGAACTACACCCCTGATCTGGCCAGGTGACCTCTTTAGGCTCGAGATAATGGGAGTAGGCAGGTAGGCAAGTAGGCAAGTAGGCACCAGTAGGGTGGGTCTTGAAGGATGCCTCCTCTAATGACCCGCGTCGTTCTTCGACTTGCCTCATTCCTAATCCCCGCGACAAGGAGCCTCGGCTCCCACAGTCCGCGGTAACGTCAACCATGGGAACGCATGAAAGGGAGGAAGGGGAGAGTTCTGATTCCCATGTGGGTGCCGCCGTGAGGCTTCAGCTCGGGAATCGCGGCTGGAGCTCGTGGCCGAATTTGTTCAAATTGAAAAAAACAAACGACGGTTTGCCGAGCGCGGCAGGCGGAAAGCTCTTCAGCTCAGAGCCGAGGAACTTTTGTGTGCTGTTCTGCAGAATTGGGCTTCAGAAAAAGAAGAAAACGGGCTAGCTCCGCGCATCGCGCCTGTGGGTGGCTTTTTTCTTTTTTTTTCTTTTTACGTCAGGGATAAGGAAAAAAGAAGGAAATGGACCCCAAAGTGTGGAGAGTTGGAATGGTGTGCGAGATGCGGTTCCAGACCCAGGGAGGAAACTGGGGTTCTGAAATGTGAGAATGGGGAGGAGGGGGTGTGTGCTGCCGTGAGAGTGCAAGTCACTGAGGGAATGTAAGGGGGTAAAGGCAGGGAGTTGGGATGGGTGTGAATTTGGCAAACACATGGTTGGTGGACCCGAACTCTTGCAATCAACTCAAATTCGTGTCCAGGAACCTGACCGAGGAATACAGGGTGAGGGGTGAGTCTGGGCACCTGAAAGCAAGGCGGGGGAGAGAAGGGGGAGATAGAGGGGGAGGGGTGTTGGCCAAAACGCCAAGGTCGTGGGTAAGGCGTTCAGCTGGTGAGGCTGTGAGGAATCGCTGCCTTGGGAAGGTGGAGGGTGCATCAGAATTGTTCGTCATGGCTCGACTTTGGAGGGGAATGTGCCGGATTCGGATTCGGGGCAATCTGACAATGTGTGGGGTTGGTTGCTGACGGGAGCCTCCGGGCCTCAGAACACTAACGACATTTGATAAACGCTTGATCGCTTTGAAATCTCCAACTTATAAGAGGATGGGGCCTCATTTCTCTCCCACTTTGATCATCTGGGCGTGAATGTCGTGTTTCGTTCTTGCCAAACGAATATTCTAGTCTTACTGTCATCGTAGTCTCCCCAGGCCTTTTTCTTACCCACAGAGATGTAGATCTGCCTGCGAGCACATTCGAAATCTCGTCTCTTCCATCGATGCTGAATTTTTTTTGAACCGGATCCCTCCCACCCCACCCTCTTCTTGGTCTATGTCTAATATTTCCTGACTCTCGCGGGCGGGGCGGCATGGCTGGATATGACGAAACTGCCTCGCATCCTCTCAATCTTGTTGCAGAATTTACGGGCATAAGGCAGCCGTGCTGCCGTGTTATTCAGGGCAAGGGCGAACGGTGGGCAGATTTTTACCCAGAATACGGATGCCTACCCTCCCGCGGGCCCGCTCCGTGAGCCTCGGGGGCTTCGCCGGGGCTGTCATCGACGGGAGTCTCTACCTGATGACATCTCTCCCCTTGCCGTCGATTACGTGCATGTGGGCCACCCGGGCACTTGCATCGGTGGGAAACCTCCGATGGTCGGCGGTTGGGTCTGATGATCCATGCGGAGTTGCGACATCTCCACATCAAGGCAGACTTTTCGAGCAATTTGGACAAACGCGACTGTGTGCACTCACTCAAAGGCACATGGATGCACTTCTCCACGCCCCGAGCCTCTTTGAGACCGTGCCTAGCTCGTCCGAGGGGGATCAGGGGGCCTTGAATGAGATGCGAAGTTTCCAGAATGAAGGCACTATTTTATTGAGATAATAGCAAAAGGAACCTGTTTTCTTTTAGAGGAATAAATTGCTAGGATGCATCCATTCCGTGGATGTGTGGAAAGCTTGTGAGCTATCAATTGCTTGCCTTGTAACAGCAATGACTGGGACTTCCCAACTAAGGGCGTCCGCCGCAAGCCACTCCGTCGTAGTCCGGCATCCACCGGTCAAGCGGTGGACCTGAGTCAACCTTGAATGGCATCAAGATGGCCTTCTCACGTGATTTGGCGAAGTGCCAATGTTGCACGTGGCTCAAGGTATCGCACTGTGTGTCCGTCTCCCCAAGCTTATCGCATTTCTGGCGAGCACCGCACGGACCAACGACATGCCTCGCTTGTTTCGTGGTTCAAAGGGAAGGTCACAACGGGCCACTTTTGACGACGACGACGAACACCTCTCTGAATGACCATTTGCATCCAAATCACGCACATCGCCTGGGCTTCTACGCGACCGAAGAACTGCCCAAGCTCGGTCAGAACATCGGCTTGCCGCTCGGGCGACTGCTAGCCTCATTCCCATCGCCCTCTCCCCTACCGTCGAACGCGTCGCGCTTTTAGGACAGCCACCCACCTCCACCACCACCGCCCACAATGACCACCGAAGCCAGCTCCGCGCTTCTTACCAGCGAGCCCATCTCCCCGAGGGACAAGTCCCAAGTTGGCCAGACGGTAGGCCAGGCTCTAGGAGTTCTTACCAATACCATCGGCTCGATGGAGCTGCGTGCCGATCCCGACGCGCAAGCTACCGTCACCGATTTTCTCGATTTCACCGAGCACTTGCCCTCCGACGTAATACGCTCCCTGGCTCTCATCGGAAAGCTGGACCAGGCCTACGTCGATGCATCCTCCAAGGTCAACGAGCTCACGACCACATGGGGCCGGCTCCCCTCGCTGCCTCCCGATACCCGCCCCTCCCCCATACAGCTGCGAGCCGACATCTCGGAAAACTTGAAGCACGCTATGAACTCGCGGCTGTACAGCCACGCCGAGGCTGTGCGCATGTCTGAGAATATAAACAAGCACTATAACCGCGCCAGGACCATCCTCACCAAGCTGCAAGATATGCTTGAAAACTTCCCTACCGCCGAGGAGCAGCAGAAGAGCCCCGTCTTGTCCGTCAAGTCGCCGCAGCTGTCGCGAACGCCTAGGCCCGCCATTAGAACGACCGACGATGGTCAACGTGTCCGGCGGCGCAGGGTCCCTCGAATCATGGTTCCTGGAGAGGTTCTGGCCCCCTACGAACTCGATTTCAACGCCTACTCCGACGACAGCGACTGCTCATCGTCGACCGAGGAACCAGAGAGCCCTACAAAACGACCAGGATCAAGCGGTACACCTGGTATCCCCGCAAGAATCAAGCTGGTGAACAAGGTTCCAAAGACCCCCAAACCACCTACAGCTCGCCCGCCAAGACCTGTTACTGTCCAGGTTGTGGGAGCTGCCGTGGCCGGACCCGTACCTCAACCGCCACCCGACAGCGCACCCCCTGGAAGCTCTGATGCGCCATGGTTACAGCTGACGCAGTACGAACTCGCTCGCCTTAGGAAGCGCATGAAGAAAAATGCAGTGTGGAATCCTAGCGACACCATGATCGCCCGGGAGCTCAAGACACTCGGCAGGGGGCCCGAAGCGTATCGGGAGGCCAAGAAGAGGGCGGAGGAGCAAGGTGTCCCATTTGAATCTTCTCTCTCCATGCCTGTGGCGGGGACTCGGGGTCCCAAGTCCTCCCAGAGGGCGCCATCAGCGTCGACACTCTCGAAGAAGACATGCCCGTAAGTAACAAAGGTATGAAGCTGAACGAGGCCAAGAAGATGAAGAGAGAGGCCATGGCGAAGCTTGCTGCTGAGGAGGCCGAGGAGGCGGAACGCAAGTTTGCGGAAGCCGCGAGGCTGTTTCTAGGAGAGCGTGGGTCAGCTGGGCCGGGAAATTCTGAAGGGTCAGCGGACGCCAACTCGAAGGGGGCCAACGGCCAGATGAAGACCCGGACGAGTCACAAACGCAAGCGAGAAGGAGAAGGAGAAGCAGACGGAAACGGAAACGGAAACGGAAACGGAGGGGCGGCGGGGTCCGAAACGCCGGCTCCTGGTAAAAAGCTCAAGATGGAGACTCCCGTGCCACCACCTCAGCTCACGCCTCGCGTGGGTGCCCAAGGCCGTAGCCTCACGCCGATACCGCCTCCTGTCATTCTACCACATTCTACCACTCCAGTGCCCATCCCCATCCCCGCCAGCCGTCGGACCAGTCTACCAAACCGTCGATGTCTCCGCCTTCCACCATTGCAGTTGCGGCATCGGCAACGATCGTTACAACGGTACCAACCAAACCACCGGCGGACGCCCCGTAGTGGAACGGGCCATTTCTACCACGCCCATTTTACCACCTGTGCGTGAGCAGCCGAGGCGAGAGACCCGGCAGGATACGGCGAAGAAGCTGACCCACCCATCCCAGCATGAGGCAGAAGACCAGGCGTCTCCGCAGTTGCAGCAACTGCCGCTGCCGCTGCCACAACAGCAGCAACAGCAGCAGCAGCAACGGCAGTCATCGAGGCAGCCTAGCCTCCCGCTAGATCCAGCGTCTCTCGCGGACCTACCCCCGCGCCTGATGGCCGCCGACCAGCCTCCCGCGGAAAGGCGATGAGCCAGGAGCCCTCGGCGGCTGCATTCGGGGCTGATCGGCCGCGTCGCTCGAGCACCGCCCGCAATACGCCCGCGCCAGAGCAGCGACAACTGGGAGGGCCGGCCACGGGGCCAGCCGCGGGGCCAGGAGTAGGGCCAGGTGGCAAGCGGGCTAAGCGGCCGGCTCCGGGCGTCGTCAGCACCACCAACTCGGGCGGTAATAGCGCCGTTGGGAAGAGAAAGGCGGCGCCTCGGAAGAAGGCCCGGACTCAGAAAAAGGAAAAGGGACAGCAGATTGAGGTCATGGAGGAGGTGGACGACGAAGGGAACCCTATTGATCCCGAGGAACCGAGGTACTGTCTTTGCAACCGCGTGAGCTTCGGGACAATGGTTCAATGCGATAACACGGATGTAAGTATCGGGCTATCTATCTCTCACTTTTCCCCTTACCCCTTCACGTCTTGTATCTTCTTGGACTGTTCATTTTCCATCTTGGCACGACTAACACAACTGATTTTAGAACTGCAAAGGCGAGTGGTTTCATCTCGAATGCGTAGGCCTCGCCGATATCCCGGCTCGAACGACAAAATGGTACTGTTACGACTGCCGTGTTTTGTTGAATATAGGAGAGAGGGGCGAAGTAAGCGCGAGGGAGTGAAGAAGTAGGAGGGGTATAACTCTCCCCCTTCTCTCTTCATCGCCTCTCTTGGCACACGCTCCTAGGCCGCATCTCTCACCCTGTCCGGTTTTCATTTTCCTTTTTACCCCTATCGTTTTCTTTCCAGGGAGGCTTCTGTGAACTTTTCTTTTTCAAATACATGCTAGGCGCTCATGGGATCGCAGGATGCCAAACGGACGCGATGGCTGAATCTAAATACCACGGGGAGCAATTGTTGCGCTTTGTTTCTTATTCTCTTTTTCTCGGTTTTTTTCTCCGGTATGGCCGCAAGACGAGGCTATCTCGCGTGAGAGGTCCTGTAACATGTATTATATTCGTTGTCTCTTTTTTTTGAACCCTAAAATGAGAAAAAGGAGAGGAGCAGGCATGATGGGTGGGCATATAGCGAGTTCAAATTTCTAAAATTCGAGACAAATGTTCCCATATACACACTATCAGTCGTGGTGAATGGATGTCACAAATGCGTAACGATGCTGAGAGCTTGCCATAGCATGTGCATCGTTACAAAACGTGTCAGAGAAGGATAGTATGCTGAGCTCGTGTCCGAGCAGTCCAGACCCAGCCATGAAGCAGTGGAGTGCCGAGAACGACGTGGATTCGGGCCCATATCGCAGGCGCCTCTTTTCTTTTCTTTCTTTCTTAGTTTTCTTTATGCTTGTCATCTCCTCGAGGCACACGATTGTGGGTACGTTTCCTTGCTTTTTCACGTCTTCCCGCGGCCCAGGCCCTTTATGGTTCTTCTTCTTTCCATTCCGGCAGCTTCCATAGAAATACTAAATTCTTGGAATCCATGGATCTCGACGACAGGGGTTTTTTCATTTTTGCATATATCCCCTCTCGCTCTAAACAGGGCGGATGAATCCACGGTCCTTGATTTCTAAATCTTTGTTGTCTTCTTTTGCTTTTACACTAGCTTTCACTCTTGTCCCCTGCACGACAGCTTGAAGTCTGGGGAAGACGGGAAGTGGTGACGTAGGTGTCCCCGGGACGCCGGGAATTTATTACGTCCCACAATGCACCCCTCGTCGCACGCTCAACTCCCAGCCAACCTGTTTTGAGCGTTGTCCACCCGCGCCGTGGCAGGTTTGCAGTGGCGGGGTGTGAAGTACGTTTGGGCGCAAACCAAGACATGCTGATTTCGGTATTGCGCCTCTTCTTTTTGGAAGGGGGACGGTTCTCCGGGGGACGCTATCTAGACGTACTCCTCCGGTATGCTTGATATTACGCTGGGGGAGGGATGTCGGGTAGACGAGGGATTACAAAATTACAGGTACAAAAGGGAAAAGGGCAAAAGAGAGCAGGTGACGGGAGTGGTGGAAAGTATAATCTTCGCAGCGCATGGTACTCTTGTTGTTATTGGTTCGCGCGCGGCATTTGTTCTAGCGCCGCTCTTGGATAGAATAGAGAGGTTAAAATCGCTGGATCGGCGTGAGGAAGGGGATGGTGGCGCGGCGCGTTGTTCTGGGCCGAGTCCGACCCAAAGGTACCGGGCTTCTACGGCAAGTCCACCAGTTGACGGTTGTGAGGGTTGTGAGGGACTTTCCGAGGGGCTTCTGAGGAGCTCAATGTTCTGAGGGGAGAGTCAGCGTTGATGGTTGGCGCGCGCGGTTGGGAATGGCGCTTGGGATTCAAGTTCCTGGTCCGGACGGTTGTCGGTGTTCGAGGTGCTGCTTCGATCGATTGAGGCCGGACTAACTGGGCCCTATACGCGACTATGTGGGCCGGCCGGCGATACGGGGCCCAAAGATAGTGGGAGATTAGGGAACACTTGACCTCGATATACTTCCAGTGGCTTTGAGAGATAAGCTAGCGTTTAAGGCCCTTGAACCCCGCGCCTCCCCTCCCCTCCATCCGAGTCCACCCGTATGGCCGCTAGCAGTTCAACAAACGGATAGGCCTAATAAATTCCGGGTGCGGAGGAAGGGCAGCGGACCTTGCAGGGCTGGGGGACTGAAGGTGGGCTGCACGTCAATCTGCCAAAGATCTCAACCCCTCACCTCACGTCCGAGTTCGTCGCTATGCTAGCATCGACGTAACGGATAAAGAGGGGGCGGGCGGATGGACTGCTTGCCCCTCTCTAACTAATCGTGTGTTGAGTATCAACGAGAGAAAAAAAAAAAGCGATCACAAACAGCTGGCTGACACTGTCGTCCTGTTCACCTGACAGAGATGGACAGGAGCGCACCCGGTTTCCAAAACTGCGCACACCCTCTTTGACGCTCCACGCGTGAACGAAACCGGGAGGTCTTGTTTACACTGGGTGGGTGGTTCAGAGGAGGGAAGCATTCGTGGGTTAATGCGTCGTACCTTTTCTAGACACGCGCCCAAAGGGCCGTTCCCCACACCCTCTTGATCAGGTGGGCATTTCTCATTTTGGGAGGCACCGTTATGGACGCTGTCCCCTCATCTTCTCCCTTTGTAGATACTGCACACCTTTCAGTAAGAAACCAAATAAGGAGCGCGAATTAGAGGGGATGTGAAGAAGGGTGGGGTGGGGTGGAAGGGGGTGATTAGCCGTGGCAATTGTGACATAGGCATCTGGGCTCTCCCAGAGACTGCGCGTTAATACTTATGGAACGGTTTGGCCCAGGAGGGTCAGAGGGGTCCGTTTAGGGAGGATGACGTGACTTGACGTCCATGGCCTCGGTCTCAATAGAGTAGGCTCATGATACTCTGGAGTCGAAAGCGTGACCATTAAGGATAGCTTTTGCTCGTTATACAAATAGAGGTATTTCCTGACGGTAAACTGAAGCTGCCATGAGATTCAATCATCGAAAGGAATGGGTTGAATATAGTAGGTTGTGAGGGTGTCTAGGAGGGCAGTCTGTTGTTGGTGCGATCAACTCTGGGGGTGGTATCAATGTGTGAGGAAAGCCTTGCTCCTCTTCTTGGCGCATGTAGCGGGTGTAATAAAACCGCTCGACCCGGAGCACGATATCCGCAAGGGCATCAAATCACCTTGTGCTGCCGATCGACCTGGCCAGCTGTGGAATGTGGGATCCGAAGCCCGCTGTTCTGGATGTGTCACCGGCGTGATGCTGTTCTATTGAAAACGTCCCAGGCAGATATGATAATTATCGCCGGGTGGCTAACTGAGGGTTCCCAATGTCCGTTCCCTGCATATTTGTGCCTGAGAGCCTGGGAGCCAGGGATTCTCACGGATGCTATGCTCGATCGTGCTCTTGTCGCGGTTGATGAGTCAATTTGCGTTGAACGGGTAGACAAGATGGAGTTCATCATCTGGGCTTTCAGCCCTTCATTGATCGACGAGTCACTGCTGATCCCCTGTTTTTATTGAGGATACTTTCTTTCTTGATTTATGGGGGCTAATAACTGCCTAGCGGTTGTTCCATTTCCAGAACCTGCCATTCTTGCTACTAGAATGGGATTTGGTTTCTTTGGACGTCCAATGTGATCTTCGAATGACCGCACTCTTCCACGCCGCTATTTTCCCGATGCTGATTGACCCGATTGCGGGTGCGCCAGAACAAAAATAGGCAGACCCCGCTTCAACGGGGGAGAGAACCCCGAACTAGAAAAGGGGGAACGTCCTTGACAAGCTCGGTACTAAACCCCTAAAACTCACTGGCGACATTATGGACTATGTGGTTGATCAACAGGTCCAGGCGAGCTGTTCGCAACTCACTCCGCAAGTACATTCTGGGCCAAGTATTTCGTACTGCGAAGTTGCAACGGACAGTCAGGTCCATTCACTCTCTACTTTAAGGGTCATAGTTCCGTGGATTGAAGCCTATCAAGGTCCCGACTGTATCGGGATGGAAGCACATGTTGAAAGAGATGATGTAATAATACCAGCTGGCCAGGAGCGTAATAAGATAGACTTGTAGGCTGGCCCATCCGAGGAGGGGGACCTGCACCGTGCGTGCGCCAGGGCCCGGCAAGGATAGAGGGAAACAGTGCATAATAAACGCTGGGCCCTTTCTCAGCCTAGCAAGCAGGAAGAGCTCGAGAATTGGTCAATGTAGCTCCAGGTGCATACGGCCTACAATTTGCGCGAGAGATACCCTTCGAATACTTTACGGAGCTAAAGGGGACCAATGACCGCTGACGACTCACACCTTCACCTCCCCTCGCCGGTGTCTCATCCAACCCTCAGCGTCATCCGTCCTCGGGACTCTAGCACGCCTGCCCCCGCTCTACCCCCTCCCCCAAAGGACGTCCCCTTTCGAAAGGGACTTGGAGCCAGCTACTTGTCCGTTGGACCAGCCAGCCAGCCAGCCAGCCGCTGCCACCGCCGCCTCGCCCCTCCTTCCCCCTTTGCGTCTCCCTCGCACCTGGGCTGGACCAGCACCAGACATTACAAGTACCTCGCTGAGACCAAGTCCTCCCCCAGCCAGCGGTCCCACTTGGAATCCCTCCTTTCTCCGACCAAACTCACCCCAAACGCGACTTCAACAACCAAGCTTTCTAGAATCGACTTTAGTGTTCTTGTCTCTTATTTTCTTTCCTATCTGCATAATAATTCTCTGCTTCAGCTCTATAGAATTTCTTCAGTCTCTTTTTCCAGGCTGTGCCCATACAAGAGACCGCCTTCGCTCGCTTCCCCTGACGAAATCCGCTCGCCCTCTCTCTACCTAGGATCGTCGCCCCCACCACAGCACGACTCGACACGCCGAACCCCTCCGATTTCGAGGCACTTATTTTGCCTACTGCGCCTTTCTTATAATTGACCTACGTCTGTTTCTTCTCGCCCTTGTCATCACCTCGGAAACCTTGCACCCCTCGTATCAGGACTTCCGACCGAACCGACCAGCACTTGAGGTGTTATTTACTTCCGTACAACCTCTACGCCCTAAACTCAACCCTTAAAGAATAGCGCGGACGCGAATAGAACTAGAGGCGATCACCAGCACCCGAAAACGTTCGATCCCGATCAGGGCCACCACTTGCCTCCTATACACCGCCCCGGTTGGGAGAGTGAGAGCGGGTGCATAACCCCACCTATACCTTTCATCTGTTGCGCGGGCGACTGCGTGCAGCCGCCTAGACGCCCCCGAATGCCCAGTATGTACCTTGAACCCAGACTTGAGCGCCGCTGGTGGACTCGACGGCCTTGACTAACTAGTATGCATAACCAGGTTCGAAGAAGAACAAGAATGCGAAGGATGGTGGTGTTGCCGCGGCGCTCGCCAAGCAGATAGCCAACAACAAGTCAGCGTATGTCTAGATCCTCGTTTTCCCAGCCCCCGAGAATGCACCCAACTAACTCGTTTGACTGCGTAGAAACACCCCTGCTTCGAATAAGAGCTCACCCTCAGACGTGCCTTCTCCTCTCGTGCAGTCACCCGATGTCAAACCTACTGCCGTTCCTCCCTCGGAAAATGCCAACCTCGTTTTGACAGAGGCCTCGCCTTCTTTGGATGCTCTGTCCACAACCTCTGTATCGGCCAGTACTGCTCCTAGCACTGACTGGATGCGCGGAGCCTTTTCTGGCTCACCTGGAAATCCCGTCAGCCTCATGGGGAGTCGCCGCCCACCCAGCCGTCCTCCTTCGAGGACTCCGCCCCCGACTCCACTCTAACTGGGCCTCTCCTCGCGCCTACATGAGTCCCCAACCCACGGCCTCGCCCCCGATTTTGGGTGGCGCGCGCCGTCCTCCTAGTGCCTTTCAAGATGCTGTTGGGGATGGACGCGGACATCCCAGCACGGCATCATATCGCCGTGGTTCAATCTCGTCGCAGTTCTCCCATGCTCGCGTATCTCCGATGCCGCCCCTTCCCCATCAGCCACAGGCACACTTTTATGGAGTGCCTGATCTTGACCTAGACACGGTCTCGAGCCACGGCCTCAAGGCTGGCGAGAGGGGCTACCACTTCGCATTCGACACTTTTCCCCGGCGGTATCCCGACCCCACGCCCGGTTCCGACAACGTCATAGTGGCGGGTTACGAAGGTGGTTTAGAGGTCTATTCTGTCTCGAAGAGAGGTCTCGACCCGGTGGCCAGTCTTAAGGGCTTGCGAGGGGGTGTGTACAACGCAAAAATTCTACCCTGGCCCGCCTCTTCCGACGAGCGCGATATATTTCCCTCGTCGCCGTCGTTATCCACGGTCCGGTTTTGCCCTCCGCCTCCCCAGAACAAGACACCCCAGGTCCCGTGGCAATGGGCACGGGGGCGAAGTCAAGTGCGCCTGGAAGCCCCCGGGTTGACGCCATGAACCGTTTCCAGGGCCAACCCATCGAACACTACCAGACAACGATCGAAGTCTATTCGCTGAGGACCAACCAACGCATTGATGTGCTCCTCCAGGCCTCTCAAATCCCAATCGAAGCTGCCATCCCTATCACTAGCCACATGTTCTCGCCCCCCTCCGACCGGGAACTTTCACATTCGTGCCGACTCCGGAGCGGTTGTGGTTTCCTCTGGAGTGACTGGTGAATGCTGGGTATACCGCCAACTGCCGGCGGATGGTGGTGCGGACGTTGGATTTGGCATTGTCGCCAAGTGCTGGACGAGCATCCAGCGTGCTTTGAAGTCGTCAGATGCGTCCGACGATGGTGACCGAACCCGTCTCTCTCCCGCGCCGCCCCGGCCCATGATGCCAAACATGCCGATTTTGGCTCTGAATGGTCGGTGGCTCGCGTACTGTCCGCCGTCCCAGTCGTCACAAATTTCTTTGCGAGCCCATATCGGGGTTCCCGTTATCGGAAAGGGTCCCGGCGTTTCGACGGTGACCGCACCACCAGTTCCGACGGCCAACCTAGCCACTGATCTTCCACTCTCCGAAGGCATCATGAATAAGTTGATGCGGGAAACAACCCAAGAACTCATTCAGGGAGCGAAATGGGTCGGTCAACAAGGAAAGCAGGCCTGGAATGCGTACTGGAATAAGTCGCCCTCGCCCAACCAGCCTCAGCTCACGGCGCGGTCGCCTCCAGCGCCTTCGCAACCCTGGGGAAATTCTTACCCACCGAGGCAAGATGCTGGGCAGTTCCCCCGACACACGGCACTTCGGCCCAAGCCGTCACTAAAGACCCCGGTCTCGTGTCGATTGTGGATCTCGATACGGTAGGCATTTCGTCCTCGATTCATCCAACCGCAACTTTCACCGCGCCCTTCGGATGCAGTTTTCTTTCCTTCTCCCCACTGGCCTCTCCCTCCTTACTGTTAGTAGCAAGGAGATGTCCAGACGATTTGGGATTTGTTTGGAATTCAGTATACGAAGTCGTCTCCATTGCAAGCTCTGGCTATGCCCAGCGGTGGCGGTCCGAGGGTGCGCCAGATCGCGCAATTCTCGAGAATGACGGTTGCCAGGGTTGTGGACGTGACCTGGGCCAAACCAACCGGCGAGCAGTTGGCCATGGTTACGGAACGCGGCACCGTACATTTACTAAGCCTGTTACCGAGTGCCTTTGTTTGGCCCCCGCCTCGTCGCCGGCGTGATGTACCTGAAACGGCAGTCACTCCAGAGGCTTCCGGATCGGCCGTTTCGATCGCATCGAGCGCTTTGGGTGTCGCACTCGGGGCCGCCCGCCCCTGATGAGCCGCCCCCGAAGGAGTAGCGCGAATTCTGGAGGGTTCTCGGGCTCGAACATTGTGGACTCGGCAAGCTTGGGGGAGGGCAATTGCTGCCACGATTAGCAACTCCCTGGGGAAGACCGGCCACGCGATCAACCAGCTGAGGCAGACTGGCGAGAACCGAGTCACTCTCCCTCCTAGCCAGGTTGTCCCCGCCTTGGGCTGCGTCGTCTGGATCACTGGCAGGAGGCATAATGTGCTCTTCGCGGCTACGGCAGGCGTTGTTCGGATGTTCCCGTCGAAATCACGCAAAAACGTGACCAAGGTCCCGCGGGGGAATGTATCGCGACTTCAACGTCCCCGGCATTCCGGAGGATATCCTGTCTGAAACGACGAGGCACTTTATCAACGGGGATGATGACATGTATCTTTCTGATAGAGACATGGATGCTGGAAACACGGTCACGCTCGAGACCAGGCCTCGAATTGTGGAACCGGAAGCGGGCACGGAGTCATCGATCCCCCAAGTGGAGATCGAATCCAGCGCCCCCTATCAGCCTTTCCACACAGATAGGCGCGTCGCTTTATACTCCTACGACGAAGGAAGCGATTTTGCCACAAACCTCCTCCTTGGCGACCTCTCGCTCGATGATGCGACATCGTCCAAGAAGAAGAAGGGCAAGAGCAAAAAGTCCTCTTCTACAGGTGGCGGTTTCTCTGCATCTGGATCAGGCGCCTGGGCCTTTGGCCAGGCGTTGCCTGCGACAAAGCTCGATCTTGGGCTGCCAGACAACAATGACACGTCTCTGATCCTGCCTGAGGACCACCGCGCACTGCCAGCCTCGGCGATAGAACGAGTCCTCCAGGTCGGTGCCAACGAGGAGCAGATCGTGGTAACGACTCGGCGTCGCCGCGGTGCTCGCCACGCCGAGCACGAGGATGACGGCTTCTTCGAGGACGACTGCGAGGTGTTGGACTTTGCGGATCAGCGGGTCTAAAGGCGACGTGGGCTTTATTTCCCCGTTTGTCTCACCCTCCTCCACGACTTGTCCTCTAGCTTTGGCTATTTTCTCCTTTCCGCAACATTTACGCGTCGACGAAACTCCTTGATTAGTGCTTCGGTCCCCATCTGTTTCGTTCCCTTTCAGTTCTTTTTCAAATTCCTTTTTCACCCTCGAGGACTGCCCTCAGATCCCCGAGTGATTTGCATATGGAACGCAATACACACATATATGAGAAAAAAATGACAACAAAAGGAGCCTCGCAAGAGGCACAATGCCTTGATTTCACATCGGGTCTTGGTTTTTTTCTTACTTTTTTTTTTCGAATTCACTTTTCGGTTTTGTTGCCTAATTTTCCTTCTCAAGAGTGCGCCCTGTTCGTTGGCGACGGATATATACGCAAGTGATGGGGGTCGGGTTCCGAGTAATCGGATGCCTAGCTCATGGACAATCATTTCCAATAGTTGTGTTTTGAACCTTTCCGTTCTCCATCTGCCTCATTTCTGCCCTCATCTTTCTTCAGTTGGTGGATTGGAGACAATTGCATTCACATTGGGAGGATTTTCACTGCATGGATGGTTTGGTGTTTTCCTACCTTTTCTTCTTGCTTTTATACTAGTTGCATCTTAGGTAACCTAGAAGTTGGGGAGGCGGTTTTGATGTGAACTTCCTCCCCCATAACCCATAACCCATAACCCTGAATAGAGACGAAATAGATACCCGAAACGCTCAAGCATCCCGAGACTTGATACCGTATCGTACAATTAACAAGGCCCTTGAGGCTCATCGGCAATCACGCCACCCATTGATGTGTTGCAAGGGTTTACTAGATAGAGGCGGGAGACCTTAGACTCACGATATCGCATGGACGCAGATGCGGGGAAGTCAATTACTGGTGTTTTTAAATAGTCTAGATCCTATAATACACGCCATCCTAGCCTGCGAAAGAAGGTCAAGTGGGGGAGGGCCGGTGGGAGATGTAAAAACAAAGCGGACTCTGCAGAGCAGATGCGGAAAATAGCACCGACCCGGAGGCCATTACGAGAAGGAACCGGTGAGTTTCCCGCAAACGCTGCGCAGACCGTGGAGAAGGAGGGGTATGATGGAGGGAGTCGAAAAAGCTTTACGCCTTCTTCTTCGTGGCAGCCTTGGCCTTGGCGGCCTTCTTCCTGTTGCTGCGGATCATGACCATGCCGATGAAGGAACCGACGACGGCGGAGCCGAGGAGGATGAGAATGACGGGTATGCGGATGGCCCAGACGCGAGGGGGAAGAGGGTCTGGAGGATGTGGTCGTCGTCGACGAAGGGCTATTCATGGGGGTGGAAGAAGATGGTGTTAGCGAAGGGGCTCGGGCGACGGTTGCCGGCTCGCAAAGAGTATGGGGGCTAGGCAGAGGGAGGGAGGGGAGCGCTCAGGTGCCTGTAACGTGGAACCCGGGGTCGCGATGACTTACCATTATAAGCACCCAGAGGGTGTAGTAGAGGAAGACGACGGAGGCAGCCACGAGCATGGCGAGGCCGACGAGTTTGTCAAGCTGTCAAAGCAAAGGAGTCGCAAACCGCATGTCAGTTGTTTTGTGAAATAGCTTGCTTGGTTGCAATTTTGGGGATTAACTTGGGGCGGGTTGCGCAAGGCTGCAACTTACCATTGTCGGTTGAGGATGGATGGAGCGAGGATAATGGGGGCGGGGGCGGAAATCGGGTGGATTTGGCCAGGGACGGTCGCGATACCGAAATCGTGATTGTCGAAAAGAATGGACGGCTTTCTTTTATGTAGGACGATGTTGTCGAGGATGAGCGTTGAGGGGGAGGGAGGGAAAGGGAAAGGGAAAAAAGCGTTTTAGAGGTTGACGTGTGTGCAAGCTGGCTTCACGATGGGGAGAGAGGTGTTCGTTCGCCTGGAGCTGAAATTAATGGTGTCGACGCGCCCTCCCGTGGAGTGGAACCTCGAAAGGGGACCAAAAATCGACGTGTGCTAGTTTTCCCCTTTCTGGAAAGCATTGGATTTCTAACGGGCTGCGTCCGAGTTAACAGGGTGAAGGTGTCTCTGTTTTTCCTCTTTTTTGGGTCCTGCTTCATTGGTTCTGCAACTGGCGACACTTGGTTAGTCAGAGCTTCGACAGCTGCCCGTTACTGGGTGGCGTGCATTTGCTGATTCAGGGAATAAATTTCGGCTCGATTTGTTGCCTTGATGCAGTTCATCGTCTGCAGTTAGTATCGTGCCCATCAGCATCAACGAAGGAGAAAGGAAAAACGAACAAAAGGAAGCCCCCTCCTCAACAGGTGGTGCTGCTGTTTCGGAGACGTTGCCGTCACCCTTTGTACCAGCACCGCTTACCCGCCCATTTTTTTTGCACGCCTTGTTTTCATCGAGATTCGATTTTCCAACTCAACCCCCTCAGCCCTTTTCTTTCTCCCCGACGCACGCATCGAAGGATAAGCCGTCCGAAGCGATGGCATCCCCAGACGTGCAGTCGCCGCTGCCGTTGCGCGAGCGATCGCCACCCAACGAGGCGCCATTGGCGAGGCGTAATGGCCGCGACCGTAGCCGCGATCGCGATCACGACCGAGACCAAGATCGAGATGACGAGCGAGACGAGGATCGAGAACCGATCCGTGCCCGCGAGCGCGACCGCGGCCGCGACCGTGAGCCGGATCGGAAAAGACGTCGTGATGAGAGGGACCGAGACCGCGATCGAGATAGGGGCGGAGGCGGAGGCGGAGGCGGGGATCGATATCGACCTTCTGGGTCGAACGCTCCACCGCACTCGGCACGCCAGAGGCAGGATAGGGTAGTGGAGAAACCCGAAAGGACGGAGGAAGAGAAGCAGGCGATGCTCAAGGCCGAGTACCAGAAGCTGATAGATATGCGAAGCGGAGGCACGTATATCCCCCGGCGCGCCTACGGGCCCTCCAGGCGCAGATCCAGCAGGACACGAGCGCCGAGGGCGCGCGACTGAAGCAGAAGCTGCACTGGGAGGCGCTCAAAAGTCCATTACCGGCATCATCAACAAGGTCAACTTGGGCAACATCAAGAGCTTGGTCCCCGAGCTCTTTGAGGAGAATCTCGTGCGCGGCAGGGGTGCCTTTTGCCGCTCCATCATGAGGGCCCAGGCGTCGAGTTTGAGCTTCACCCCCATCTACGCGGCGCTGACGGCCGTCGTCAACTCCAAGATCCCCTCGTGGGCGAGCTCCTGGCCAAGAGGCTGGTTGTCCAGTTCCGCAAATCCTTTCGCCGGGACGACAAGAAGGTGTGCCTCGCGGCCACGACCTTCATCGCCCACCTCGTCAACTTCCAAGTCGTACACGAGAACCTCGCCTTGCAGATGCTGCAGCTCCTGCTTCACAAGCCCACCGACGACTCGGTCGAGATCGCTGTGGGCTTCATGAAGGAGATTGGCGAGTTCCTGACCGATATGAAGCCCATGGCGGCCCGGGTCGTGTTTGACAAGTTCCGCGACGTGCTCCACGAGGGAGAGATTGATAAGAGGGTCCAGTACGCCGTCGAGGTCCTGTTCCAGATTCGCAAGGACAACTTCAAAGACAACCCGGCGATTCGCGAGGAGCTCGACCTCCTCGAGGAAGACGACATGATTACCCACTACGTTGAGCTCGACGGCGACCTCGACACCGAGGACTCGCTCAACATTTTCAAGTTCGACGTCGACTTTGAAAAATCGGAGGAGGCGTACGTTCAGCTCAAGAGGGAGATTCTGGGCCAGGCGAGTGACGACGAAGACGATGACGAAGATGACGACGAGAGCTCCGAGGACGAAGAGGAGGAGGAGCAGAGGGCGATTGAGATCAAGGACCAGAGCAACGCCGACCTTGTCAATCTTCGGCGAACCATTTACCTGACCATCCAGTCCGCCATCTCACCTGAAGAAGCCGTGCATAAGCTTATGAAGATTGTGCTTCCCCGGGGCAGGAACCCGAGCTCCCTCCATGGTTGTGGAGTGCTGCAGCCAGTCGACCACGTACCAAAAGTTCTTTGGCCTCATTGGGGAAAGGTTCGCCAAGCTCAACAGGCTCTGGAACGAGCTCTTCGAGGAGCAGTTCAGGACCACCTACGACACCATCCACCGCTACGAGACCAACCGACTACGGAATGTGGCGCGGTTTTCGGCCACATGTTTGCCTCCAACGCCATCGGCTGGCACTGCATGTCGGCGATTGTCATGACGGAGGACGCCACCACATCGTCATCCCGTATCTTTGTCAAGATCCTGTTCCAGGAGATCTCGGAGGAGCTGGGCATGCCGAAGCTCGCCGCTCAGATGAAGGACCCCCTGCTGCAACCCAGCCTCGAGGGCCTCTTCCCCACGACGAGCCTCGCAACGTCAGGTTCTCCATCAACTACTTTACCAGTATCGGCATGGGTGTGCTCACTGAGGAGATGCGTGAGTTCCTGCAAAACATGCCCAAGCCCGCGCTGCCCGCCCCGCCCCGCGGCGATTCCGACTCGGAATCGGTGTCGAGCTACTCCTCGTACACGCGATCTTCGTACTCGTCCCGCTCGCGCTCGCGCTCGCACTCCCGATCTCGGTCCAGGACACCAGCGAGCCGCAGCAGGAGGAGGAGGACTCCTTCCGCTCTGACAGCCGCGGACGGAGCCTCTCCCGCGACCGGCGCTCCTCGAGGTCGCTTTCGTACAGCCGCTCGCCGTCGCCGAGGCGCGGCCGCCGGGACTCGCGCGATTCTCAGTCCCGCAGCCCCTCGCCCAAGCGCAGCCGACGTTACTCGGACGCGCGGACCGACGACTCCCGCAGCAGGAGCCGCACCCCGCCGACCGGGGCGGCGCAGAAGCGTCATGCTGCGTCCGTCAGTAGGTCGCCGTCGCCGGACGCGCGTCGAAAGAGTAAGCGCGACTCGTACTCGCGGAGTCCGTCTCCTAGACGCCGGAGCGGCGGTGCTGGTGGCAATGGCGGTGGACGCCGTTACGATAGCCGATCGCCGAGCCGTACCCCTTCGCGGTCCCCTTCGCGGTCCCCTTCACGGGGAGATCTGCCTCTTATGACTCGAGGTCGCCCGCCGCTGCAGGGGCAGGGCCGGATTCCAGGGCCAAGGGGCGGGGACGCAACCCTTCGTACTCGCGGTCGCCCTCGAGGTCCGTGGCGCCCTCGAGGTCTAGGTCGAGGTCCCGGAGCCCGGCGAATACCAAGAGGCGGAGGAGGTATAGCAGCTCGAGGTCTAGGTCTCCGGCGCCGCCTCCTACCAAGAGGGGAGGCGGGACGATTAAGACAAGGCGAGTGAGGATGGCTGGAGTAGGGGCCCGCTTGGCGGTTGTTTTTTTTCTTTTTGCGCTCATGAGTCTTTTTCTGGAGAAACCAGGGGCTCGGCTTGACAATGGAAGAAAGTGGAAAGGAAAGAATGAGACAGCGGGGAGAAGGGCGACCGCCCCCTTTTACCCCAAGGAACATTTTGTTATCTGTATAGATTGGAAGAAAAGAGAGAATCCCCAAAAGGCGAAGGAAGAACCGCCCCTTCCTCCAAATTCGAGATAGGAGGTGAGCGGAACCGGTAGAAAGAGGAGGAGACGAGGCGGATTTGTTAATGTAGGAAGATAGCTTATTGACGAACACATTTTTTTCTTCTTCTTCTTTTTTTTGGGAAGCAGAAATACCAAGCCAAAGTTGCCTCTACGATATGGTGTATTAGATGCATAGTTGACAGACTCGATATCGATATGATGGCAAGGAATATAGAAGCAAAACTTGCTGAGTGGAAACTGTTGCTCTTTTGTTCTTTTTTTAATCTTGTCTAATACTGCCTGCCCGCTTTCACCCAGCAACCCCCTTGAGCGGCGAAGTCGGCTGTCCCGTCTCCTCCGCAACCGCAGCACCCTTTTCAGCTGTCGCCGCCGCCTTCTTTTCGATAGCATCCGCGACGTCCCCCTCGATGCCCATGGCCGCCATCGTCTTCTTGCTCAAGGTGATGCTCCCCTTGGCCAGGGCCTCCAGGGGCAGCGGCCGGATGATGGGCTGGGCGACCCACCACGGCCGCGCGCACCGCTTCATGGCGCCGGCTGAGCTGTCGGCCTTGAGCTCCCCATCTAAGCCTCCCGGAGCGGACTCCTCTCCCTTTGCCGCACCCTCCTTGTCCTCTTCTCCTTGACGGCCCTTTTCTGGCACCGCTTCTCTTATGTCTGTTGCCGAGGTGACCATGTCAGCGTCCGCCGCGTTCTTCTTCTCCTCATAGTCAAGGAGGCCCCTGGCGACCTTGACCTCGACGAGGGCTAAGACGCGCTCGTAGGCGTCCAAGTCTCCCTTTGTGCTGCGGGCCAACATATCCCGCACGTCGGTGTGCGCGGTCACAAGGTGGCGGAGCAGGTGGAAGGTGTGCGGCTGCATGGCGGCGTAGTTGCCGTTGGGCACGTAGTCCTTCTTCTTTCCTTTTGCGCTTCTTACGCGCGGGGCCGTCCTCGTCTTCTTCGTCCGCCGCCTTCTTCGCCTCCTCGAGCCAGGCAACGTCGTCGCCGGGCACGAAGAGCGGTCGGCGCTGGGGCGGCTCCGTACCCGCCACGTGCCTGTGCAGGATGTCGAGGTAGCGCCTCATCACGCCGTCCACCCGCCACCCGCCCCTGCCGTCCTTGCCGCGCCAGTACTCCCTCCCTTCCTCGCCGAGGTTGGGGGCGCCGCGAACAGGCCCGGGTCGCTCAGATTCCCTTCGGCGGCCATGACGCCATCGGCGCCGGTGAACTCGAGGCACCGTTCGAGATCGCCGTGCTGCAGAATGTTGCCGTTGGCGAAGAGAACGGTCTCGGGCGGCAGGTTGTCCCGCAGGAAGCGGATAGCCTCCCAGTCGGCTAGGCCGGTGAGGTGGCCCTTTGCTCCCGGCGCCGGCCGTGTACGGTGAGGATGCTGGCGCCGGCGTCGAGTACGTTGCGCGCATAGGCCAACGTCGCCTCGCGGGTGTCGAGGATGCGGATCTTGGCCGTCACGGGCACGTCGAGGCCGTCGCGCAGCGTGCGGATGAGGCGGAAGATGAGGTCCTGGTCCTCCTGGAGAAACGAGCCGTAGTGGCCCTTGCGGGCGATGCCCTGGGGGCAGCCGAGGTTCAGGTCCACGGCGTCGCAGTAGGGCGCGACTTTGCGGGCCGCTTCTAGGAGCCAGCGCGGGTCATTGGCGCAGAACTGGACAAAGAGAGGCCTATCTATCGCGGGGTTCCCGTCGAGGAAAAGCTCGCCGGGCTCGGTAGGGGTGGGGTCAGGACTCGTCGGCGTCGCTTTGGAGGCTTGGAAGTGCGTTTGTCGGTATTTTTCAGTCTCCGCAAAGAGGCGCGCGTGGAACATGGGGGTATAGGCTAGGAGAGGGGTTGCTCAGACAGAGGCATGTACGATCGTGAAAGCATTCGCCAAGCCTAAAGTCCGTAATCCTCGTCAGAATTACGCATGGAGGGAGCACAGTGGGGAAAAACCTACAAACTCGGACTGATCAACCATCGGAGCCACAATATACTTGGGGCTTCCTATGCTCTCATAAAAAGCCCTACCAACCAGCTTGGTCCCAGTGGCCGGCGGCGCCATAACATCGACCTGGTCCGCCATCTTCGAGTGTAGGCGTCGTCGCCAGACTAGCGCCAGAGACTTCCCAAGTCTCAGCCGGAAAATTGAAGACGCCAGGGTCTCCGTTGGCTGCCTCGGGACCCGCGTGTCGTCTCTCTCCTTCTTCCCTGCCCGGTTTTTACCAGCTTCTTATTCCCGTTCCCTCTCTACTTCGCTGCCCCTCCTTTCGTGTCGCGCTCACTTTTTTTCTCCTCTTTTCGTTCGGCTTTCTTTGAAAGAGAAAGGAGGGGGCGCAAATGAGATAAATGCTCGCCTTTGGTGTCGCGCGCAAGGAACGAAAAACAGTTCATGGGTGGGAAAGGAGCGAAAAGGAGAAAAAAATTACTGTCCAGTGGATGGATCCACGAATGGTCCTCCGCCTTGCGCTAGCTGCTGCAAGGCTGAGAGGAACCCCTTGCAAGCCATTGGCTCTCCACAAACACCCCAGTTCAATATGGATGAGGCACAGGCACGTACCGGCAGGCGTGAGAAGGTACCTCACTTGTCCACAGCAAAGCACCCTGAGTACCCCGAGTACCCTGCTACATTGGTCGAAAGGGACTAGCGTATTCAACACCGAGTGACGTAATATGCTTGCCATCACGCATGTCACTTGCACTGTCACTTGCACTGGTACCTTGCGCTGTCGAACTCAAAATAACAAAAGAGACTTGCAAACTCAAACTAATGTTGACACTTGGCCATAGCTTGTACACCAACAATGCGGCCAGCAAGATGGACAGCATCTGCTAAAACATCGGGGCAATAGATCAATCCATTGTGTAGTCCACTCCCCTCGCCAAAGGGGAAACAACAATGCACTCTCAAAACAGAACTGGCCTCTAAGCGAGGAGAAAGGAGGAGCGGGGAGGTGTGTTCTGAGTGGAGGAGGTGGAGGAGGAAAACGGAAAATAACCACTCAAAATACATGGTGTTCATTGTATTCGAACACAGAGGAATAGCGCGCCAGGCTAGGGATTCTTCCTGATGCATCAATAGCTTCTTTCTACCTCGGTAAACAGTCTAGCACTGTTGAGCTGTTCTGGTCCTCCCTCCCCTACACCACGACTGTCCCCACGAAAACGACCAGCTTCTGGGGAGATCGTCGCGTCCATCCACTATATATCTCTACTTTATATGCCACAAGGAAAATGCCCGAGACCGCCCCCTCCTGCGAGCGACCATCTAACAGATTCAACACAACCTCCTCGACTAACTATAACTAACCATCATATGTGCTGACATGCACGTGTATATTAAGCCTGCCGTTCCTCCAAACCGGAGGCTATCGGAAGCAGGGCCGGCGATATTATGCGTGCGTGTTCCTCCTATTCTCTAACCATCACTTAACCCCGGGAGATGCAGATTCCATGTCATCTCAAGAACCGGCGGTCTCGTCTAATCATCACAAGCTCCAGTAACACACCGTAGTAACCCCCGCGCGTAAAACCTCGCAGCCACCCTCCTCCTCTTCTTTCTTGCCGCTTGTTCAGGCAGTAGTAGTAGCGCGCCTGCAAACTCAAGTAGACCAACTAGAAAAAGATCTAAGGCCACATGTGCATGTACCAATGCATGCAGTTGATTTGAGCGATGATGTGAGCGAGGCCACAGGCCTCGCTTGAACTTGTTATTTGTTACTCAACTCCCGCTTTCGAGAGAAGAAAGAAAAAGATATGGATACGTTTGCGGGTGTAGTACACGGCCAACCAAAAAACAGGCACTGAAGCGACACAACAAAAGTCGAGAGAACTAGCAAAGGGCATTGTCTCTCACCATGTTCCAGCCCTTACAAGCTGTAGATACATGTATAGTTGAACCACTCGGCCCACCTACCCCAATCCTTGCCTCCTCCTTACTCCGGCCGTTCTCTGCTCGTACATCTCAATCCTGTCGCTCCAGCAAGGCCAACGTTTCAATATTTGTTCGTCTACCCTTCCAAACGAATGGACCAGTTGTACGTAGTGTGCACACGCACTTGGTTTTATCCTGAGCGCGATCCGTTCCAAACCAGAGCATGATAGATGCAAATCACCAAGCCCGCATTCTTCCTTTATTTATCTTTTTCCCTTTTGCCTCAGAATGAGATGGATGAGGTGGTTTTACCGATCCCAACCCTCTCATGGCAGCATTTTACCGCGACAAGGAAAAAGAAGGGACAGGCGAGAGAACAAGGGCACAAAGAAAACTAGCGTTCAGGAAACAAAGGCAACTCGATATGTTCGCAACCAGAGACCTTTTGAGCACCAACTCACGTGGGCCATCAAACAATGGCCCCGATACTCGCCACCAAGTAAAAGAAAAGGAAAACGAAATGGGAAAAGAAAACAAAAGAAGGTAATAGTACGTAACGCCCTAACACCGGACAATGCTGTTCCTGAAGACGCCCTCAGAATGGAATGTCGCTAGAACATGCGTTGGAGGTCGCCCGCCCTGTTCCAGAGTGTCAAAGGAGGGTGGGGGTTGTGTGATTGTATTTGAATTGTGTGTATGGGGGATGATGTATCGAAAGGTCCAGAATGAGGCGCGAAAAAGAAAATATGAAGGCAAAGAGTAATCGACGAGTAGAAACCCCCTTTTTTTGGACGTTGTAATTAGAGGGCGAGCAAAAACGAATTGAAGCATGTAAGAGGGTGTTGCAGCAGTGGTAGCTTCACCCTCCCCCATGTGTAGCCGTAGCAGTCATTAGAAAAAGTGTGTATATATCTTCGAGTTCTCATGCACCTCCATTTCCTGTGTTCAAAAGAAAAAGCAGAGTTAGAAACGGCGGCCACCATCACCCACCGACCTGGGTCGCAGGTCGGAGACGAGAGGGGGACCCTTACCATCTTGAAAGAATTCAATTCCTCCTTGATTTGCTGTGCGAGCATAGGTGTGAGTCGGTTGCAGGTGGCGATCTCGCCTCGGCGGTCGTATTCTTGGCTGGGCCACGTGTCGTAAAACACAATGCGAGGAGAGAACGTCGCGTTTCGTTTCGATGTGCTTGACGGAGTGCCAGCTCCACTCTTGCTGTCCTGCCGAAGTCTTAATGCGCTGACAAAGTAGTCCTCGCTCCCGATAGCGATGGACTCGCTGCGCCTGTGTCCGTGCATCGCCTCGTCGTTAGGAGTGCTAGGAGCGCTTGAATTAGGAGAATCTGCGATCCCGGGCACGCCAGGTAGTCCACCAACAGCATGAGGGTCGCGAGTAGGGGAGCCGTTACGTCCTAAGAGGGGAAAGCACATGTCAGCCCCTTGTTCAACGAGCCAGTACAAAGAGGTCATGGGCTCTTGTCGGGGAATACTTACTTTTCAGAATGCCTTTTCTAACGGCCGCCAAAACCTCCGCGCGCTCCCGATCTCCGCCGATGATGCTCTTGCGAGCAGCCGATCCGTCAGTCCCTGAACTCCCCAGCCGCTCCGAGATCATGCTCGGCGCTCTAGCAGCATCGATGGAATTTCGCTCCAGACGAGGAAACCCGGTGCCACCGCCGGGTTGAGTGTGAGGATCGGCATTAACGTTTACTCTGTCTCGCTCCGCCTCAACCGTGACCATGGAAACGGTCGTCTGCCCTGCCTCAGGAGCCACAAACCCCCGCGCTTGGCTCTCCCACAATCGACTTTGGTCTGAAGAGGCCAACAAGAGAGCGTGTTCCCTTCTTCATTCCACGTCCCATTTTTCGTATCATGATTGATGCAGACGAGGCCGTTGATGAGATAGAGAGATTATCAGTAGATCCGGAGAAGAGACGTCCGCCGTAGATGCTGGATCCCAGACCGCCCTCCTCCTGCTTTTTGGCGATTCGTTCTTGCTCGGCATCGTACAGTTCATTCGCAGTCGGTTCCTTGTGGAGTTTCGAAGGCTCTTTGTCGTCCTCCCCGGGCGCGCCGGCGACTTTCTTGAACTCAGCGGCACTTCCAAATGAGAATGCGCGCCGCAATCGGGAAGTTTTGCTTCCAGACTTCATGTTGATTGCGGCCAATCTCCTGGCAGCAGGGCTTTCGCCAGTGCTGGCAGACATCGTGGCCGCGGTGTTGGGGCCCATCTTCGTGCGAGTAGTATTGTTCCCTTCATCGCTCGCCATCGTTGCCGGTCGTGAAAGGGGGAGGATGCGTGAATGCGCTTTCCAGCATCCGGGGATGGTCTCAGTCCAGTATTGTTGACTTTTCCGCCTTCTTGACGAGCGGTGTCATCCGCATTGGAATGAGCAGAGGATGGTCGCCGCCCGGTGGGAGAAGGGGTATTACGATTGGCAGACTGCGTGATAAAAGTATCTTCGTTAGCGACGTGGTTTGTTTTTGTCTTTTTAATTTTACTCCATGCATTGGATCCTGTTTTTTGCCGGGAACGGCAGGGTTTGGTACTCGCCAAACGAGTTGCCGGAGAAGGCAGGACAAATGAAGAGGGTGGGGGAAAGAGGGAAAGAGGCAAAGTCAAGCCAAAACCACGCATGGGAAAGCCAAAAGAAAAAGAGAAAGAGAGGGGAAAATAAAAGAGAGCGCCGTTACTCACCGACGATGGCCGAGAATGGCTACTCCGGCTCGATGCGAGGCTATCTGAACTGTTGTTTCGGTTTCTCGAAGCATCACCTACAGGGGACATGACACGGAGCGACCTGTTGAGATCCATTTGGTAGCCGTTCGCTGCAGGGGACGAGTCGGCGCGGACCATTTCACCCGGACGCTTGAACAACTGTGGGGTTAGCGGGTTGGGGTAATCGGCAGAATCCAACGTGTGCATGCTCCGCCGCCGCATCCTCTTCTCTTCCTGGGATTTTCTTTGAGAAGATTGTCCGTCTTCGGCAGGTGAGCCCGATGTGCTCGGCCTCGCCCCCGGAGGCAACGCGTTCCGGCCAGCGCCGGACATCAATGCTGGTGGCGTGTACAAATGGCCGACGGCGCTCATGCCTGAACCCGATGGGGTCGCTGAGCCGTGCGAGCGACTAGGTTGGTGCATAGCAGGTCGTCGGTAGCGTTCGGGGATGGACGAACGGGAGCCGCCTGTGGGAAGGACAGTTGCGTAGTGGAACCTGCCATGTATGCCGACTGCGGGCGCTCGGCGGGAATTATCGATCGTGGCCGAGAAATGGAGAGGTCATCCCGCGATCCAGTCACGCCCAAGCCCATTGAAGATGAGATCTTGCCTCCACTGGAAGTTGGCTCGGTAGGTCGCAGAGTTGGTACATTAGATGCCGAAGACGTCCTTGACCCGGGCTGTTGCCGTTGCCCCGTGGCATTGAGGCTTGGTGTACTCGTAAAAGCATATGGCTTGATCGGGGCCGTGTTTCGGAATGTGGGCATGGCAGCCATATGAACAGGGGCACCATGCATGCTGTTCCGGTGGGATTGGGCCATCGTATATTGCTGCGAGGTGGATGTTTGCATGTTCGAGGAAGAAGAAGGTCGAGGCTGGAGAATAGTAGTCGTTGCAGACTGTTGAGGAAAGCTTTGGACCAGGGCGGCCATTTCCACTCTCGGGTGGAGAGAGTACGATCAAGGGTCAGACGTGTCACTCAGGAAGAACGAGTGAACAGCACTCGTAGAAGTCGGGCGGACGGTCCGTCGATCGTGCGGTGATAGAGAAAAGTAGCGTAGAATAAAGCAATATGTGGTACGTCTAAGGAAGAAAGGGCCCTTGTTAGCAACACAGCCAACGAGAGCGACAGACTCAGCACGTTCTCCCACACGATACACAATCACACAAGTCCCCAAGGCTAGTGGGCAGTCGTTCGAGGCACATCGAGCAGACTGTGACTCAAGAATGGAGATCCTCTTCTTGGTACAGAGAGGCTGGGCGAGAACCTACCGAGTATCACAGATACCAACGAGATATCTTTTTGTCTGTAGGAGAGTTCCGGATAACAATCCACGAAAGGTACCGAGAGATTCGCTCGAAAGTCCTCCTCGCTTATTACCAACTGCAACTCGCCCCGACACACGCAGGCAGGCAAAGGCAAATCAATGACGAGGATGCCAAGCGTCTTCTAAGACACTTCACTCTTATGATTAATTGTTCAAAGTCATGGGAGACAGTCGGAATCGGGTTGGCCCAAGGGGGTACTCGAAAGCGATTGTCGCCCACTGCCGTTGTTCGGTGTCGAGATCAAGGGTGGAGAGGGAGAGGGCGAGTATGGAAAGTTGGCGTCGAGGCAGAGCGTTGCCGGGAACTCGAAAACGGCTGATGAGATAAGGGAGAAAGGCAAGAAAAGAATGATCGTAGATCGTAGCGGTTACAAGAAAAAGATATAAAAGGCGTTAAGAAAGAAAGAAGAGATGAAAGCACTCAAGAGAACAAGAAACTAGAGGACAAGGGGTACTGGACCGTGGAGAGGAGGGAGAGTGGGAGAATGCTCTAACAAAAGGGGGAAGAAAAAGAGGCGACAGAGGAAGATGTCGTGAGCGAAGAAAAGGGGCAGAAGGAGAAGGAGCCGACGAATCTGGCGGTCCAAGGCACTCCCGATATCGACAATAACGAAGGCAAGGGGGTTGAAAAGGGTGAAGCGGGTGTTGAAGCGAAAGAAGGGACTACGAAGAGATAGAGATAATGATGTAGGGGAGGAAAGAAAGAGTGAATGGCAAGTTGGATTGTTTGTGGTGAAACGACCTCAGGAGAAGGAAACTCAAAATGGGCGGAGGGCAGGTGGGAAGCTGCTAGCCCGTACTGTGCATCAAGCGACGCCAGAGATCAATCGGTTTTCGTAGAAGAGATTAGCCCAGGAACAGAGGGTTTTAGTGGGAAGGCCGGGGTCCTCTCTGGCGTCTTGGGGTCGAACACTATGTTCCCAAGCTATCCATAGACCAATGTAGTGTACATTTGATTGATCGATCAGTTCAAGGTCGGGCCTGCGAAATGGGGTTCGGTCGACAAAAGTACGAAGGACAAGAACAAGAACAGGAACAAGAAGGCTCCCCACTAAAGTACACAAAGTACATGTCCTTCTTTCAGGGTCAATGAGGCAATGAGGGAAGCAAATCGATCACTCGCCTCACGCAACGATACTTTTCTTCGGCTGTCTCAGAGCGGAGAGATCATCGAAAAAAAAATCCCACCAAAAGCCTGGTCGCGCGTCGTAGCCACCCGTCCCCCAGAGTGGTAATTGTACCGTGTTCAGTATGGATCATATGCACCATCCCTCTCGTCCTTGCTCTTGCTTCCCCACGGGCCTGCAGGAATCCTCCCCATCCCAACGCTGCAGAGACGGACCAGGCCTTTAATAAAGTACAAAGTACAACGAGTCTTGTCTGCCGACTCGAGTGCAACATACATTCAAAGCACTGTCGAAGTACAGCTTCATACGATCGTGTACACTAGAAGATATGATATGCCCGTCAACAAGGTTCAAGTCATCCACTCTTTTCAATCACAGATCATTCACTCCATCATGTTCCCAAGTTCCCTCTTCCAGTATCCATCCAGCATCACGAAACGTGAGAAACTCGGACCAGAGGGACGAGCTAGTCAAACGCGCCATCCTGCTCAGAGCTGTCCACTGCCTGCAGCTCTCGAATCGAAGGGTGGCACTAACAGGACTCCTCCCGAGGTACAATGTGCTTGTACGGGGTACTGTACTTCTTGCATTGATCCAATGGATAGGTGCAAACATTTCCGACATCAAGGGAAGATGCGCGCCTGGTTCCAGAAACAAATGTGCCCCCTGATGCTTGTCCAAGTCGTGCCCGGAAGTTTTTTTCTTTTCTTCTTTATTCTCAGAGGATCGACAGAGCCGTCATTTGATTCTCTTGTCCTAGATTCCTCCACTCAAGAGAGAGCACCCGGCATTAATACAGCAGATATTGCAATCAAGCCAGAAGAAAAGGAGGCCCCAAGAGCCGCTATGGGAGTGTCGCTTCCTTTTTTTCTTCTTTTTTTCAACTTTTTTTTTTCATCTCTCTCTCCTTCGAAATCGGCACCGAGTGAGGGGTTCCTCTTTTCCTTGGCAGCCACTCATGCAAAACTCTCTCAATTTGCCAATTCAATGCTCACCCTTGGATTAGCCTCTATTTGGATGGGTACTTACATAGTGGAGAGCTGGGGAAATATCCGCCAGAGAGTCTCATCCACTGCAAGTCCTCGCTCGTCTGGGGCTGGCTCTTGCATTATTCGAGAGTTCACGGCGAAGATGTGCAATCGGCCTCGGTACAGATACCTCAATCTTGTGACGATGAGAGCTCCAGGAAGACCCCACTCAACCAAGTGCAGTACGAGGTACTTCAGCCAAGGGGGCGAATGGCGAATATGTAGAGTCTTACCAGCATTATTATTAAGTCGAGCTTGATGCTTCAGATGATCAATGTTTCCAAGCCCATTGACAAGTATCAATCCGATTCTCTCACTCGTCATCCATATATTTAAAAATAAGCGCATTAGAACCAGGGAGATCGATACGTTAGAAAAGAGTTTCTTCAGCCAACTCCTGAACGCCATCTGATTTCAAACCGTCAATCGGTTAAGCACCCCGCTCAGACATGGCACCAGCGATTATGCTGGTCGTCAGCAGGAAGGCAAGACGCGCAGGCTGCTGATGACGGAAGGCAAAGGAATGCACCACTGCACACTACCAGTTCGTATTCACAAGCCAGAGTTTGGTCGATCTCTCGGGGCTCAAAAGGAGTTGTCAGGTCTGTCGGTCTCAGGGGCGCCTTCGGCAAGACCAGCCCCCACTTCACCGTCCCATTGGAATTCAATGATACCTGTGCAAGTCGCGCGTTGTGTTCAATGTTGGTCCTGGGTGGTTTCCCATCCCGCACAGCGAGACGCTCGGAGGCTCGCACCGCCGAAATCGATGAGGCCAACAAACCCGCTCATCTGCGCTTCCGCCCTGTACACTCGAGAGCACAGGGCCGGAGAGTGGACGGACACAGTTGGGCCAAGAGGTATCATTATTCGTGATGAAGTGAACATTCCACCCCGACACGACACGACACGGGTACAAAACTAGCACTACGGTCAAAGAGAACTAGTGTGTTTGGAAGGTCTTGCATGGCGTGTCGTTGTGGCGCAGGAGCGAACGGGTCTCTCCAAGGTTTCATTGGTCCTGAATTTAAGAACACGCGATGTGATGAGCCATGGGGTTCCACCGTCGCGATCGGGGAGAATGGATTGACCTTGGAAAAGAGGAGGAACAACAAAAACAGGTGCACCCATTAATAATATTCGTGAGCAAAGATTCGAGGGATCGCTGCATCAATTTGATGCCAGGCGGAAGTGGAGATGTCCCACGCATCTATATCAAAACCCCCGCCCGGGTTCAAGAACGAATCTGCCTGTGCCGATGACCTCTTCGAAGGGCAACGTTGTCTATCATCAGGGTTTTTGTACCGATAGACATAGCTGGCCCCATCCATAATTATTAGTCTCACTCTCAAATTTGGTCTTCACCATCTTGGAATAGTAAACGACAGCCTTCTCCCCGCGCGCACAGCCGTTCCCAAGCTCCTTGTAATACTTGGAGCCTGGTAATTGCAGCAGAGAGCGTGCCCTACTTTAGAGGGGAATGATGTAACCCCAACCCCAGAAAAGAAAAGAAGGGGGAAATCAGAAAGAACAAACGAGAGGGAAATGGTGACTAGGAAAGGAACAGGCGCTATACCGTGCCCAGCACCCGCAGCTAGCAAATTAATATCGGTGTCCCCTATTCCCAATATTCCGTCCAACCCCATTCCAGTCCGGGCCCTACCCGAGAGCTGGCAGCCAGTCCACAAAAGAGGACATAGGCACGCACGGCATGGTGAACGGCCCCGGATTAGAATATCAATGGTAAAGTGACCTTTAACCCTAGTGTTTATATTGAAAATTCTGCGGGGAGCCCATCTTGCATTACACGGTTGATAGCTCCTCCTCCTCCCCTCACGAACCAAACTTTTAGGTATCAAGAGCCGCCAACACACTCAGTCATGCATCCATGGGACTCAAAACACATGCTTCATGTCGTCAGCTTCTCAAATTCGACATCCCCTATGTTCTTTACAAAATAGCGTGCCATAAGCCTCTCCTTCGGTCTGAGCTCCGAAGAGTAATTTTGACACAGGTATGATTTCGCCCAGAGCAGTTCCTCGTCTAATAATATGAATGCCTCGGTATTACGAATGGAAGCCCGCCAAGTAGATCACCAGCTGAGCGTCGCTGTGGGGTCTGTGGCTTCCGGTTATCTCCTCAGAGTTGCGGGCCTTCTCTTCCCCACGAAAAGCGACTCGCGACTCTAGACACCCGTTATTACAAGGTTGCCACCACTCAACTCGACACTACAAGTAATACTTGCAGATGCAACGTTCAGAAATAATGATTTTCGCACATATGAAGAGGCCCAGTCATGTCCTTGTTTAATTCACATCCAGTGTCGCCTTCCCCTTTTCTA